GATCCGGGGCTTCCCTTTCCCGGCATAGTAGTCTCTTAATATTTGTAGAGCCTTCCTCCCGTCGTCCGTGGCGTCACCCATCACCAGGGATAGGCTCTTGTCATCTAGGAACTGGATTAGCTCCGCGTATGCCTCAGCGTTTTTATCCATGTATTCCTCATCATCGTCCTCATCAGACTTTAATATCACTTCCTTCAGGCCTTGTAGACGTAGATGGCCTAGGAACTTAGTTTCACCCAACTCGTACTTGTCCTCATCCCCATCGAACATCAGCCTTGACCAGCGAGAGTTTGATTCTCGCTTCTGACTCATGGCTTCTGTTAGCTTAGCTTACAATCTACTCCGTCTTGATGCACCTGGGCCCATAACCTGTTAGCCGATATCTTCCACACAATGGAATCAAGACTTGAGTCTGTTGCATCTATGGAGGTTAATTCATAAAAACTCGCACGGACTCAAGATTCATAGTTTTAGAGCTCGGCGTCAGACGGCCGGTCCTTTCCATCCGGGTGCCGCTCACACACCCATCTTTGCCAGAAGCTTGCTTTTATTTACTCATGTCACAGGTCAATGGGTAACACACACGCGTCACTTCCGTTTTTCCTGGCCCATATAAAGAACAAGCCTCATTTACACATACAAACACACTTAATATCAGAACATAATACTTAACAGGCGCTCGTGTTAATTTGTCGGACAAATAGCGTTTAATGCAGTCCGAGATTCGCACGCTCTTCCGTTTACAGCTTCTAAAGACTGTTAGCACTTCGATGCTAAGTCAAGCTAACGGGAGGTGGCGTACCACCTTAAAGTCTTTAGGCTGACTTCTTCAGGTCTAAACCTGGCTAACCGTGTATGAATATGGATCTCGTCCGGTATTTTGGGTTGGAATCGGTTTCACGGGGTATCAGGCCGGAACCGGGTAGCAAGCTACCGTGGAGAAGCTTCTGTCTCCAGTTACACAACTAAAACACAGTGAACACAGATTCACTCAAAAGACGTGACAGAATCACAACAGATTAAATGACATGAATTTACCTTATAAATGACAGCAGGAAAAACCTGTGCAGATGAAGATTTTGAAGCTATAAAACTCCAATTTGGCAGAGCTAGTAATGATGACTAAGCCTTTGGGTGAAAGAGAGGAATCAGCGCCCCCTGTCGAAGGTGACTGGTGTCACACCCCCCCCCCCCCCCCCCCCCAGACTTAAATGGAGTTCGACTGCTCTCTAGTGGCGGATGACAAGATCGTCCCGTTTCTCACCAAACACATAAGTTTTTGATGGATTTAGAGTGTTTTATCGATTAAAACGACTCAGAATCAACACGAAATGTCATAATGTACAAATAAATGGCTTAAGGCTCACCAATATCAATCAGTCAAAGATACTTTATTAATCCCAGAGGGAAATTAGAGTTTCATAGAAATATGAAATATCAATCTGATGGCTCTTTCGGAGAAGCATTTAGTTCTGAGTGGGAGTGAATGTTTCACTCTAAACTATAGTAGGAGATTTATAACACACAGGAAACGCCATCTGTTGGTCAACGTACCCCAGGGGAAGCCTCCGTTAGATCCAGAATGTCCAAGTTCTCTTGGACCCTCCTTGGAACTGAAGCCGGTAGAAAAGCAGCGGTGCCGACCGAATGCTTCCAGGTCCCGACAGGTTCATTGGCATCAGCGAGACCCTGAAGGGGTCGTGAGCTTCAGCTTTTATTCTGAAGGAACCGTTGCGGTCAGGTGTAACTTGCAACAGATTTCATCCAGCTTGTTGAGGTTCTTTTGGCTGAAGAGGAAGTCTGGATGGCCTGTCCGAGACTTCTCTAGAACGCTTTGAACTAAAGAAAAGGTGGCGTGGAATATTTTTTTTATAATTGTCTTATTTTGGTTTACTGGCGAATCAGAATTTGACATGCAAAAGAGGGTTTACAGGTGCTGGCCAGTAAATTAGAATATCATCAAAAGGTTGAAAATATTTCAGTAATTCCATTCAAAACGTGAAACTTGTACATTATATTCATGCAATGCACACAGACCAATGTATTTCCAATGTTCATTACATTTAAATTTGATATTTATAAGTGACAACTAATGAAAACTCCAAATTTGGTATCTCAAAAAATTAGAATATTCTGAAAAGGCTGAATATAGAAGACACCTGCTGCCACTCTAATCAGCTGATTTACTCAAAACACCTGCAAAGGCCTTTAAAAGGTCCCTCAGTCTTGTTTTGAAGGCACCACAATCATGGGGAAGACTTCTGACTTAACAGCTGTCCAAAAGACAATCATTGACACCTTGCACAAGGAGGGCAAGACACAAAAGGTGATTGCTAAAGAAGCTGGCTGTTCGCAGAGCTCTGTGTCCAAGCACATTAACAGACAGGCGAAGGGACGGAAAAAATGTGGTAGAAAAAAGTGTACAAGCTCTAGGGATAACCGCACCCTGCAGAGAATTGTGACGACAAACCCATTCAAAAATGTGGGGGAGATCCACAAAGAGTGGACTGCAGCTGGAGTCAGCGCTTCAAGAACCACCACGAGGAGACTCATGAAAGACATGGGATTCAGGTGTCGCATTCCGTGTGTCAAGCCACTCTTGAACAAGAAACAGCGCAAGAAGCGTCTCGCCTGGGCCAAGGACAAAAAGGACTGGACTGATGCTGAGTGGTCCAAAGTTATGTTTTCTGATGAAAGCAAGTTCTGCATTTCCTTTGGAAATCAAGGACCCAGAGTCTGGAGGAAGAGCGGAGAAGCACAGAATCCACGTTGCATGAGGTCCAGTGTAAAGTTTCCACCGTCAGTGATGGTGTGGGGTGCCATGTCATCTGCCGGTGTTGGCCCACTCTGTTTCCTGAGGTCCAGGGTCAATGCAGCCGTCTACCAGGAAGTTTTAGAGCACTTCATGCTTCCTGCTGCTGACCAACTTTATGGGGATGCAGACTTCACCTTTCAACAGGACTTGGCACCTGCACACAGTGCCAAAACCACCAGCACCTGGTTCAAGGACCATGGTATCCCTGTCCTTGATTGGCCAGCAAACTCGCCTGACCTTAACCCCATAGAAAATCTATGGGGTATTGTGAAGCGGAGGATGCAATACGCTAGACCCAACAATGCAGAGGAGCTGAAGACGACTATCAGAGCAACCTGGGCTCTCATAACACCTGAGCAGTGCCACAGACTGATCGAGTCCATGCCACGCCGCATTACTGCAGTTATTGAGGCAAAAGGAGCCCCGACTAAGTATTGAGTGCTATACATGCACATTCTTTTCATGTTCATTCTTTTCAGTTGGCCAACATTAGAGAAACAAACATTTTTTCATTGGCCTTTAGAATATTCTAATTTTCTGAGATACCAGATTTGATGTTTTCATTGGTTGTCACCTATAAATATCAAATTTAAATGTAATGAACATTGGAAATACATTGGTCTGTGTGCATTGCATGAATATAATGTACAAGTTTCACGTTTTGAATGGAATTACTGAAATATTTTCAACCTTTTGATGATATTCTAATTTACTGGCCAGCACCTGTATACAAACACCACAGAAAACCACGCCTCACGCCAGAAACGAAGGTTCTGATTGGATAAGACAAAAGGAAATGTGTCGTGTGACTTTAGCATTACGTGTCCTCAGTGTCTAGTGCAAATGTCCAGGATTATAATTACTTTTAAAATACTACTGATCACAGGATTATAATTTTAATAACATTGTCATTTCACAGATTGATTGAACATTGGTCTCACATTATTATTGGTAATAACAAAGTTGTTTGATTTTGTATTTATCAAAAGAGGGTTTTTCGTCTTCATCTCAAGCTGTAACAGAGGTGAAGCAGTTCAGGTGAGTAGAGTGCATGAAAGACCTTGGCCACTATCTCATGTAGATTAGGCCTGTATCAAGAGACTTTATGTCTCTGCTCGAGCAGACGCTACATTTATACAGTTTATATAGTAGCTTACCATCGCTGGCTGTGTGTGAATGTAACAGTCTGTGAATAATGGGAAGCGCTTTAGGTACCTTGAAAAGTACTATATAAATCCTATTTGATTATTATTAAAAATGTTTACAATAAATTAACAAATTATAGTCGACTCTCAAAATATCTCAAGCTACTTTTTCATTACCCACAACTCAATATTATAGTCAAATGCATTTATCTACTTATCAACTTACTGTGTATGACTTCTGGCGCTTAGTCGTGACTGGCAAGTTTTTTCAGAGCAGACTTGTTTGTTTTGATTCACGGACTGCAGTACCTACAGTTGACCACAGGATGTCAGTCTTACATCATGCATCTTTAAAGCTAATCTGATGGTAATATTTAGATTTATTGTGGCATATTCAGTATAGACTAGTGCATTTAATTTTTGCCACATTATTTATCTTCTGTGGTTGCACAACACTTGATTATGCACAACCTGTATTGTGCAGAAAACAAGCAGCTTTTCACCCATATGGCTTCAACGCTTAAATTTCTCAACAAAAAGACACAATATTTAAGAGCTTATATGAATCTTCAGAAAGGACAAAAACATAAAAATTATGATTTTCATTCATATTTGTGCACATATTTAAGGGAAGACATGGTTACAGCTTTGGTGTTTGTTTTTTATTGTTGCTCATGTAATATGAAGGTTTTTATCTGAACTTCAGTGGAAACCAGAAACACATTCAGAAATTTTAGCAGCACATTTGAGCTATGCTCCTAACTCTGGTTAAATACTGACATCAAGTGGTGCACATGCAAACAACAGCACCATTCATATGTCAAATAGGAAATAACTTTAATCAAGAGACATGATGCAAATTTTGACTCAAAATGAAAGAATACTGCCAGAAGCTGCAATAAGGTCATAGTTGATATACATAAAAGCTCCCACTGCTGTGCAAAGAGGTGTTTTGTGGGAAAATTTACTGTAAACTCTATATTTCTGTTCATGAGTAACGTTTAAACCTTAGGAAGATTTGCAAAGAGACATGAGACAAGTTTGTTGTGTGCCCGGTTTTATTTGGGTACATTTAAAGCAACAAGCATAATTTTATCTTTTTGGAGAATTCAATATCCTTGGACATAAAATGCTGTGCAGACCAATCTATACACTAAACAATGTCAGATTTATCCGTTAGTATAAACATGTGTTTCAAATCAATAATTTAGAGATACAACTTTGTTTTCTGACCCATAAGCCTGGGGCAGAAGTTCATTTTATGACATTTATAATCAACAGTTACTCATAATGAAATAAATCATTTGTTATTCTGATCTTTCTTTATATGTGTAGCCACAGTTGGCTCTTAGTGCAAATTTTCCATCTTTAAAAATACCTTCACTCAAAAAAAAATATTTTTTTAAGGATTTTCATATATATAACACTCCATAAATCTATATTAGAGTAGCCGGTAACGGGAAAGAGTTCTTTATAATGTAGAAAGTGCTCCATAGGTGCTTTAGGGCTTCACTAAACCAAGTTGCAATCTTTCATCTAAAAGACGCTTGTTCACAAGCGCAAGCACCAACGTTCACTCATTTCTGACCTCTTCTTTCTTATTTGCTTTGAGTACTTTAATCTTTTTCATAGTTCCAAATGTTATATTTGCATAAAAGGAAGTAACTCAGCAACTCTTCAGAAAAGTAAAGAAAGAAAATCCTCAAACAAATCGGCACACGAGTACAAAATAAGACACTATAAAGTATTTAAATATTCAAAATATTCAATATAGTTTTATACATTAACGAATAATCTAAAAGTCTGTGTTGTGAAATAAAGGGTCTTAAATTCCTGGAAATGTGCAAGTTCTTTTGGGCAGGTGAGAACTGACTTTAGGTGAAATGAGTAGAAAATATGTTATAGTCAGTCAAACATGAACTATCTTGCAATATTTAAAGCATAATAATATTTGCAAAAAGGAAATCAAGGGAAAATATAGTTCAATTCAAAACATGAACGTATCCCAAATACATACACACAGATAAAGTTGCCTGAGAAAGACCACTATTCCTTCTTTATCACAAGGTTAAAGTCCAAGTGACAGATGTGCAAAAAAGCATCAAAAGCAACTGGATTTAATTTAAAAAGCTAAAACCAACTGAAAAGTTTAAGGAAGAGGATATAAAGATGCTGGTGCGGTGTTTTACGGTCCATAAATCTTTTAGCCAAGAAGAGGATTGCTGTCATTCCCGTCCTCTACCAAACCCTCGTCTTCCGTGAAAAAAGGTTCCGGCCCTTCGACATGTCTGGAGACATCCACTCCGATCAGAGCCACGGCTCTGGGAAGTTAAAAGCAGGAATAGAAAAGAGCATGAAAATGAATTCCAGCTAAACATGCCAACTGTCTTATCAGCAGCGTTGCAATGCTGCAGAAAAAGCGTGACTCACTAAACTGTCAGGTTTAAACCAACAGTTCCGGACCACGGACTTTGTTGTTCTGTAGCTAACCACTGTGTAATGAAAGAAGCAGAGCAGGAGACAAATGTGGACTCCTTTAAGGAGTCTTATGTTTCAAGCCACATCGCCCAAACTGACTAAGCAGAACCACTTTGATTTCTGAGCGTAACAAAGGTCAGAAAGTCAGAAAAACAACCATGATCCAACAGAAATGTCATATTAAACTAAAGCAAATAAAACATGTTAACAGTAGAAGGAAGTACAAGGTCAGTAAAATTTAGATTCTTAATTATATTTTACCCTCACATGTTTTTGCACATATGGGGCTCTCTGTAAAAGTATAAATACTCTATAAAAGTGGTTCCATATTTGGTGAGGATGGTGATAGATTAGAGTAGTATAATTCGCTTTATTTACACAGAACACAAAGTCATAAAATCGATTGATTTGATCTTCTGATCTTGTCATGTGAACACAAACAAAGGTAACTTACCCAAGAGCAAAAATAGGAACAGCACAGAGTCCCGCAGACAGGAGGAAGACGAAGCCAGGGTACCAGGCCACCGTGGCAAAATAGATGCTGTTGAAGACTGCAGGTGACACGTTGTTTGTTAAATTCTCCAGAAAGGAAAGATAGGCAAACAGGGATCCTGCAAGAAAAATATTTTAAGGGAGATAGCTTCAAAAAGTTTTCTGATGAGACAAACAATATCTTGGAATGCAAACTGGAGCTTTTTAAGACAGGACACACTTCGGTGGACTATGACTCTGCAAACAGAAACGGTTCTGTGGTTCAAGTATGAGTGCTTAAAAACCCACTCACCCTGCTCAGACTTTGAGACAATATTTGACATCATGGAGCGCAGAACAGGGAAAGGCATGATGGCCAAAAGCATTGGTATCCTCACTGCGGAAAGAAAAGCAAAGAAACGGACACAAACTTTTATTTCAGAGTTGAAAAAATAATTCTGATTCAGGCAATGTAAGTTCCCCTGGAAAAAATGTGAAATAAAACAAACACAGGTGCGATAAGATGTCATAAATGGCATGGCTTTGAAGTTTACGATGCCGAAATCTAATTTAAAATACTGTAAACTCGATATCTTCTTTAAACTTGTAAAAAATACCTCATAGCTTAATGTTAATGTGTAACCAGTGCAGACCTACCTGTGTTCTCTCTGTTGCTGTTGCTTCACATCAGAAGTCTGTCTAATGTGTGTGTTTTAAAAATCTTGGGCTTATTGTAAAATAAAATCCAGATAAAGAAGAAAGTTTAAATGTTGTTTTGTTTCTTTTGATTATACAGAATAAATCAGACCGTTTCTGTTCTGTGGGTCAAAATAAAACTAGTCAAACATTAATGGGAAACACTGAATTGCTCAAAATGAGTTTTAGGAACACAAATACAACTTCACGCATATTCTTAATATCCATTTCAGATTAACTTGAGTCCTGGTTGATAATATTTTCACTTAAAGGTGCATTGGAGATGGGGTTTTTTGGAGTATTTTTGATATATCAATCAATCAAAGCTTTATTTATATAGTGCCTTCCTCACCCATTACGGGAGGCCAAGGCGCTGAAGAACAAAATACAATCATGGTAAAAGAAATTAAAACATTGAACATGAAACAACAGAATTAAAAGCAAAAAATCAAAACTACATAAAAGTAAGCCAACTTCAAGCATGTTCAGGAAATGCTAAACGAAAAAATGGGTTTTCAGGCGACTCAAAGACCGGCAAAGAAGTAGGCGGCCTAATTGACTGTGGGAGCTAGTTCCAGAGTGGCGACGCTAGAAATGAAAAAGCCCGGTCTCCACGAGTCCGACACCTGGTACGAGGGACAACTAGCAGGCCCTGATCAGAGGAGCGCAGAGAGCGTGATGGGACATATCGTTTCAGGAGCGCTGCTAAGTAAAGAGGGGCGCCTCCATGAAGGAAGTAAAAAACAAACATCAGAATTTTAAAACGTGCCCGATAAAAGACTGGAAGCCAGTGTAGGGAGGCCAGCACTGGACTGATGTGGTCCCCTTTCCTGGCTCCGGTGAGAAACCTGGCTGCACTATTCTGCAAATCTGAAGACGACGAAATGGTGAATGACCAAGCCCAGCATAGAGAGAGTTACAATAATCTAACCTGGAGATTACAAATGCATTGAGTGCCTGCCTCAGGTGTACTCGCGACATGCAGGGGTGTCCAATCCTGGTCCTGGAGGGCTGGTATCCAGAAGGTTTAGGTTTTAACCCTGCTCCAACACACCTGATTTCAATCAGCAGGTGATTAACAGGCTACTGCAGAGCCTGATGAGCTGCTGCACAGGTGATTAAACCACTGAATCAAGTGTGCTGGAGCAGAGAAAGCACAAAACCTGCTGGATACCGGCCCTCTAGGACCAGGATTGGACACCCATGCTCGACTGCATAGGCTTGATTTTGGTCAGGCGTTGCATGTTGAAAATACAAGATCGGATTAGAGTTGATGTGGGCATCCAAATTAAGACCAGAGCCTATTCTCACCCTTGAAATGCTCTCCACATTTTAATGGCAATCAATAAATGAAATGTTTTGTTAATAAAGGAAACATTTTAATCGCCTCTGGCACGTACAATTATGGAAAAACCTCATCCAATCATTGTGAGAGTCCCGCTCTTAATGACTGGATCATGATTCTTTCGTGGACCGGGCTTGGACCAATCAGAGCAACTAACAATGGGATGTGTTCATTATGAAGAAGAAGACCTTTTTGAAAAGAAAGCTTATTTATCTGCACTCAGGTCTCAAAGAAATGCCCAAATCAAAATAGTCAAAAAATTATTCCAAAGATGTTTCAAACAAGCGTTGTTCCTGAGCTGACGCCATCTTTGTAGTTTTTCTCCATCGCAGCTCTGGTGCAAGCCCAACCCAGCAAATGTAGTGCTGTGATTGAAAAGACGCATAGCTGTTCAGGCCAATGGCAGACCTGCTTAGGCTACGATGGAGCACGGCTAGACTGAACCGCAGAGCTAAATCTTTTGCTACTGCTACGGTTGGCCAAGATTTTTAGACTAGAGATCTTCTGACCCGCATTGGACTATGAGGAGACTGTCAGAAGTCTGGAGACTCTGTGGATGTTACGTGATGAATTATGGAAGACAAATTCCCAACAATGGGTTGAAAGGTTAACACGACATTATGGTTTTATGGTTACTTGACAGTGTCCATTGCGTCCGGTGTTACACAGTTTTTTGCGTCAATCAAATTCTCTATATCTAGGAGAGGGGCCTGGAGAAAAGTGGTTGGACCTTTGAATTTTTTGGTTTTCAAGATGTAGCTTGCTGAAACAGCAAGAAAAACATTTAATTTCCCGCCTTTAACACAAGAGAATGACAGATTTTCCTCACCTAAAAACATCAGTATAGTTGTCTTCGCAAACGCCGCCAGGATCATCCCTGATGCGACTGACAGGATCCCCATCAGAACGATGATCAACTGTGGAACGCCGCAGTAGGTGAATGCTGACACTCCTAGGAAACTGATCAGGAACACTAATGTGGACAGAGCTGATCCGTAGCCGATCAAAATCTCAGTCCAGCACAGCGGCTCGTTGAGCTCATACAGCGTCATCAAGAACACGCCTCCAACGTAGGCGAAGGAGAAACTGGTTAATATGATCATCAGCAGGGCTAAAACTGTTTTAAACCTGCAGCTGGCCCCTGCAAAGATCTGGTAGATCCCACAGATGATGTGTTTCAGAACAGATTGTCTGTGAGAGTCATCTACGGTGCTCCCATCAGCTGGAGTCTTCTTCATTGATTCTTCCAGAATAAAGACGGCGTAGATCAGGGTCAGACACTGGAACAGAGCTGATGTCAGAAACGGCCAGTTAAACCCCGCAGCTCTCAAAAAGTAACCCGTCGATATCGAAGCCACTCCAGACAGCAGCCCGATCATCATGTCCACCCCAGCCATGCGCAGCGTCTTCTGGCGCTCGTCTTTGCACAAGTCAGCTATGTAGGCAAAACAGCCTCCGAGAAACGTGCCCAAGCCACCAAACAGAGAGCTGAGAAGGGACGAACCAATCAGCAAGTACACGTCCAGCTCAAAGAAGGACACAGTCAGGAAGGAGGTGGTGTAGATCAACGTGCCGATCAGAGGCATGACAATGGTGATCTTGCGTCCCGCTCGGTCGCTGTAGGCCACCAATAAGAGAGTGACGATCAGAGACGGGACCGTGGACAGGATCTCTGAGTAGAGGGAGAAAAGAGATGCCTGCTTCTGGACATCCTGAAAATCAGGCAGACAGAGAGAAGGAGATTATTTAAAAATCGTGAAAAGACTTCACTATAGTGTCAACTTCAATCAGACAAATTTGGAAAATAAATTAGCTTAATTTTTTTTCACGTCTCTTAACAACAATCTAACATAGTATAACTATGAATTTAGTGTGGAGAGTAAAAAAAAGGAAAAAAATGTGTGATTCTTTCATTTTTATCTAAAAACAACCATTGGACCATCTGGTTGTCGGTCTCATTGAACTGCTACACTTTCAAGGGTCCTCCATTAATTACACACTGGCGTATTTGGCAACAAAAAACCACAGGTTCACGGCTCAATATTATCAGAGGAGAAACAGACTGCTGCGACCACTTCAACTTCAACTACTAGAGCCCCAAAAAGAAAAACACCATTTGAAATCACGGAAAACAAAAGACATTTAGATGTAGAAAACAGCAACCGATGTTAAGCACTATTTCGTTTTCTCCGACATCACAAGTTCTGGCATAAGCATCTCAGGAAAGGCACCCAAGGAGAGGAGTGAGTGCTCTGTGAACGTATTTGCGTTCAAAACCTAGCTTGTTCTGTAGATTCACCATAACAGCTTTAAAGCTGGGGTACATAACTATAGGCTCACTTAAATGATTCGTTTAGGTGTAGAGGCCAGGGGAAGGACTTGGGGGAAATATAAATTATGAAAGATTACCTTATTTATATCATAGATCGGGGTCAGATAGTAAGCATTTTTTAAGTTACTTTGAAGATTAAAACTACAAACCCAAGGTTTAAGGGTTTGCAGATGATGCAAGAGAGGTTTTCTTGTGAAGGATTAAAAACAGAATGCGTAGAGTAGTTGCAGGTTCCTGGTTGAAAACAGGATATTCAAGTTTGCAGAAATTCTACTTCCTTGTTTCTTTTGGGTTTTTTTAAACATACAAGCAGGTGGTAAATCTCTAAAAATGATAATTATTTTAAATCTTACACTCTTTGCCTTGTTTTGTTTCTGATAATCTTTTTGTAAGTGTTCAAATGTCATCTGAACTACGACTCTTAAGACGGGATCGGGCGTTGGTGTCAAGTTCAGGAAATTAAACTCGAGTCCCACGTTTACCTTGTGTAAGAACTTTTAAAAATATATATATATATATTACTTAGAATCTAAGCTGTATTCAAAAATATAATTGGCAAGTTGATGCTGGTATAAACAGAAAATTAGTTGCTCAGATACAAAAAAACATGAGTAGAAATCTAAAAATGAAAATGGTGGTAGACTTTAAAAACCACTTCCACTTTTTAGCCTCGGTCATTTCCTGTGTACTTTTGTCCCTAACATATTTTAGTCCAAGATAAAATAAAACACGTCTCCTTCCAAATAATGGCAATAACCCCAAAAAAGTGCACCCTTAACAACCTTATGGATGTTTGTGTGGTTGCTGCTGTTGATTGCTGCACATCTGGATGTGTTGTCAGAGATGGGATAGCTGGTGTTGGTCAGCTGCACCCACAGCCTCCTGTAGACATACTGCTGCACCAGTGGGTAGATAAGAAAGCTGCTAAAAGCATATAGAGCCACCACAGGCTCCACCAGGTGAAGACGCCACATGATGAGGGGATGAAAAAGTCCCTGAAAAGAGAAGGAACAGCGTTTTAGAGATGAACATGAAGGCAGAAAAGAGCGTGCCTGAGCAGATATGAGACAGATCTTTAAAACATAAGATAACAAACATGACTATACATAAATGATCAATTAGCTCATCAAGATGGGAAAAATCCATTTGACCTTTTGAAACTACAGGAAAAAATAAACTACAGAAAACGGAAATTGAATTGGTTTCATATTAAAGTAGATTTTTGTTCGGTTGTTTTAGCTTTAAGCGTTAATTTATTTAAAAGTTATTAAATAATATTTGATGTTGTTTATTTTATCCAGATGCTGCGGGTTGGTTATACGTGTATGATTAGATAATCTATTAAAGCGTGCAGATAAATGATTTGTGTCATTAATAAAGCATTAATAATACAATAAACTACAGTAATAACGCTTACCGACTTAGATATTCGCCTTGGTCATGTTCTTCTCTTGTTTTGACTCCGGAGCAGCTTTAGGGCTGAGAACGCGGTTGTGAAAGCAAAAAGTCCCGCCCCTACTCAAATGTGATTGGACAGAATTTTTAAAGTCGGGTTTTCAATAGCCAAAAGAAACTGTCAATCAACTTGCAAGAAAAGCTAAGATATTAGGCGCAAGAGAAAGCTCTGGAATGGAACACGTTTTGTATTTGGAGCAAACAGGTCAGTTAATGCATTTTATACAAATGTATTTAAACTCATTCGATCAATACATACTTAACATTGCTCACATCTTGTTTACTTTTCTTTGTTGAAATTCGCCCATTCACGAAGCCACACGTTGTTTATAGGTATTACGGTACTGTATAGCAAGCTGATTGTTACATATTCGTCAAAAAGGAAGTCAACATTTCATCATCATTGAATGTCTCCTGATCATAGACTGTACATACTCCTGATGTGTTATTGATGTATTAATTGCTGCTGGTCTAATCGTGAAATCCAAAACTGACAGTGAAGTAAAAGGTTTGCTAAATAATTTTTACAGCTGTGAATTTTTGATGATTGAAGCAGTCTTAAAGTGGTCTAAATGCACATTTTCACATACTTTCAAAGCTCATTTAAAGATATGTGTAAACCTGTTATTCAACATCATGTTTGCATGACACAGTTCTTTGTGAGGAAAACATAAAGACATTTCTTTTAAACATGACACATGAATGCACCTGAAGTGCCACACTTTGCTGGTTTTGGTATATAAGGTTTTAATTAACCATTTGATGATTTTGATTACTGTGCAATGTGTGTCGACAGTGGTGTAAATTGGTTAGTTTTTAGACAGCAGCTATGCTATGAGTTCTCAGTTGTGTTTAGACTATCCATTGGCCCACTAGTTCCCTGTACACTTTAATATTTTATTACAGCTTTGTTTCTTGAAATAGAGGTTGTTCAGGAAGTAATTAGCTTGAACACTGAACCTCAATCCCCACACAATTTCTATTAAAAACGTTCTGCCTATCAATTTCATTTATACCATTCACATTAATATTTACCTTTCTCTAATATCCGTAATAGCAATTATATTATGTACAAATTAATATAACATCTTAAATCCATGTTTCACTTAGTAAAAGAAAACAAAATTATTATTAGTCTTTATTATTACTATTTATCGTATTTACTTATGTATTTATTTATTTTAATATTCATTCGCGATAGTAAAAATATAAGAGTTTTTGTTCAAGTGGATATATTTGAAATGTTAAGTGTGGGTAGTAAGAACATGCTTTTGCAGTCAATTAGAAATAATAATGTGTACAAGAATTTAGAATAATTTATAATTATTATCAATATAAATTTTTAAAATATTTTTCTAAATCATAGTGCAAAATGCAGGTAGGTTGATTGTTTGTTATGAGGGCTTGCCATAAAAGTGAGGCAGGCGTACACTTTGCCTCGGACTGTACCATTTCACCGATTTACGGGGAAGGATTTTGTTGTGACAGCGGAGTAGAAACCCAGCAGGGACACGGTAAGATGTTACACACAGTCCTTTCCCTTTCTATCTTCGTCTTTAGTAAATATCAGGAGATAAATCCAAACTTCTACATCTTTGCGCGTTTTAAATGGTGGAGAAAAGGGTACCATAAAATGACTGAAAGCTAACGAATCATAGCGGTCCCTGTGATTTAATCTGCCGCTTTGGCTAACATCACGAGCTACCGTTACATACCGGGGAAACGGTGAGCAAATATCCGATCATATAGTTGTTCAACTCGCTGTTTAATAGTTTCCTGGTCTGCATACTGTAGCATGTATGCCAGCTAGCTTCGCTTCGCCCTCTCTACTTGCATTTATGAAGTCGTGACAGAACCAGAGGTGGATGATATTACTTCACCGGCCTTTAACTGTTAATTCACTTCCTGCGCCTCATCAGGATCCATCCTCTTCCTAAAGAAGCTCTAGTTCTCAGGGGCGGTTCTATTTAAATAAATACTAGTTTCTCGTCTCTCTTAGGGGGCCAGTGCCCCCCGCCCCCCATTGGTCGCCCGCTATGCCACTGTTGACTTTCCAAGTTTTCTTGTTAAACACTTTCAAGGAATTTATTAGAAATGTAAACAGTAACATCCAGTACTTTATTACTAGGCCTTTACACTTTTTTTCCACACCTTATCTCATTAACCTTGATATTTGCCATATTTTAGGTTCCCTTTTCCAGCAGCCTTGAAACAACCCGTATTTAAATGTTTAGATGTGCTGATTAACATGTTTGAAGTTCCTCATAACCAGTTCTCTGCTTTTTTTGGTTTTCAGGCAACTCCATAGGGTTATTCATCTTGGATCAGCCATGGCCTTCAGCAAAGGGTATCGCATTTACCACAAGCTGGACCCACCGCCTTATAGTGTGATAGTGGAGACCCGGACCAGGGAGGAATGCCTCATGTTGGAGTCAGGAGCCGTCGCTGTTCTGTGTAAGATGTTTGAACTGATAAAAGTACATCAACATGAAATTCATCCTTGTTTCCTTTTGTCTACGGTGGATGTGATTGTGTAAAAACGAGTTAACAGAACACATTCTTTCACTTTTGTTTGTGTCTTAGCGGCAGCAGAGAAGGACGCCATTAAAAACACGTACACCAAAATATTTGATGCCTATGGAATTCTTGGTGTCCTCCGATTAAACCTAGGTAAGAAGAACATTGCTCCCTGTCTCACTCCAAGCCCCTCTAGTTTCAGATGTTTCTTAGTTATAAGCTGCTTCCTCTTGTCCTCCAAAAGACCTTGAAAGCTCTTGTTATCACAACAAGGAACCATCAGCCTTAAAGATTAAACCTCAGCCTTCTAGATGTTCAAGATAAAGCTGGCTGGTGTATTCCTGCTGATCAGTAGCATCAGAGCTCAGGACAAGGATTCTTTCTGTCATTTTTCCAGGCGACTCCATGCTCCACAGCCTGGTGGTTGTAACGGGATGCAGCTCTGTGGGGAAGGTGCAGGATTCAGAAGTTTTCAGAGTCACACAGACAGACTTCATATCGCTGAAGAACGATCCAGGAGACGAGGACCGGATCGCCGAGGTGCGCAAGGTCCTTAATTCAGGTCACTTCTACTTTGCCTGGTCTGCCTCTGGGGTCAGCATGGATCTGAGTCTTAACTCACGCCGCAGGATACTAGAAGACACTACAGACAATCGCTTCTTTTGGTATATGAATGCGATCCTTTCAGTTTTAATTTGGCTTTAAAAGTATATAAAGTCATGAATGTAGCACGCGTGTAGCAGCAAATGAGACATTGTGTCGTTTGCATCAACAGGAACCAGTCGCTGCACCTGCATCTTAAGCATTACGGAGTCAACTGCGACGACTGGCTGCTGAGGCTGATGTGCGGCGGAGTGGAGATCAGGACTATCTACGCAGGCCACAAACAGGCCAAGGCCTGCATATTCTCTCGGCTCAGCTCGGAGAGAGCCGGCACGAGATTCAACGTCAGGGGAACCAACGACGATGGACAGGTGGCCAACTTTGTAGAGACTGAACAGGCGAGTCACGCTCTTAATGGTTTTATTGGCTTGAAAGACGTCTTTTTATGCCTTCTGTGATATAATCGGGGTTTAATTTGAGCTGGAACAAGATCCGGGAACTATCTTATTTTGAAAGGACCGTTCCGGCAACTGTCTGCTAGGATCCGGCAACTTACACGACAAACTTGGGCTATACGCAGGATTCGAATTACGGGTGAGCTAGGGAGCTCCTGGAAGCCCTCAACACACCCAGGGGGTGTCTGAAACGATCCTGGTTCTACTGATATTACATTATCTATGTGGACTCTCTGGGGATTATTTGGAGCTGAGAGGCGCAGAGCTCTGATCGTTGACGCGCTCCAGACAGATGCGTCCTGAGCACGGCCACAGTAACATTCTCAAAGTGTCGCCACCTCAAAAACAAATTTAACACATGATCGTTTGTGTCGGCTCATATCCTTTCATGCTTTCTGTCTTTTATTTGTGCCTGATGTGTTTTACTGCTGCAGTGCAGAGCGCATCACCTGTTTTGTCCTCCGGTGAAATCCCCTCACCGGTGCGGTCGGCGCGCACTCCGCTGTTTTAGCGGTCGGTAGATCTTTTAGAACTGCAGTTCAAAGGTAACTCATGAGGTGAATATATTTGAAGCCAGGTAGCAGTTTTTCTTTAGGGTTGAGAGGAGATGCAGGAAGATAATAAACAGACAGGACAGAAAAATGGTCACATAAAAAATAAGTTCCTTTTTGTACCTGGTGGTTGGGACAATAATTCAGGCCGGACATTTTGAAACCATCCCAGGCCACCGCCCAATTTACGCTAAACACTAAAAGTGGGTCAGGATGGGCGCTGTAAAAGTGTAAAACAACAAAATTAAAACTTCACATGTGCCCTGATGCTTTCCTCTAAAATATAAATATTTGTGTTCTGCTGCTATAATCTGTGCTTCTGTTGCATAAACTTCATTGCTAAATGATGCATCATTGGTGTCATTTAGGTTCACAGTGTAGTAGCACAGGTTAAATGGACAGCCTCAACAATGGAAGAAGCCTTTTGCAGATGCACAAATCTTTGACATCCATATATACTGGCAGACCAGTATATATGGATGCTTTCCTCATAATGTTCATATAAACACACCAATAACAACACTAGGGGTTTAAAGGCTAGGAGTCAAAGACAAAATAAGCCAGAGGTGAAGGTTTATGCATTTAACAAGAAATGTCATAAATGATCATTAGGGCTGATGTGACATCTAATCCAGATCAGTCCAGGTCAGAATTATCATCTTATCTGTCTCATCAGCAGCAGCAGCTGGATGTTCATGGCCACCACACTTCAAGTGAAGCACACTCCTTTTATGTCTTGTGTTTGCTCACGATCCATATTTCCGTTTAGAAACCGTTTCTCCTCCATGGATGTGCCTGCCTGTCAGAGCGTTAACCACTGGTTGGCCAGCTGATGCTGCTGTCAGTCATTGCAGGAATGAGTACGGTGTGGGGAAACAGTTTTAATTTCTCTCCTTTGCCTGAGCTGATAGTGACGCACAGCGCGCCTCGCGGCAGCGATGCGCCTTTTGTGAAAACTGCGGCCCTTCATGGAGCTCGTGCCAGACTGGATGACTGATGTTAGAGGACACACAGATACCTTTTCAAAAATCTCTGAGATTTCGACTAATGAATACCTGGAAATTGTACCGGTATGCACTGTACCCTAGAAAAAGTGCTGGCATGCTGAAAGGTTATTTTTAGAAGTGGCCGCGGCGCTGGTACCGGTCCAATGCACTGCTCTCTGTCCCTAAAGGATGAGTCTGATGATCTGATCATCATGATCCGTTACTGACAGCCGCTGTTTGTCCCTCCCCAACCCAACCCACGTGCCTGGCATTGCGCGCTGCGCGATAGTTAAACTGAGCCAAAAAACACCACCTCAAACCGGTTCTCCCAACATGACCACTTACAGGCCAGCCTGTGGCCAGAACTTTCTTCCTCATCAATCTTTCCTTTTCTGCTCCACCTTTCCTTGTCCATCTAGGTCCATCTTGCTTCTGGGGCCAAAGGTGCGGTGGTGCTGTAGCCGCTCTGGGGTGGCGGGTGTCTGCTGCGCTTTGCCAGACCCCGACAAAGTGAGAGGACGGGGTGTCTTTGTGCCCAGTTTGCTCCATTTGTGCGAGCATCAGGACAGCAGATGCCCTGATGAGCTGCATGATGGATTGCTCATTTAGATATTACACACGTCATGACCAGCAGTCACTGAGCGGGCCAGTTTAACGGCCAGGCCACCGGGAATTCTCCTGTTTCTCCCGATTACCAGTCCGCCACTGAAGAGATGTGTGTTAACTTACAGAATGTGGGCGCAATTTTTATTACTACACCCCCCCCCCACCCCCGTGCGTGTTCCGGCATCTGTTTTGCCTTTAGTGAACTTTGGTTTTACGTCAGTATTTGCGTTCCGGGAACGTTTGATTTACAAATGAAGCACTGAACATAATGGCTGGCGTTACTAAAGTTACAATAAAGTGTTTAACAATCCTGGGCCGATTAAATGTTTATCATTGATCCTCTTTCTGGCTGAGTCCTAAAACGAGTTGAGCTTTTGAAGGTTGAAATGTTTTGTTTCTAATAGTTTTTCATTTCCAAGTTTACTGGTTCATTTGGCCTTTGACAGACTTGGATTGTGCTCTCAGTAGAGAAAAAATGTGGTCGGCCTACTTCTGACAGCTACTTTAACTATCTCTCCTTTACGTCTTCTGTACCTTGTAAGATAAGTGAGGGTGTTATTATCACAATGAGCATTTGAGTTACATTTCCTTTCATTTCCCCTGAACAGGTTATTTTCCTGGATGACAAAGTCTCATCCTTCATCCAGATCCGGGGCTCCATTCCACTTTTCTGGGAGCAGCCAGGAATCCAGGTAAGGAATGTCTGATACTGAACTAGGACTTTAAATCCAACCCGGGCTTTCCACCAGATGTGTAAGCAGCGCGCAACGTTATAGATGCGTTTTCACCGTGACCCTTCCTGCCGGGAGTGTTTCAGATGCGAATCAGCCGCAAAAGCATACTATACAGCTGGTCCCGCAAGGTCACAAAATCACAGGAGAATTGCGAGATCACGCGTGATTTTGCCATTTCACATGGTAACTAGCAAGAATGACAGCAGCATGTCTCGTAAAGGTCGGTGGTTTACTTTCTGGTTTACCTCCATCAAGGTGGTGTCACAGAGCATGGCAATCGGGCTGTGAACGAGCTGTTTCTCCCCTCCCTGAAAACACTCATCAGGTGATCTAGGTGGGCTGTCCTCTCACCTGAAGCAAAGCTTAAAATGCAACAGCAAGCACTTTCAAACAGACTTGAATCTGCACCGAAGGGCCTTGAGTGTCTGTTAGTGCAAAGCAAAAGTTTAAGAAGACAAAAACAAGCACTATCTTCCATTGAGAAAGAGAAGGAAACTCATCTGTGGGTAATCCTGTTGTCTAGTAGCTCTGGTTTGGGCCAACTGAAAACAATAAGTGCAATCAGGGTCTGTGAACGAGCTGTTTCTCCCCTCCCTGAAAACACTCATCAGGTGATCTAGGTCTCAACCATTGCAATCAGCTGCTGCATAAACACTGGTTTCCAACTAGTAGCACAGCATAAGTTTGGTGGCATAACTGAAGCGTCAGCGGAAGCTTCAGCCCTTGTGTCTCAGCCCCTCCAGTGTGAAGACACTCCGGGGTAAAGACATACGTGTCTACCTGCGCGTGTCAACAGAGCAGGCACACAGAGCAAACAAACTCGACCCAGACGCTGCTCCATTGACACCTTGCAAAATACGCCATCATCCTATACCTATGATCACTGGCTTCAGAGGAAGGTCACACACAGCAAACCGCTTTCGCAACCTTCAAAACCTCCGCTCGCTAAAACCAACTCCCCCCGAAGACATCCACCAGTCTATGGGACTTTGGAACTGCCAATCAGCTGTAAACAAAGCTGACTTCATTACCGCTTATGCAAACCACCTGTCACTTGATGCACTGGCCCTCACTGAGACCTGGATCAAACCATGTGACAATGCTACTCCATCTGCTCTCTCAGTTAACCACCCTTTCTCCCACACTTCTCGTGCATCTGGCTGAGGTGGTGGAACGGGCATGTTAATTTCCAACAGTCAGTTGCCACATCACTAAATACAACTCCTTTGAATACCATGCCATCCAGGTAACTGTACTGAAAAAATTATTTTTGGTTGTCATATATCGCCAACCAGGTCAACTCGTAGACTTTCTTGATGAACTCGACACCCTGCTCTCCTCCGTTCCTGAGCACGACTGTCCCACAATGGTCCTTGGAGACATGAATATTCACCTGGGCAATCCCAGCTCATCAGGCTTCCTGTCACTAATGTCATCATTTGATCTAAAACTAGTACAAAGTCCTCCAACTCACAAAGCTGGAAAAGCACTTGACCTCATTTTCACCAGAAACCGTGCCATAGACGCAATCTCTGTCACACCGCTGCATCTTTCCGATCATTACTTCATCCATTTCAGCTCGACTCTACAAGGGAGGTCCACTGCTTCCTCCCCAGTGGTCTCATTCCGCCGCAACCTCCGCAATCTGGCACCCAACCACTTCTCCTCTCTTGTTGCCTCCACTCTTCCATCTCCCAGCACATTCTCTGCTTATGAAGGGAATGATGCCACCGGGTCACTCTGCTCCACACTCTGCTCTTGTCTTAACAACTTGTGTCCTTTAGCCACTAGACCTGCTAGATCCTCTCAGTTGCACCCTTGGCTAAAAGATACCCTCCGGTCTCTACGCACCAATCTTAGAGCTGCGGAACGGAAATTGTGCAAAACAAAAGATCCTGGTGATCAATTGAAATTTCAGGAATTACTGTCCTCATTCTCTGCCAGTATCACTGATGCAAAGAAAGCTTTCTACACTGACAAAATTCTCAGCTCTACTGACTCTCAGAAACTATTTTCGACATTCAAAACTCTGCTCACCCCTCCATCGCCACCTCCTACCAACAATCTATCAGCTGACACCTTTGAACATCTTAGGTGTGTTCTTGCTGTGTCTTTGTAAATCCATGCTTTCGTTCTTTTTTAAACACAGAAACAGTTTTGTTTACCTGTTTGTAGCTACAGTTTCGCCGACAGCTGCCGGCTTCTTCAGGCTGACGCTGATGGTGGCGCGTCACTTCCTTCTCCATTTATCTGCGGGCAGCAGAGGACGTTGTCGCCCTCTACTGCCCGCTCTCCCCTCTCTGACGATGCAGTCCCATGCTTGGTCCAGCGTGTAAACTCCGTCGTCCCTGTTCATGGTCCCACATCCACGTCTCCTTATCTCGATTGCTTCCTTGATCCATCTTTTGTATTTTTGTTGTTCGGTGGTTATGATCCGTGTGTTGTCCCAGTCCATTATATGGTTTTCTCTTAAGCAATGATCTGTTACGGCTGACTTTTTTATTGTACTTTCTGCTTCTTCTTTTGCTGCTCTTGTGTGTTTACGATTTGCCTCTTTCTCGCACTCCTTTCTGTGTTCTATTGTCCGTGTATTGAGTTGGCGTCCGGTTTCTCCTATGTATGTTTTATTGCATATTTTGCATGGGATTTCGTAGATGACTCCACATTTTTGTCCAGCTGATATTTTGTCTTTTGGGTGTACTAGTCTGTTTCTAACTGTTGTGTATGGCTTTGTTGGTGTGTTTATGTTGTGTTTTTTCATTGTTGCTCTTATTTTTTCCGTTATTCCTCTGATGTATGGTAGGGTTATCACTGGTTTTGGTTCTTGTCTTTCTAGGTTTCTGGTTCTTTTTTGGGGTTGTTCTTTGCTTTCTGTTTTTGTTTGTTGTTTTCCTTTGTTTATTGCCCATGATATAACATTATATCACCGAGCAAACATAATAACAGAAGAGAGAGACCGTAAACAAGAGGACAAACACATACAATACGCTTTAAAGACCTGCGCATACCCGACATGGGCAATAAACAAAGGAAAACAACAAACAAAAACAGAAAGCAAAGAACAACCCCAAAAAAGAACCAGAAACCTAGAAAGACAAGAACCAAAACCAGTGATAACCCTACCATACATCAGAGGCATAACGGAAAAAATAAGAGCAACAATGAAAAAACACAACATAAACACACCAACAAAGCCATACACAACAGTTAGAAACAGACTAGTGCACCCAAAAGACAAAATATCAGCTGGACAAAAATGTGGAGTCATCTACGAAATCCCATGCAAAATATGCAATAAAACATACATAGGAGAAACCGGACGCCAACTCAATACACGGACAATAGAACACAGAAAGGAGTGCGAGAAAGAGGCAAATCGTAAACACACAAGAGCAGCAAAAGAAGAAGCAGAAAGTACAATAAAAAAGTCAGCCGTAACAGATCATTGCTTAAGAGAAAACCATATAATGGACTGGGACAACACACGGATCATAACCACCGAACAACAAAAATACAAAAGATGGATCAAGGAAGCAATCGAGATAAGGAGACGTGGATGTGGGACCATGAACAGGGACGACGGAGTTTACACGCTGGACCACGCATGGGACTGCATCGTCAGAGAGGGGAGAGCGGGCAGTAGAGGGCGACAACGTCCTCTGCTGCCCGCAGATAAACGGAGAAGGAAGTGACGCGCCACCATCAGCGTCAGCCTGAGGAAGCCGGCAGCTGTCGGCGAAACTGTAGCTACAAACAGGTAAACAAAACTGTTTCTGTGTTTAAAAAAGAACGAAAGCATGGAGCTGACACCTTTGCCTCATTCTTCACTGACAAAGTGGCAGCTATAAGCAAACAGTTTACTCAACTGGACACTCCTGAACATTCGCTACCACAAACTCCTTCTAGTCCAACCATCTCAAGCCCTACTGCTTCATTTTCCTCTTTTTCCCCTCTCACTGAGAACTGTGTGTCCAAGCTTCTCACGTGCAGCCGCCCTACTACATGCCCACTCGACTCCATTCCGACTAAGCTGCTCCAAGCTATTGCTCCTACAGTAGCCGCAGCAGTCACACATGTGATCAATGAATCACTGACATCCGGTACATTTCCCACCTCTCTCAAGCATGCTCAGGTTAAACCGCTGCTAACAAAAACCATCTCTTCCTCCAAATCATGTGGAGAACTATTGACCTATCTCTCTCCTCCCTTTTCTGTCCAAAATCATTGAAAGGGTGGCTTTCAAGCAGATCACAGAATACCTCTCACAAAACTGTCTGCTTGACCCTTACCAATCTGGGTTCAAAAAGGGCCACTCCACTGAAACTGCTCTGTTAGCAGTTAAAAGAAGCTAGAGCGACAGGCAAATCCTCAGTGCTTATCCTGCTCGACTTATCGGCTGCATTTGACACTGTCAACCATGGCTTCCTTTTGTCCACACTCTCTAGCATGGGCATTACAGAGAAAGCACACGCCTGGTTTGAATCGTAACTCACAGGACGATCATTCAGTGTATCTTGGCTTGGACAATCCTCTACCATGCACCATCTTGCCATAGGAGTCCCCCAGGGCTCTGTATTAGGACCTCTTCTCTTTGCCATATACACCACCTCACTGGGTGAGATCATTCGATCACATGGCTTCTCCTACCACTGCTATGCAGACGACACCCAGCTCTATCTGTCATTTCCACCGGACCACCACACTGTCTCTGCACGAATATCAAACTGTCTCTCTGACATATCAAAATGGATGAAATCCCATCATCTCCAACTCAACCTCTCTAAAACTGAACTACTTGTAATCCCAGCAAAACCTTCCATACAGCACAATATCTCAATCCAAAATGACTTCCTATCTCTGGCTCCTTCAAAGGCATTTTGAAATCTGGGTGTTGTGATTGATGAACACCTGACCTTTAAAGATCATGCTGCCTCTGTTGTTCGTTCATGCCGCTTTGCGCTGTATAACATACGAAAGATCAGACCATACCTAACACAACATGCCACCCAGCTCCTGGTGCAGTCTACTGTCATCTCCCTACTCGATTACTGCAATGCCCTTCTAACTGGTCTTACAGCCTGTACTGTGAGACCTCTTCAAATGGTCCAGAACCCAGCTGCGCATCTGGTCTTCAATCAGCCAAAAAGAGCAAACGTCATCCCTCTGTTCATTGAGCTTCACTGGCTATCGCTAGCAGCACGCATCAAGTTCAAATTGCTAACAATAGCATACAAAGTCTGAGATGGTACGGATCCCATCTACCTAAATCCTCTTGCAAAGGCTTACGTCTTGGCCTGGCCACCCCAGTCATCACAGGATTGTCGGCTAGCAGTGCCTACACCACACTCAGGACAATCCAGACTCTTCTCATGCATCGTTCCACAAATGTGGAATGACCTACCAAGCACTACCAGAACTGTGGCTTCCTTTTCAATTTTCAAGAAACTCTTGAAGACCCTGCTCTTCAGAGAGCATCTTCTAAACTAGTACCCTCCCTGCACCCATCCCACCCTCTACCGTCCACTCCTTGTTCCCTCCTCTCCTTGATTGATGTCAAGTTGTTGTTATTGTTGTTGTTAGCCTCAAGGGCAACATGCCGATAATCACTTGTAAGTCGCTTTGGACAAAAACATCTGCTAAATACATAAACATACATAAACATACAATTTTGACATCAATAGGAAATCTGCTTAGGTCTTTTATTTTGAAATTTGCCAAAGCTTTATAATGCTCCTGTGTTTGATTTCCTGTGTGGGCTAATGTGAACTGCTGAGCTCAACGTGTTCTGGAAACGTGTAAAAGTTAGACCCGGCACATAAATTTAGCAAAGCGCTGTGACGTCTCCCTTCTGGTGTCCGACACTTCAGGTGGAAACGCTGACGTTACCTACTGCTTACTTTTCCAGTGGAAAGTCAGGATTAGACTTTTCTACATTCATGCACATTTAGAAATTAGAAAACGTTCTTGTTGTTTGGGTAGAAGAACCTGACCATTTCATTGATGCTGCAGCTTGGTGGGTTAGCTAAGCTAACTTAGCTTTCATGCAATGACAAACAAACAAAAATCTAACTTCAAGTTATTTAAGTGAAAGGAAGTAATTTGGGTGGAAACGTTTCTCCCCAATTTTAACACCTTTTGTTGCTGTGTTCAGAAAAAGTTCATTAAGGGTGTTTTGTTGCACCTCAATAAGAACCGACACCCTAGTGGACGGGATGAAAAACGCCACCTGGTATAACCTTTCACTTTTTTTTCTCTCTTATCTTTTTTCGGAGTGGGATGGTGGGTGGGAGTTGGAGGCTTCGCTGTTGCTGGTGCTTTCATATCACAGGTAGTCGTACTTCTGTGCAATGCCAAAGGTCCTGAGAGAAAAATAAAGGAATCCACTGAGCCATTAATGCCATTAATAGATGTGTTTGCAGTCCTCAATAAAAACCCTTCAATGCTCATGGATAAATATGTTGGATTTGCCTGCTCTCGGCCTGACGTTGCACAGACTGGTGAATTAGGTGAGACATGGGTGAGTCAGTGGTAGTAATAGTGATTAGTAAAGGGCTTTTTTTCTGTTTTTCTCAGCTCCCAGACATCTTGGGTCAGGTGAGAATCTGATCTGAAAACATCCCCTAACCACTTTGCAAAATCTATTCTGGTAATGTTCCCAGATCATCTGGATAGGTGTTAACTGATGATAATAATCATATAAAAGACGGTACTGATCATCTATTTAGTTCACAAAGGTCTCTGGTTTGGTCAAAACGCTGGTTAGTGGGTTTGGGGTTGTTTTCAGATGCAAGTGTGTAGTCCTCCTTCTTTGAAGCACCTTTGTAGCTTTTAGTCCGCTCTACCAGATGTTGCTTGTAGGCTCTCCTCTCCGAATAAATCCCCTGAGCCGGAGGTGTAACTTTAGTGTGGCTCCAGATAAAAGAAGCAGCGTTTTTTTTCTTAAACATTAGAACTAGTTAAATAAACTTGAGATTATCAGTGTTTCCATGAGAGTGACTTAAAGCAGAACTCCAGTTTTTTTTTATCTCAAGGGCACCTTCTAGAGGCAGAAAAATGAATTGCACCTTAAAGATGTGGATCACAAAATTTTTTTAATGAATTTTCTGATTATAATCAGTCACTCTGAGTTTTTCATGCAGGCTGAACATGAAAATAGTCTCCTACACCTATCCCCTACATTCTTAAACTCTAGGATTAGAAAAGCCTGACAGAGCTACGTCACACTGTTACTTAATATTCATGGACTCACTCATCTTGTGTCACGACGGAGAAGGCTGTTGTTGATTTAGCGTCCAGGAAACAGCAGAGTGCGTCTTGGTTAATAGAAGCTAACAGTTAGCATTAGCAACTCCACAACACAGCAGAACTCCTCCAGACTTGTGTTTTTGTTGAGATAAAACATCAGTGTTTCAAAGCAAACAGAGTCAGTGGTAGAGTTGCGTTGCTTTTAGCCAATCAGAGGCGAGATATCCAAATATCAGGAAATAAAACCGCAAACTCTCTGTGATTGACATTTGTACATAAGCAGATGTCTTCTGCTTATTGGCTAATGTTGAGTGGCGCTCAACTTAAGTTGCACTGGGCACTACAAGATGGGGGCGGCTTAGCATAAAAGAAAGGACATATTGCCTCCATTATATATCAAAGCTCAAGTCTAAATCGTTCAAAGTTGATGCCAAAGCCGTCTCAAACAAGCGTCGTTCCTGAGCTGCTCTAGTGTTAAACACACCCAACAAACTTCGAGCGAAAGCACAAGACTCAAAACGGTTCAGGTCATCGGTGGACCTACGGAGGCCACAATGGAGCGCAGTTACTGACCTGCACAGAGAAATCTTTTAGATTTCTAGGCTAACATCATTCCTGAGAGGAGGAAAACTCTGGATTGCTGCTTTAAATTAAACATTTAATAGTATTTACCACAGAAATAGATCCTCTAATGGGCTTGTTGGGGAAAGTATTTGAGGAAATAGACTTCAGGTTGGGACTGGTTATAAACGGTGTTGAGCTGATCCGAGGTGTGCCGCCGTAACCCGAGTAGTTTCAGGTGTCATCTCAGGAAGTTATTAAATATGCATGGACTAGACCTGCATGACGGAAGCGACAGAAAGGAGCCGCAACATGGTTTAGCCCAGTCACACACACACCTAGCTAAATATAGAAACGTTCAAATGAAGGAAGCTGGTGGCTGCAAAACCGCGAGCTGTGTAGGTGTGTGTCCGTCCGTGGTAACACACAGCTTAAAAACGCCAGATATGTGTGGTAATGAACTGGGTGACTTCTAGGGAGAAGTAGGAAGAACTATTGAAGTCAGCCAGCTTCCCTTTAGCTGACAGATCAACACGACAGAAAGATTTGAAAAGATAGAAGAGAATAAGGGAAATCCTGAAGAAGCAGCAAGTGGACAGGCTGAAGTGCTGGTTTTGCTAGTTTCCTGTAAGGCTGTGTGGGTGGATTTCTATTGGAGCTGGTGGTAGAGCAACAAATCAGACATGGGGATAAAGGTGTTGGAGAGATGACTGCTCAGGGTCTTGGTGTGAACAGACTTTCCCGTACAACCACTTGTTGTTGTCGTCCTGCTCCATTCTCTCCCTTTAAAGCATCATTTGTTTAATTGAAACGCTGCCAAAACTTTCTTTTCTGCATCGTTTTATTTGTCACCAGGTTTTTATTTAGATGGGCATTCTTTAAACGTGCACTTGTTTTTTAATGGTTTCACCAAAGAAGCACGCTGTGGTTTGTGTCTCTGCAGGTGGGTTCGCACCGTGTCAAACTCTCACGGGGCTTTGAAGCAAACGCGCCAGCTTTTGAAAGGTAATTCTGGTGTTTGGTGTAGCTTGGGTGGCCACGCTTGTTTACCGTTTTCAGAGGCTTTATTTGACTTTCAACAGATTAACGGCCCTCTGAACCGCACTGTGTCTCCTGTTCCCACTGTCCAAGGACAGATGAGAAGTTGTTCACGATTGTGAAGGAGGGGGTGCTTTTTAAAACGGAGGGTGCAGCCGATTAAATGCTAGAAACATAAAAATCACTAAGCTGTGGGTTATGTTCGTTTCCTGCAGTTTTCTCCACATCTTAACCTTTTGTTCAGGGAAATCTTTACTTTTTGTACACACTGACCAGATGTTTTGTGGGAGAGATCTTAGCCAGGGTTTTGTGGTGGAAACAAAATCTCTCTAATCTCTGTTACACCCAAATAGTACCGGTTCCATCCTTATCAACTCACAGCAGCCACTTCCTACCAGACCATCCCCAAGTGGTGTTGAGTTTCTTCAAACAAGCGTTTTACTAGAAAACGCTGAAGACAGCTAGCAGTTCTGTCAACTGTTGTTGTTGTTGTTGTTGTTATGAGGTTTTCAGATGTAAAAATATGTTTTGGTCTTTTTGATGTGTGTTTTTATGTAATTGTTAGAAGTAATAAATATATTTTCTGAACAGCCTGTTTGGAGACAGGGACTGATGAGCTAACAGCTAGTCTGAACACAGACTAAAACCAGATTGGCTCCAATTTCCAAATTATCATATTAGTTCATGTGGACATTTTATTTTTTCACATTTTTTATCTAAATGTTTCTTTTTTTCCATTTTTTAAAATTATATTTCTAAGAAAGGCGTCTTTAATTTTGTCCTTCACTTTTATAAACTTTTACATGTTTAGTTAATTAGTAGTCTTTTTGTTATTTACTCATTAAAACGCCACAAGCAGTGCATACTGTAGCATGTATGCTAGCTAGCCCCGTGCATGCTTTACTGCGTGTTGTAATTATTTATAAATTATTTCTATTTTTAACTTACTGTATCACTAAATAGTTGGCAGCACTCAGTTTTTCAAATTTCAGTTCAGACATAAACTTCTGTGTCATTAGTTTCAATATTTAAAGGTAAACTTAGCAACTTTTTCATATTTTATATAATTTTCTTGAGCCAGTATGTGCTAAAAAGACTCTTTACATGGTTAACGAAATGTCACTCAGCACCGCAATGCCCACTGTGGCCAGAATATTGCACTTGCAACTTCAGAGTGCCGGTCTGGTACCTGTTGGACTTATGAAAGTGGAGCTGCGTGCCTGGCGCTGCAGTCTGCTTCCAGCACGTTTCCTGCGTGTTCTAGATCATGAACACAGCTGATTTGTTTGATTTAGTGATGAACCGCTCCTGTAGACACTAATGAAGGCGGAAGAGACATTTCAGCCGTTTCATTACGGCGATTAGATTAAATGCACAGCGAGGAGAGTTTTACTTTAGTTTTTACTAACGGACACTAGGAGGTGCTAAAAGCAAGGCAAAGCTGCATCATATCCCTTTAATATTTTTCTAGCTACCACATTTTTCAGACCCTGTTTTTACTAACTGACCTACTGCTTTTTGTTGCTACCTTCTCTCTTGAACTTCACTTTTACTTATGAGTTTTGTACTTTGTAACAAGACCAACAGACCCCTGCAGCATTAGTATTCATATTTATGGGAATGTTCATAACAGCAGCTGCTTGTTTTCCAGACACTTCACTGCACTGAGGAGGCTGTACGGAAAACAGGTGATCATTAACCTACTTGGAAGTAAAGAAGGAGAGAATATGCTCAGCAAAGCATTTCAGGTGAGAAGTTCTTGGGTTTTTTCTTTCATCTCACACACGTTACAAGACTTGGCTCTAGTGAGTTAGTCGCAGATTCTGTTCCGACACGCTAACTCTCACACCAGTGGCTGTGATGAAGACATTCAGTGCTAAGTCCTTTACTTTGAACAGAGCCGTCAGTGAACCGGGATCTGTTACCAAGGCAAAATATGCAGAACATTTAGAGAAATACGCTATTTTATTGTTGCTAGATGTTCTGTATGTTCTTCAGCTGTCAACCTTTGTTTATAGTTTTGCACAGGAGTACCAAATACCTATTCGGTACATTTTTGGGTTTAATTCAAGTTTTACCAATAAATGTTTATTTATATTGCTTTACACTACACTTTACACTACCCAGTGGGCGACCAAAGTGCTTCACATTTAAAAATGAAACTTAATGCCAAGTAAAACGTTTAAAAACCACTGAGAACAACAATAAAACAACCAAATCGAAACGCTAAAGTCAAGAGTAAAACATTACAGCACTGTTAAAAAAAGCCCAGTGGAAAGGAGCTTTTAATCCATATTTAAACAAAGTCATGTCAGTAGTCATACGCTAGTCACTCGTAGCCCGTTCCACAGCTTTGGAGCTGAGCGATCCCCCCATTGTCTGTACTTTGATCTTGGAACATATAAATAAAATTGATCAAATATTTCCTCTTTTGTTTTGTTCCTCTCAGAGTCACCTAAAGGCATCAGAGCATGCAAACGAAGTGAAGATGGTTAACTTTGACTACCATCAAAACGTGAAGGGCGGCAAAACTGAAAAACTCAGCAGCGTCCTGAAACCCCAGCTTGGCAAATTCTTAGAGGAGTGTGGCTTCTTCTACTACACTGGGGAAACAGGAATTCTTAGGTAACAAGTACTTCCTCTTTCTGATTTTTTTTTTAGTCCTGATTTTCTTCATTTTACATTTGATGAAGCAAAATGACGTCTTACACACTCCCAATTCTGTCTGTCATTTTGTTACACACTCGTAGCAAAATTATAGATTAGGATCAAACACACTTATTGGGTTTATAAAACACACATTTTGTCAGTGTGAGTGTCCCATTGCTGCCAGGCGTGTGTTGTATCTGCACTGCTAGCTTGTTTATGCAAAACTAGCCTTGCCCTGTGTCCGCCCCAGCTCCTGCATCATCTGGTCCACATAGAATCTACGAAACTCTGATAAACAGTTTAATTGTGTTTTGAAAGAATACTTTTTGTGTTCCATCTACTTGTGATGTCATCATCCAAGCAGGTGCTTTATTGTGTAATGTTTGCGTCATCATGTAGCTGAAAGTGTTCTTTGCTCAAATATTGTTGAGAATAATCTTTGGACATTGATTTGTTTAATTACACTAGTTTTTATAAATTTTGTTGCTACAAAATTAATTATTGATGTTTTCTTAAGGTGTGTGTGTATTTACATATATATTGTGCAATTTTTTTGCCTTTTAGGTAAGAAGCTGGCAATACGATATAGGTCACAATCCCAGAGAGACGATATGATATGTTGTGAAACTAAAAGCTAAACTTTATTTGCAATTTTTAAGACCGAATTTAAGTGGAAAACGCGGGTCAGACACTTCCAAGACACATGCAGTGTTATTGTGAGATCTCGTTGTTCGGTCAAACAAAGGGGGGAACTGCTGCCGAGTTTGAGTTGCACCATATTAGAGAAATACAGTTAATGTTTGCATGTACACTCTCAATGAAAGTCAATTCACTGCTTTAAACATTGATTCAGGATCAAATCATGAAATTTCACTTCAATATATTGCTTCTCCCTAATTCTAATGCTAAAGCTGCAAAACAAGCTAGCTCTTAAATAGAAACCGTCGCAGAACTCTCACCCTTGGCTATCATGCCTAGGCCACATCCCCCTGATACCGGAACATGCATTGCCACAGTAAAGGAGATAGTACTGAACACCTGTCGCTGTTTTCTACGTCCAAATGTTTTTTGTTGCTGTCCGTGCCTTCAAAAGGTGTTTTTCTTTTTGGGACACTGATGGTGTGTCCTAAAGTTGAAGTGGTAGCAGCCGGCTGTTTCCCCTTCCCATTGTTGCTTAACACATGAGTGGGTAATGATTGGAGGACCCAGGGAATGTGGAAGTGCAGTGGTTCAGCGAGACGGACATCCGGGTGGTCCCGTCGTTGGTTTTGGACCAAGCTGTGTTATTGGCTTTAGCAAATTTTGTTTTTTGTTTTTTCCCCCACAAAATCTTCTTTAGCTATTCCACGACTTTTGTTAAGATGCAAAAATATGTTTTAAGCTAGCTTGTTATCAGATTTCCCATTGTAGCTTTAAGTTGCTGTTACTTAGTTGGGATTTTCTATGCTTAAAGTCAAAATCTGGAATTGTTCACTGCTGTGTTTCTTCAGGTCTCAGGGAGGAACCCTCAGGACCAACTGCTTGGATTGTTTGGATCGAACCAACAGCGTTCAGGCCTTCTTTGCTCTTGAGGTAGGAGTTCAGCTGTGTTTGTAGCGCTCTTAAGACTTTTAGAGATAATTGTTTTGATTCAACCTCTGTCCTCCTCATTTCCTGTAGATGCTCACCAGACAGCTAGAGCAGATGGGTCTGACGGAGAAGCCACAGCTGGTGGCCCGGTTTCAGGAGGTTTTTAGGACCATGTGGTCTATGAACGGTGACTCCATCAGTAAGATCTATGCAGGCACCGGTGCCCTGGATGGGAAGGCTAAGGTGACGAAACAAATGCACTCTAACAACCAAGTTCAAAGTGAAATTATTTCTGCTTTTTGTGATGTTTGGCAGTTTGAGGGACATTTATGTCATTCTGGGTTTGTATGTAAACATAACAGAGCATTCATTATTAACGTGAAAGATTTTAAGCCACTAAATGCACCTTTTTTAAGTTTAAATGTCCAGTCATAACTCCGTATAAGCTCCATTCTTTTCCACAATTGCACTGACCGTTAACCATTTGTGTGCCACTGTGTGCTTCTGTTTCTAAATTTTTGTCTCTTTTGGCTAACCTCTGGACCTTTCAACTCGTATATGGTAAGTTTACAAGGGAGGTTGATGTTGGTCTGTGTTGGCCGCCCGGTTTATTTCTTGGTCTGAGGGTTGAATAGTAATGACCGTGGAGTTTGGGATAGGCACGTCTCTTTTGATTGCTTATTTTTTAAAGCAGCAATCCAAAGTTTTCCCTCTTTCAGGAATCCATAAAGGTGGTTGTCTTACCCTGTACTGGGATATATTGTATGCAATACCTTTTTTGCTAAGCTCGCCCCTTCCATGCATTTTGAATTTAGTGCCACTCAGCGTTAGCCAATAGCATTAGACATTCTCTTACATACAGATTTCATCACAGAGCATGCGTGAGAGTTTGTGGACATGTCTCGACTGATGCAGAGTTGATGACAGTTCTTATGAACTGGCTAAGGGTGAGCTTCGATGAACAAGAGGTGTTACTTCCAGCTGTAATCTCGAAAGTAGGGAGAGGGGTACGGTATATGGTGTAATACATATTTCCGCTTCTAGATGGTGCCCTCTGACAAAAAAAACTCTGGATTTCTGCTTTAAATAGCTTTTTCTTTCACTTGGGGTATCTTTGTGACAGACCTGTAGAAATGCGTTCATAAAGGAAGCGAACAGGGGAAAAATGCTGCTCGTCTGTGTATGCTTACTGCTTTATCAGTTATCATCGCTGCTTAAATTATAAGGGCAAACGTTTCTCTGTTTCTCAGAACCTGGAGAGATCTGTCCAGATTTACCATAAATCCATGCTGCGCATCATTCAAGAATTCTGATTCTCATCTTTTCTTTTAAAAAACCTGTGATAGATCTCTCCAAACCGCCTTATCTTTGTTTTTTTTTCCTTTCGTGCAGTTGGAAAGACAGAATCTTGAGGGATTTTCTAAACATGTTCCCTAACATTTTATATTAATTGTAGGCGGGGAAGCTGAAAGACGGAGCTCGATCTGTGACGCGGACCATCCAGAACAACTTCTTCGACACTTCTAAGCAGGAGGCTATAGACATCTTGAGGCTGGGCTCCACGTTAAACAGTGACTTGGCTGACAAAGCTCGGGCCTTGCTCACCACTTCCAGTCTTTACGGTAATTCCTCACACGGCAAATTGTGACGTAACATTTAAATAATTAAATAATCTCAACAAATTCATGTTAAACAATCTTTTTTTAATTTTAATCGGCCGATTTAAGACTACTTGTATCAGCCATAACATTATGACCACCTGCGCAGGTCAGACACTCCTTGGGTCGCTACATCTGTAGGGAGATGTTCTTGCTTTGCAGATTGAGCTTGACCCATGGTCATAATATTATGGCTCACTCATGAACAGAGCCTGCTCTGTTCCCTCTTGCACATTGTTAGAATATTTGTGACACGTTTAAACATGCAGCTGTTGTAGTCTTCTCAGCTACAGGTTGAACTTCCTGTTGTGAGGGGGGGGGGGGGGGGGTGTCACACATCAGCTGTGTGACTCACTTTAATAACGACTTTCCTGTTCCCTGGTAAAGCTGTTAACGCAGACTTTTCTTCCTTCTCTCCTTCTCACCCTCGCAAACAATGGTAGTCACTGAGCCTGTCTTACAATCAGGTACAGTAACTGACAGACGTGAACCGGTGGCCCCGCCAGAAAGTCGTCCTCTCATTTGTGTTTGCTTTTCATTATTTACCTAAAGTCCAGTGTTGGTAGTGGTTTGCTCCTCTGTCTGGTATGAGTTATTGGATTCCTGGTTAAAAGAAAGCAAATGGATTTCTGGAGACAGTGAAAACCATTACCAACAGTTATTCTGTGAGTGTTTGAACCTTGTTGTGTACTTCCTCATTCCTATTGTTTATGCCGTCTTTGATTACCTTTCCCGTGTTTCAGTCTCATTTCCCATCCCTCCCTTCTTAAATATAAACACATTAAGTTGTGCAGCCTAATCTGACTCCTCTCTCCTCTTCAGCCTCTCCAAGAGTGTTGCTGGGAATGTGCCAGAACTACCACAAATACACTAAGCCCAAGCAAATCCGAGTGTGTGTCGGCACCTGGAACGTCAACGGGGGTAAACAGTTTCGGAGCATCGCTTTTCGGAACCAAACTCTGAACGACTGGCTGCTGGACGCTCCTAAAAAGGCCGGGCATCCCGAGTTCCAGGGTATGTCGCTGTTTATTTATCTGCTATTACTTCTGGTTCTCGTCACCTTCAGACTGTTTAATAGGGCTGCTCTTGTTTATGGGTCTGAACATGTTTATTTACCTTTAGACAGGACAACAGTTGAAGGTATTTCTTGTGTACAGGGTGTGTGAAGGTGAAGAAAGCTGCGGCGTATTTTAGTTTTTAACATGAAATTAAAAGCAAACTGAATTGTTGTCATTTGTGTTTATACCAGCATTTCTAATGTCTTTCTGGTTGATTTATGCCATTTAAGAATGTGTAATTTCTTGAATATATATGAACAAAAGGAATAATGTAAAAATCAAAGGATTTGACACAAATATCATTTTACCTAGCCTAGAAATCTACACTAACCTTTGTTAGAGCAAAGGATTTGCTCTGCAGGTTGGTCGAGCCACGCTCCATCACAGCCTCAGCAGGTTTACCTTTGGACCGAACACTTTTAGGTCCAGCCAATCACAGCAGTTTATGCTTGTAGAGACGTTGTGCAGACTTAGCACCAGAGCTGCAATGGAGAAATGTACAAACATGGCGTCAGCTCAGGAACAGCGCTTGTTTGAAACGGCTTTGGCGTCAACTTTGAACAATTTAGACTTGGGCTTTTCTTTGAGATGAGCAGATAGAGGTACTTAATTTCAAAAAGGGATGCATCTGCATCTTCTTCCATGATGGATTGCTCCAATGACTGATTTCTGCAGCGATGAATACGTCACTTTGTTCATGGATCTGATTGGTCCGACGCTGTCCAATAGCATGTGAAGATTTTTAGAAAGGAATCCGTAGATTCCACCCCGTGTCTCTGGGTTGTTATGGGATGGCTTGCCAGGCTACATTTCACCAGCTGTTTGTTAAAAGCTTTTTATTGCCTTGTAAGTTGCTAATAATTTGTTTTTAAATACATTTTTTATTTATGTTTATGATTATTTATTTAGCAGACGCTTTTTATCCAAAGCGACTTACAATTTATAACCTGTAGGGCATGTTGTGATCTGTGGGGGAAACCGGTAGCCTGGCAAGCCAGACTAAATAAATGTATTATTTAGTCTGGCCACGCTCCATTGACGGCTCTCGGTTGTGGGGCGGGTTCTACCGTTGTCTTTCAAATGATCTCCACATTCCACTGGACAATGAATGTGACGTGCTCTTGTTTCACTCTGTTGCATCATCCCACCCACCAGGCATATAGAGTGCCCTGATTGGCCCACAAAGCGGATAAAGCTCTGTGATTTGTTCACTAAGCAGATAGAGCACTATGATTGGCCCACCATTATGGACCAATCACAGCTCTTTATGTGTTTGAAACCCCTCTAGAGAGCTGTGATTGGCTAGCCAGAGTCCTGGTAGGAGCTGCTGAGGTTCCAATGGAGCATGCCTAGACCATTCTTTGCAAAGCAAGAATTTGGTCTAGTTCACTAGGCTAGGAAACCGGAGTACCCGGAGGAAACCCACGCATGCATGGGGAAAACACGCAACTCCACACAGAAAGACGGCAGCCGAGCCGAGTTTTGAACCTGCAACCTTCGTGCTGCGAGGCAACAGTGCTAACCACGGCGCCACCATGCACCATGTAAATGTTTAATGTAGCTAACTATACAGGTGAACTAATTTGGCTCACTATTTGGCAAAAATCAGTAATTTTTCTCTTTCTCGACAATAATGAATGCATAACAAGCACTTATTAAAGCTGCACTGTAAACATTTTTTCATGTCTCTCAACAGCATTCTAACATCGTCCCAACTATAAATGTATAGTGGAGACAAAAAAAACATTAATAAAGTGGTTTTCTCGTACCAAAAGACCAAAAGCAACTATCAGACCATCCAGGTGTCGGTCTCACTGAACCGCCGCTCTTCCCTGGGTCCTCCTCGCATTACACACTCGTGTGTTTAGCAACAGAACACCACTGATGGGAGAGGTTTGCCTCCCCCGACCGTGTTTGCGTTCAAAACCTAGCTTGTTTGCAGATTTGCTATAACAGATTTAATTGTAAATAACATACCTACAATCTAGCCTATAATTAACGTGGAGTGGTACCAACTAGGGATGTCCCGATACAACTTTTTCACTTCCAATACGATACCGTTATTGCAGCCTTCAGTATTGACTGATAACGATATCAGCACAAATCATATGTACCTTTACCAATTTCATAGTGTGGAATGTATGAAAGGCTTGATCTAGTGATATTAGTCAGTTGGAGAACAAGAGCCAAAAACAGTATGTATGATTAAAAAAGGACAATTTTTTTTTTTACCATTGGTTGCAAAAATGGGAACCTTAAGGGACTGCTTATGTCGAAGATTTTTGATGCAATCTGATGTAATCCAATACAATGTTTTTGGATTACTTTCAATATCCATATCGGAGCGGGGCATCCCTAGTACCAACTATCATTTTGTTTCCAGACTGTTGGATTAGAGATATAAAACAAAAACAAATGTTTTGTTTTTGTTTTGTTTTGTTGACAGAAGGTAAAGGTAACCCCATCGACATCTTCGCCATCGGTTTTGAGGAAATGGTTGAACTGAATGCCGGCAACATTGTCAGTGCCAGGTAGGAGTTTCACAGTGTTAGCTTTTTAATTCTGCAGTTAAACACCAGATCGTTTTTTATGTATTTAATATACAGCATATATGACACACTTCTATAGGTTACAGCTGGTTTTGAAAATATTGTTTAAAGGGGGATATTTTAATAAGGGCCACCAGTTTGAAACTTGCAAGTCTATTAATAACTATTATAACCATATCAGTTATAGAAGTTAGGTTGATTTGTTTTCTCAGATTTAGTAGATTCCTTTAAATTCAGTAACTCGATAACATCTAGTCCTAAGAGTCACACGAATTCTGATTGTTTCAGCACAACCAATCAAAAACTGTGGGCGGCTGAACTCCAGAAAAACATCTCAAGGGATCACAAGTACGTGCTGCTGGCGTCAGAGCAGCTGGTGGGCGTGTGTCTGTTTGTTTTCATCCGCCCGCAGCACGCGCCCTTCATCAGGTAGGAGCTGCACGGTTCCCCAAACATTGAGCCGTTTTCGTTTTGCACCAACGGGTCATTCTGTTTGGATCAGGGACGTGGCCGTTGATACGGTGAAAACTGGAATGGGCGGGGCCACGGGTAATAAGGGAGGCGTGGCCATCCGTTTGCTGTTCCACACCACCAGCATCTGCTTCGTCTGTTCCCACTTCGCTGCCGGTCAGTCGCAGGTCAAAGAGAGAAACGACGACTACAACGAGATCGCTCGCAGACTCAGCTTCCCCATGGTGACGACCGTCAGCGACAAACTAATCACATTTTGAGTTTCATGCATAACATCTGTCCTGTCCCACAGGGACGTCTGCTGTACTCGCATGATTACGTGTTCTGGTGTGGAGACTTCAACTATCGGATCAGTCTACCCAACGAGGAGGTGAAAGATCTGATCAAGCAGCAGAACTGGGATGCTTTAACAGCTGGTGATCAGTTGTTGGAACAGAAGAATACTGGAATGGTACGGCCCACAGATCTCATGCTAATCTCCTGTTTTCATCACTTTCAGCTTTTTTTTCCCCCCTTTGAGGAACAAAAATCTTGAAATTAGGAAATGAGCCGACTTCGACTGACTCATCGTGTCTTCAGATGCAAACTGAAAAATGCCAGCAAATGTTGAAACATTAGATTTAGGTTCATAAAGACCAGTTTTACTAAATCTAATCAAAAACAAATTCTATAAATAAAAACGTGGGGATGAGGAAAGAAAATATTAAAACTGCTGGTGTTTTCTGTACGAGCATACTTAATAGTTTTATTGTTTTTTTCTGTATTTCACAGATCTTTCGAGGTTTCATTGAGGGGATGTTAGATTTTGCCCCAACTTATAAGTACGACCTGTTCTCTGAGGACTATGACACCAGTGAGAAGTGCCGCACGCCGGCCTGGACTGACCGCATACTTTGGAAGAGGAGAAAGTGGAACTTCAGCAAAACAGGTTACAGCTACTGACGAGTCATGCTAAATAAAAAAAGAAAAAAAACCTCATCCAAGATCTCGGACATTTTTAGGGCTGTGATTTGTACTGGTGCATTATTAACACATGAAAGTACATCTGTATATGTGTTTGTTTGTGTTTGTTCTGCAGCTGAGGAGATGAATGTTGTAGGGGTCGCCTCTACATCTGGGGAGGCTGAGGAGGATCCAGATTACAGCTGGAGCCCTGGCAGTCTGAAGTACTACGGCAGGGCTGAGCTTAAGACCTCTGACCACAGGTAGCTAACAGGAGGCTGAGATTTTAGATGATTTGTTGTAAGGAAACCTGGCGATACAATAAACATCACAATACGGGGGAGGTGATACGATACATTGTGATACCTATCTTGAGAGGGGCGCTATATAAAAGATAGTTTTCTTTCTTCTTTTTTTCTAAAATCCAGATGATATTTGCCATTTTTACGACTGAAGTTAATCAGAAAATCTAGGCTAGACACTTCCAAGACACATCTACTATCATCATAAGATCTTGTGGTTCTGGTAGAATGAAGGTGGTAAAAAGTGCTGCCATCTAGCAGTTGGAGTTTGAATTGCACGACACAAAAAAAACACAGTCAATGGTTTGTTCTTGCATCTCTAAGTGAAACTATTAGATCACATAATTGGGAGATATCAGTCTTCGTCGTCTTCGTCTTCCTCCGCTTATCCGGGTCCGGGTCGCGGGGGCAGCATCCCAATTAGGGAGCTCCAGGCCGTCCTCTCCCCGGCCTTGTCCACCAGCTCCTCCGGCAGGACCCCAAGGCGTTCCCGGACCAGATTGGAGATGTAACCTCTCCAACGTGTCCTGGGTCGACCCGGGGGCCTTCTGCCGGCAGGACATGCCCGAAACACCTCCCCGGGGAGGCGTCGAGGAGGCATCCTGACCAGATGCCCAAACCACCTCAACTGGCTCCTTTCGATCCGGAGGAGCAGCGGTTCTACTCAGAGTCCCTCCCGAATGTCCGAGCTCCTCACCCTAGCTCTAAGGCTGAGCCCGGCCACCCTACGGAGGAAACTCATTTCGGCCGCTTGTATCCGCGATCTCGTTCTTTCGGTCATTACCCAAAGCTCATGACCATAGGTGAGGATTGGGACGTAGATCGACCGGTAAATCGAGAGCCTGGCTTTCTGGCTCAGCTCCCTCTTCCCCACGACAGATCGGCTCAGCGTCCGCATCACTGCAGACGCCGAACCAATCCGCCTGTCGATCTCCCGATCCCTCCTACCCTCACTCGTGAACAAGACCCCGAGATACTTAAACTCCTCCACTTGAGGTAGGACCTCTCCCCCGACCCGGAGGTGGCAAGCCACCCTTTTCCGGTCGAGAACCATGGTCTCAGATTTGGAGGAGCTGATCCTCAGTCTCCTACATATTTCTCTTCAGACCAGTGGTGGCGGTAATCGACGTGGACATCCTGGAGGTGGACCCGGAGGCCCGACACCAGGTCTATAAGGACGTCATCGCCCTACAGGGGCCTCCAGATGGCACCATCCTGGTGTCGCTCTGCACATCTGGACCTGATGACTACTTCAGTGATGAACTCATTGATGAGCTACTTGATAAGTTTGCTAACTTTGGAGAGGTCATCCTCATCAGGTGAGCCTAACATTCTGAAAACAAATGTGTTGACCTCCACTCCGTTATTCTGCCATGATTGTTTGTTTTTAACTGCAGGTTTGTTGAAGAGAAGATGTGGGTGACCTTCTTGGAAGGTTATTCTGCTCTGGCTGCACTCTCTCTCAGTGCATCAACCGTAAGTCCTTAATATCTTCATCCATTGTCTGAACCCGCTTGTCCATGTAGGGTCATGGGTCGCGGGGGGGGGGGGGGGGGGGGGCTGGGCTGGTGACTGGTGCCTGGTGCCTATCTCCAGCGGTCAATGGGCAATCAGGCGGATACACCCTGGACAGAGAGCCAGTCCATCGCAGGGCAACACAGAGACACACAGGACAAACAACCATGCACACACACACTCACACCTAAGGACAATTTAGACAGGCCAATCAGCCTAACAGTCATGTTTTTGGACTGTGGGAGGAAGCCAGAGTACCCGGAGAGAACCCACGCATGCACAGGGAGAACATGCAAACTCCATGCAGAAAGATCCCAGGCTAGGAAGCGAACCCAGGACCTTCTTGCTGCAAGGCAACAGCTCTAACCACTAACCACTGCGCAGCCTCCTTATAAATTTTAACATCTATCTTGTTGGGGTTCCACAAGGTTGGATATTTGGACCCTTACTGTTCTCTGTGTACATTATGTAACATCTGGTACTAGTATGGCTTTTTATTCCACCTATATGCCGATGATTGCCAGCTGCATTTGCCACTGGACAAGTCTGAGGATTACCCTATTAAAGCAACAATAAAAAGTTTTAACACTTTAAGCTATTGCTTCATAAATGGTTTCAGTTGTTCTTGAGGCAGACACTTGAGCAACTTGACAGGGGACAGCCCTCCACTGGCAAGAAACTGCACTAAACAACTTTGGTGGTTTGTGTCGGCACCAGTAGAAAATCTTTATCTGCTTTACTGCAACAGCTGTTTACTGTGCCGGTAGCTAATGTGAAGGCTAACAGTTAGCTTTTTCAGTTTGCCGCAGCCAACCATCAATAAAAAGCGCAAGAAGAAGAGTTCAACTTATTTTGTTGGCATCCTAGCAGAGCCTGGGAGTAAAAGGAAGAGAATAATGTCTCTGGAGGCAAATCAAAGGGGCAAGGCAGCTTTCTTTATCTAGCACATTTCATACACAGAGGCAATTCAATGTGCTTTCCATTAGCAAGAATAGTAAGAGCATTAAAATCCATGGACTGCACAATTCAAATATACACAAATTCAATTTAGATTAAAAAATTATAAAAACACAAAGTTAAAGGATGAGCAGTTACAGTGCAGTATAAGAAACATTCATTCAAAGGCTGATGAACACATGAAGGTTTTACATTTTTATTTAAAAGGTACTAGAGTTGGGTCACGAGGAAGCTGATTCGTGTGCAGCATAGTAGCTAAAAGCAGCTTCACCCTGTTTGAAAGAAGATGCCACTGAGTGGTATTTAAACTAGTAAAAGCACTTTGAAATCAATTCAGTAGTAGTAGAACTGCCAATCATACATTCATAAAATACAACTTACCTGACGTCGTCGTCTGCAAAGCCGGTGCAAGCAACAGCAGGGTTGTTTAAGACAGTCGTAATTCAACCTTTCTCAAATAATGTCTTCCTTCTTTTCTGATCGGATGTATTTTGCAGGTCCTGGACAAGATGATAGACGTCCGCTTGAGGAGTCCAGGCTGGATCAGGAGTCTGGAGGAGGAGATGAGTGTAGAAAGGATCTGCGGAAGCATTCCCACGTCGAGTAGCTCCACGCTGCTCGCTGAGGATGTGTACGTGGGTGATGACGATTTTGAGATGGAAGGTGAGAAGTCGTCACTGAGCTATGTGGAGAATCATGGAAGACATTTTCCAAAACCTGGATTGTCCCCTACCTGTGTTCTCCTCCAGGTGAGGTCGACGAGGAGGTGGAAGACATCCTTCCTCAGCACCTGCTGCCTGGAACCGGCTCTGCTCCCGGATCCTCCCCTCTTCCGTCTCCACGCAGCAGTCCTTGCCCCTCCCCTACCCAGGGAGAGCCCTCTGCTCCCAGCAGACCCACTCGTGCACAACCCACTCGACCGTCACAAGGTTAATTACAAAGTACAACCAAATCACATCTTCATGTTGTGGTCTCCACCTGCTGGAATATAACTTTGATTCTGTTGTGTTTGGAATTTGCGGAAGCCGCTTTAAGTGTGTCCACTCAGAGCGAGGAACCTCCAGGTAAAACGGAGCGTAGCGGTGCGTTCTCTGTTGGGTGTTAGCAAGTGTGGTTTCTTAGTAAAGTGTTTCCCTTACAGATGGGTTGGTTTGCAGTGTTAACTTAATATTTTCTTTGGTCAAATTTAACTTTGACTTTTCTACAGTAGACAAATGTTGGATGGGACGGACTTGTGAGATGTTTTAGTAAAAAGAAAAAAGCTTCTGATCTAATGTAGAGGCAGCAAATCTGCATGGTTCTATATTTTAATGCGTAATAGGGGTTGTATGAACTAGTCGACTAGTCGACTTCACTGCTCTGTAGTGACTTTTTATGCCTGTCATCGACTAGTCGCTGTCACGTGATAATGACCGACAAGATGCAGTCATCGGAAAGACAGCAGGTGACAAGCTCCTGCGCGTCGGGAGGCAACGCACTGTGCCAGAGCGTCGGTACTGACACCCGTGGTAAAACGGACAGTTAACCAAATTGTGACGTTTACCCTCTTGCAATTTAACCTTCCCCTCACCCCCATCCTAACCTTAACCAGCTTGCACATGCAAAGCTCTGATCGATGACGCGCTCCAGACATCTGCGTCCTGAGCACGGCCACAGTAACATTATCAAATCAGGTGTTGCCACCTCAAAAACTAATTTAACACGCGATCGTTCATGTCGGCTCATTTCCTTTTATGTCTTCGGTCTTTTATTTGTGCCTGATGCTTTTCACTGCTGTGGATCGGGGCGCATCACCTGTTTTGTCCTCCGGTGACGCACCTCACTGATGCGGCCGGCGAGCACTCCGCTGTTTTTGCGGTCGGTAGAGCTTTTATAACTGCAGTTCAAAGGTAACTCATGAGGTGAATATATATGAACCCAGGTAGCAGTTTTTCTTTAGGATTGAGAGGAGATGCAGGAAGATAATAAACAGGCAGGACAGAAAAATAGTCAAATAAAAACAAGTTAGTTTTTGTACCTGCTGGTTGCAACAAACAGACACCACTGAAGGTAATCAGAAGTGAGGAACAGAAAATTAAATAATTATTTTAATGTTTAGAGCAGCAGGAACTCCGAGAGGCTGCAGGTGCACTGTGCAGGGGGGGGGGGGGGGGGGGGCTCAAGCAGGGGAACAGTAAAGATGCAGAGGCTACCGCTGTTAAAAGAGATGTGTTTAACTTTGAAAATGTGGCCGCAATTTTGGTTGTCAAAAACTCCAGCAAACCAACTGACCCCGCGCGCCGCTTCAGGTGTATGACGTCATCAACGACTAGTCAAAGTCGACTCGATTTTCATTCAACTTTAAATAAAATTAAGTCATGCAGCCCCTAATGCGTAATAAAAGTATTTTCTTTCGGAGACAGATTGTTAAAAGGCCAGTTGTATGAATACATTGCTCTTCTGCATTTTATCTTCATCCAGGGCCTCCTGTTGACTTCCAGCCCGGTGCTCCGACAGGTCCAGGCCTGGAGCCAAAACGGGCTCCTCCTCCCCGCCCAAACGCCCCACCGGCCAGACCAGCTCCGCCCCAACGCCCACCACCACCCTCAGGTAAACTACATTTGTCTTGACTGTTCAAAATGATTCCAGTCCCAAAAGAATCAGGAGCATGAATGGACGCCGAGATCTTTAAGGCAGGTGGTAACTTTTGGCTTTCATTCCACTGCTTTGCCAAATTCTTCAAGGAGGCCTGAGTCCTCAGCCAGTCAGAAAGGACTCTGCAGGTAACGTGAAAGCTGTTGAACGGTGAACTTCATCCATCTACGTTGCATCTGTAGAAGTTTCTAGATGGTCTACAAATATTTAGTTTTTATTTCAAATCGAAAAATTGTGGTAATGTCCTTGACATCATCAACATGCCTGCTTGTTTTCACTTTTTTTCCTTATGTTTTCTGTTGTGCTTTTATTTTGAAAAACATCTTTTTCCCTCCTCAAGATGTTGGCATACGTCCGAGCCCGCTGCTGGGTAGGAGAGGCAGTGAAGGCAACAAGCCAGGTGTCTTTTGTGAATGTAACCCCAGTCATGACTGATGACGGTGTTTGCATTGATTGTGTCTGTTGCTTCATGGCTGGAAATTTTACTATTTTATTTGTGTTTGAAATGTGATTGGGAGTCTTTTAAATCAACAAAAAAGAAAAGTACTAATTTTATATCAAGAATTAGACAAACATTCACAATCAATGAGCTACTAGAAGAAGATTTGGTTGTCTCTGTTGCTCTGGGACAACATGTAGTATTCAGTCGTAGTAATTAGTGGCGTCAGCACTCGCCATCACTCGTCCGTATGAGCTTGTCGGTCAGAAGACTGAGCAAATAACCTGAAAAATAATTAAATTCATTGTGTTCTATGACCAGGATGGCTTGTCCATAGAGGGCGCTGGGACGTCGCCCTCGCTGATGTGGCAGGAAAAACTATTTTAAAAATAAACAAAAATCATTTACTATCAATGTTTCAGTTTTGCTTAGTTGTGTGAATTTCACCCAATAGAGTCACAAATATCACTCCTGAGCTGCAGCTAAACAGCCAGTCACATTTGGTTGCTAGGGAGAAGTGGAGTATTTTTAAGCAAAAAGTGTATCTGAAATCGTCTGTGGGTCGCTGGCTGCTACAGGAAATAGCTAGCATGATAGAAGATGCTGGCTCTTTTTTTTTCCTGCCCTCTCTCTCTCGCACTCCCTCATTCACACACACACACACACACACACACACACACACACACACACACACACACACACACACACTGTTAGATAGAGTTGAATTTATACCTGATTATTTGTTCAAAATGTGGTATTTAGTTCAATATCAGTGTTGTGTTGCTGCCACCTACAGGTGGAATTGAATATTGCACTTTGAGGGACACATTGGGCAGATGATTAAGACACACGGAGACTGAAAACTCAAGCTGGTAAACAAACTAATGTCAAAGTCAAATGTGAATAACAAAAATAGATAATATAGACTCTGCTCTTAAATGAGTTTTAATTAAAAACATCTGCACTTTTCTGGTTGTCTTGGAGACGTTTTGCATCACGTCCATCTTTCTAAAGTTCTAAAACTTGGGTTGGGAGTTGGAGGCTCAGAAGCTGTAGTCCGAAACAAACACACTGATTGTGCCTGAGGGTTTTTTTTCTCTTGAAAAAGTAAGATGTTATGGTTCCTTTTTCCAGATCATGTAGCTAGTAGCACTCATCGTAACTGCACTGGAAATGTTTGATTCATATCAGTGATCAGCAGCAATTGGAGCATCTTGAGTTCTTTGCATCATGAACACAGATGCTGAACAAAAAGTTTTACTTTGTACTCATCCATGCAAGTAGTCCCTACTGAACATGTGTCTGTGGTAGATGTACCTCATCCGTCCGTGTAGTATCTTTATAAAAGCTACTAGATGGTTTAGAAATACTTAGTTTTTAGTAAAAACTAGAAAAGTTGCTAATGTTCTTAGCATCATATAAACGGCTCTGGGTTTCACTTTTTAATTGTTGCTTCCTCATGTTTTCTGTTGTGCTTTAATTTTGAAAAAATCATCTTTTTCCTCTTTAAGAGTGTGGCAAAAGTCCCAGCCCACTGTTCGGTAGGAGACGCAGTGAAGGCAACAAGCCAGGTGTCATTTTCTCGTCTTGTCTGATCTCTGTGATTGTTACAGCCACTTTTCAGTGGTATTAACGGTGCCGCTGACATTGATTGTGTCTGTTGACAAATTATTCTTCTATTTGTGTTTAGAATGTGGAGTCTATTAAATAAAAAATGAAGACAATAACGAAGATTTTAAATCCATTATTTGACAAACATTCACAATCAGTGAGTCACTAGAAGACTTGGTAGTCTCTTTTGCTGCGTGAGAACAATCTACTGTAATGCATTTGTAATAAACTGGTGTTGGATTGATTTATTTTAATGAGATTAGCATGTAAACCAGGATTTGAGAGTAAATATTTGAACTTGCAGCTCCAGGATTATATGCCTGATCCCATGACCCTGATGAGTCACAGGATCTCAAATTAGCTGTTTTGTTGCATTGTTGCCATCGTTCGCTTTTCCTGGTGCTTGTGGCTAAATGTTTTCATGTATCTTATGTCTCTTTGTGTATTCTGGCTTCTTTTGTGCTGCTAAGGACCAAAAAGTCCTGCTCTCCCTCGTCCAGATGCTCCTGCAGGTGAGCGTGAAGCTTTCTTGGCGGTGAAAGTGTTTCTTTCTCTGCTATAATCCTTCTAATCTGACACTAAATCTGCCTGTCCTTGGGTGGAGTACAGGGTAGCCTATCGGTGACTTGACCCATCTTCACCTGAGCTGTTTGTGTGGTCTTTGTGGTCGGGTGATTCTCTCTTTTATAGTAACAGGGGTAGTTGCGTTTGGTGACTGTACACTGGGTAATTACACACGAGAAGATATTTAAGCACTGTGGGAAAATGTTGTTTAGCTCTGAGAGGGGTTTGGATGGATAATGGAGAGAGAAGAGGAGTAGTCCTGGTGTTTGGTAAGCAGCTGGCTCTCAGAACAAGACCCACTCTCTTTTCAGACCTCCAGCAGCTGAGGAATGACTGAGTCATCATGACCTGGGAAGTCAGCCATAGAATTTGTTCTGAGATTAAATATTCTCAACCAAAAGGTTTGCCTTCAGGTTTGGCTCTTAACAGGTCGCCTTGTGTGTTTAAACCCTCTCAGGTCGAGGCCAGGCAGCAACCGGAGCTCCTGGACCTTCACGGCCGGTGAGTTTAGAGCTAAAGCTAAATTATCAGATAATACTTCTTTCTTTTACTCAACATTTTATTTTCTGTTCTGGTCTCAGAACATTCCTCCTCGAGCTGGGGTGATCAGTGTGACCCCTCAGTCTCGCCCACAGCCTCCATCCCACCCTGGAGCACCAAGGCCCATCCCTGAGGTGCATCCTGGAGCACCTCGTCCTATTCCAGACACCCACCCTGGAGCCCCGCGGCCGATTCCCAGTGCCCAGACCAAACCGCCTGACCTGCCAATGGGTAACTTACTGACCATAATTTTTCCTATTTACAAACCATCCTGGATTTAAAATGTTATGATTAGAAATGACAAATAAAAAAATGTTTTTATGTAAACAACAGCCGTGTTTCCACTGTAGAAGTTCCAGGAAGTTTCCAGGAGGGGGGAAAAGTGATCGGGAGATACGATGGCTTGGTCCACTCAGTCGTCAAGAAAACAAAATCGGAGGTTATAAACGCTTGAAGCTCCTTTTTCCAATTACATTGAATGCAGCATGGCATAAACAAACACTGACTCCAGAGGCGCAAAAGTGGTTGCTGCTAGGATGCAGGATGAAGCGAAAAGGGCAACAATTGCTGCGAATTAAAAATAGGCCAATAGTGTAAGTAGGCGGGACCGATCTGTCTGTTTATGCATGTTGGTTCTAGTTTCAGTACGTTGATGTCAGTGTTGGGACTTACTTGTTAAAAGCGCCACAGCCTCATTGCTGACTTTAACAAGTCTCATCTACAAACATGAAATATAAAATTTAAAATGAGCTTTATATATTTGTATATAAATTAAAACTTTCCAAATATAATGAAAATTTCTAAATAACGTAAAAATAAGAAGGAACATCTGTTGGTCAGGCTGAAAAGTTTGGGAACCACTGCTCTAAGTGATAAGTGAATATTGTAATGAAATAGATTAGTTATTTAATGAGCCATAAGGCGTGGGATTCCATAGGAAATATGAAATCCACCTTACGGATCGGTGGGTTATTTAAACCAGAAGATTGGATCTTTTTAATGCAGGGATTAGATGACCGCTACGTATTCACTCAGAAACGACAGAAGAGAGAGAGTCAAGTTTAAAAGTTAAGAATTTTATTATCAACAAATTAAACTAGACTGACTTTAAAACTAAATGTATAGTGTGACTAAAATGGATGACGTGTGATGTTAATCACAACCAGCAAATCCGAAGAAGCGACTGTTCTGATGGGAACTGAAGGTGTTGTTTTCACATTAAGCTTTAGTTAGGAGGTCCATAAACACATGAGACACCATCATGTCGGTCTACCTACCTTCGTGGAAGTCCTCTGTAGATCAGGAATATCGAGGTCCAGTGGACCCTCTCTGGAACCGAGCCGGTAGGAAAAGCCGCAGTTCTGATCAGACCCGTCTTTGAGTTACTTCCAGGTACACAACAAGTTATTGGCGTCTGGTGAGACCCAAGCCTTGGTCTGGATGGTTCAGTTTTTATTCTGAAGGAAACTGTTGCCGCTGGTTGGTATAGCGACAAATTTTTCAGCTTGTCGTTGTTCTTTCGGTTAAAGAGTTGAGATCAGGATTGGCCACTCCGTCACTTTCTCTGGAACACTTTGAACCGGCATTAGAGCTGACGTGGCATAGTTTTATACTTCGGATGTTATGGTTTATTGTCGAATGAAAATTACCAAACACCGTCAGAAGCACGTCTCCGTCAGATCTGTAAGATTCTGATTGGATCAGTGAAAATAATGTGTTATGTCTTTTTAACGCTACGTGAAATGAGTCCTGTTGGAACCCTTAAAGTCACAGTACCTTTATATTCTATAGGATTATAATAAGGTAATTAATATTTTGATTTCACAGATCGGTCACATCTTATTTATTGACTAACACTTTGATGGATTAGCTTATTAAAATAGAGTTCTTTGATTAATTAAAAGAAAAGAGTTCATTCTTCATTCTTCTGTTGAGCTGAAAATAAGCAGGTTAGAAGGAATGCATGAGACCTTGAGACCACTATCTCATGCAGACTAGTCTTGAGCTAAGAAGGGGAAAAAAAGCGTCGTTCCGTTACATATACCCCCTTTTCAATGGTACGGTGGTCCGTGCAGAGACCACCTGGCGTTGAACAAACCAGAGTCCTAAAGGGACTCCAATGACAAGGGAAGGTGTAGTTCCCCCGGAAGAGGCCAACAGTGGTGAGGTACGAACCCCACTCCGAAGAACAGTCTATGGTTTCAACAATCTCGCATAATCCCTTTGGAAGCACACAAGTCAGCAAATTAGTAAGGTATCCACGTGGGGTAAAAAGTTGAAGCAGGAGCAAAACTTTATGTATCCACGGGTAGGGAATAATTCCAACAGTATATTGATCTTTGTAATTGCACTCATCGTGATTCAGTGCGGAAAAGAGCAGCAGGCAGGTCAGGTCCCAGTGAGCGAAGTATCCCTGCAACCATGCCGGAGCAAACGGTTGTCCAGGTCCTACGAGCTGGAACACCCATCAGGAGGAGCGGAATCTGACGACGAGTCACGGCTTCACCCCCGGGGATATCGTTTCTTATTATATTTTATGTGCAGTTTTTTAGGGCTTCTATGTTTTCTGTAAAGATTGGTATGCTGAAAATCATTTAATGTTTTGCATAAAGCATGAGGTTTTGGTTAGTAATTGATTGGGAGAATAACAAATGACTGAATTGGATAGTGTTGATCGGGCAGAGCTTTGTTGTCAGCGTTCCATTGCATAATGGCTTCTAACACGTATATAATAGTGTTAGTTTTTTCGTAAACCATTGGAGGAAATTACACAAACTGACTGATCTCTAGTTAAGGCTCTTGCAATAGTTTGTGTATGTGAACGTGCGTTAGAGGTGTGAAACTTCACTTGTCTCCCGATTCGATTACGATTATTGGGTCAACGATTCTATTCGATTCGATATCCCGATGCATCGCGATTATTTCATATTGATTTGTTTTCATCGATAAATAGAAGATGTCAGATAATTGCTTTCTATTTTTATTTTTATATCAAAAACGTCATTGACACAACCTGCCATCCCTCAAAAGCTCTCCATTCACAACAGGTTAGGACAAAACATTTTAAACATTTAAGATTTAACAAAGTAAAACAATCTGTTTCCTCGTTCAACAGCCACACCTCACGCTGAGAAAAGCATGCTTTGCAAAAACTCACAAAATCTAAAAAAAAATACTGAAAACCTGCAGGACACATAATGTAATAATAAATACATAATGGGTTCATATATGAGTGTTTAATGTCTCTGAGCAGCTCTAGAGTCAAATATTTATGCCACAGTTGAAGGGTGTCAGAAATAACACCAAATGAAATGTTTGACTTAGTTTGTTTTTTTATTTGAACCCAGTGCTTCATTTCTGAAATGTTGGAGAATGAATCAAGTTCTGTTTGATGCAGAAAATGATAAAAGATAAAACAAATTCTACACTTCCAATAATATTTAAGATGTGTGTTTTATTCTTTCTGATAATATCTCCAGCAGAAGGCTGTGGGCTGGATTAGGATTAAAATACCCAGCCGGTGGATCTCCTTCACTAACCAGCTACAGTGAGGCAAAAAAGTATTTAGTCAGCCACCGATTGTGCAAGTTCTCCCACTTAAAATGATGACAGAGGTCAGTAATTTACATCATAGGTACACTTCAACTGTGAGAGACAGAATGTGAAAAAAAATCCATGAATTCACATGGCAGGATTTTTAAAGAATTTATTTGTAAATCAGGGTGGAAAATAAGTATTTGGTCACTTCAAACAAGGAACATCTCTGGCTCTCACAGACCTGTAACGTCTTCTTTAAGAAGCTTTTCTGTCCTCCACTCGTTACCTGTATTAATGGCACCTGTTTGAACTCATTATCTGTATAAAAGACACCTGTCCACAGCCTCAAACAGTCAGACTCCAAACTCCACTATGGCCAAGACCAAAGAGCTTTCGAAGGACACCAGAAAAAGAATTGTAGACCTGCACCAGACTGGGAAGAGTGAATCTACAATAGGCAAGCGGCTTGGTGTGAAAAAATCAACTGTGGGAGCAATTATCAGAAAATGGAAGACAGACGAGACCACTGATAATCTCCCTCGATCTGGGGCTCCACGCAAGATCTCATCCCGTGGGGTCAAAATGATCATGAGAACGGTGAGCAAGAATCCCAGAACCACGCGGGGGGACCTGGTGAATGACCTGCAGAGAGCTGGGACCACAGTAACAAAGGTCACCATCAGTAACACACTACAACGGCAGGGAATCAAATCCTGCAGTGCCAAACGTGTTCCACTGCTGAAGCCAGTGCATGTCCAGGTCTGAAGTTTGCCAGAGAGCACATGGATGATACAGCAGAGGATTGGGAGAATGTCATGTGGTCAGATGAAACCAAAGTAGAACTTTTTGGTATAAACTCAACTCGTCGTGTTTGGAGGAAGAATAATACTGAGTTGCATCCCAAGAACACCATACCTACTGTGAAGCATGGGGGTGGGAACATCATGCTTTGGGGCTGTTTTTCTGCTAAGGGGACGGGACGACTGATCCGTGTTAAGGACAGAATGAATGGGGCCATGTATCGTGAGATTCTGAGCCAAAACCTCCTTCCATCAGTGAGAGCTTTGAAGATGAAACGTGGCTGGGTCTTCCAACACGACAACGATCCCAAACACACCGCCCGGGCAACAAAGGAGTGGCTCCGTAAGAAGCATTCGAAAGTCCTGGAGTGGCCTAGCCAGTCTCCAGACCTCAACCCCATAGAAAATCTGTGGAGGGAGTTGAAAGTCTGTGTTGCTTGGAGACAGCCCCAAAACATCAATGCTCTCGAGAAGATCTGCATGGAGGAATGGGCCAAAATACCAGCTACTGTGTGTGCAAACCTGGTAAAGACCTATAGTAATCATTTGACCTCTGTTATTGCCAACAAAGGTTATGTTACAAAGTATTGAGTTGAATTTTTGTTATTGACCAAATACTTATTTTCCACCCTGATTTACAAGTAAATTCTTTAAAAATCCTGCCATGTGAATTCATGGATCTTTTTTCACATTCTGTCTCTCACAGTTGAAGTGTACCTATGATGAAAATTACTGACCTCTGTCATCATTTTAAGTGGGAGAACTTGCACAATCGGTGGCTGACTAAAAACTTTTTTGCCCCACTGTAAGTTAATGGTTTTAGAATACCATCAATAACTCTTTTAACCAACACCATATCAATACCGTCACAATCAGTGGAGACTTTGTTGTTACATTTATCAACAACTGATTTAACTTCCAACTCATCCACTGCTGAGAGGAAGATTGAGTCTTCTACGATGCAGAATCGTTTATGTCCGCATCTTGATGCCTCGATTATTTAATTATTTTCCTCATCGCTAACTTGCGTGCGTGTGTGTGTATGCGTTTGCGGGAGGGTACATTGGAACTTTGTCCCCCCCAGTTTGAAAATCCTATCTGCGCCCCTGGCGTATCACCACTGCTTTGACAGTGAGTGGTGTCTCTGATCAGTGCCAAAAGGTGTCCACAGACATTAATATTATTAAAGGTTTATTCTATTAAAGTACGCCTTGGAGGGAACGGGGAGAACAGCTGTGCGATGTTAAAAGTGGCATGAATTATGACATTGTTGGGGGGGTCTCTGTTGTTTTTTTCAGCGTTGGGAGTTTAGAAACTCAGATTTCAAAGCAGTGTGAGCGTTGCTTACGTTTATTCTTGTTCTAATTCGCTTCAGTAGCAACTCTTCCAGTTTTACAAATGCAGCTTGTTTGGAGAAGTCTGCTGATGTCATTTCCTACTGAGTTACAACCAATCAGCATGAGTTAACCACAAGTCCCGCCCAGCGGCTGTAGCAGACCTTACCTTAGTTCATGTACTTTGTTTGTTCCTGAAACGACCCGGATAATTGGTCCTTTTGGGCCGGCCTGGTAAAATGGTTGCACACGCATGCCATGAAAGTCTGGTAAAATGACCTGAAAGTTCTGATAGTGGAAGTGGGCCTTTTGTCTTAAAGAGGCTATGTTTATAGTTTGTCACCTTTAAACATCGTCATTTGTTCTGTTTCTCCTCTCAGGCCCCCCACCATCTGGACCCCCTCCTGCAGTGAATCCCCAGGTCCAGCCTCAGCCAGCTCCACCTTCCGCTTACCCTCAGCTCCCACCACCAATGCAGCCCACGCTCCTGGCTCCTCTGCAGCCGCAGCAGGCCTCCACACCACCGGCATCGACTCTGCCTGCTGCAGCTGCTCCCACCGTCCTCCTTGCTGGGCCTCAGCAGAGCCTACCCTCTCCTAAACCTCCACCTCGTTCCCGCTCGTCTCACACTCTCCAACCCGACGCCGCCAAGTCTGAAACGGCCCCAGCTGCACAGGTCGGTGCCAACTTGGAGTTTCTGTGATAACACAATATTAGCAACACTTTGTCTGACAATTTAGTCATGTCTTCTAGCAGGAGGTGTTGCAGAGAAAATCTTCTCTTCTTTGACTCATGTTAGGGTAGTTTAGTCGTCTATGTCGTTCTTCCTGCTTTTGTCTCTGATGCATTTGTCTCTTTCTCACAAGCTGGAGAAACCATCTGGGTGAAAAGGTACACTACATTAAACCAGCTTTTTGTCTCATCCTCCATAGCACAGCAGTTCCCTGCTCTAACACCCCTCTGTTTTAGTCCACCGTCAGACCTTTTACATGTTTCTCTTTTTGGAAAATAAAGATTGTTACCATTTCCCTTCACTTGACCCATCATATGCTCTCAACAGCTGCGTTTACATGAGCCAAATTTCCTCAATCCGATTGAAATCCTGGTTGATCGGAATTTCCGAATCTCTGTTCACATGGACACGAACTGAAATGATCCGATCATGCCGTGCGTACATATGCACCAAGCATTTAATCCGATTAAATAGGTTGAGCATGCGCAGAGTTGGCTTTCCCGATAGAAAAATTGTAAACAAACGCCATGAAACGACATGAAAAATGTAAAAACTGAAATAACTATTCTTCCTGCTTTCCAGATCCATTTATTCTATTTAATATTTTTATTTAGCTCATAGAAGTTACGTTTTCTTCAGTGAGCAACTGCAGATATATGCTTTGCTGCATTTTATTGTTGATTAAAGTAAGGGAGGGTTATGTCTCTGCCTCTCGATCAGCTGGTCCGCGGGTCTGAAGTGACAGCTGTGCTGTTGCGCTGCGGCACAGATCGGGGGGTGCGGGGGGGGGGGTTAGACTCATGTTTTATTACTGAGCTCTGTTGTGGTTTATTATTAATAACATGTGACGATCAGCTGAAACTGTTGAGAAAAATTTGTTCAAACAAAATAACAGAAGATGTTCAGAAAGTTTTAGAAGCCTGTGTTCATCATTCACGAACCGCATCTCAGGTCATCTGCGTTTACGTGCTTCTAACACGGACTTTACTGTCGTCCAGAGTATTTAACCGAGGACGTTTTCCTACCCAACATCAGCCTCCAATCAGGTCTGTAAAACCCAGATTATCCTGTATTCTTTACAAGCGCGCCTCCATCACCTGCTGCAGAAGCTGCTGCGTTCAAAGCTGACAGAAACGAGGTTCCTTGCGCTGCAACCCCTGCGATAAACCTGCGTATTTCCAGTACAGATTGGAACATGTTTGTCGAATGATTTGTGCAATAATCAGATTTTTATTTTACTTCCACAAAATGCAAGTTCTGAATTAAATATTACTGAAACAGGGACGGCTTGTCGTCGGATTTAAAAGCCGCCGCGCATTAATTACGCCGTCATTTTTGAAGTCAGGCAGTCCAAATGACAGCGGAGAGGCCCGCTCGCTGTTGCACACATGCGCAGTGGGCATTATTTTACCCCAACAATCCGAATGGCTGTGTACATGCACGTCAATCGGAATGAAGAACGGAATAAACCACCTCTCAGTCGGATTGAAATTTCAATCCGATCGGGCCGAATCGGATCAGAATATTCCGATTGACATGTTTACATGCAGAATTTTCGATCTGATTGGGCATTCAATCTGATTAAATGTGCGCATGTAAACGTGGCTTCTGTGTTAGAGGATTAGAGTGAGCTCATATGAAATCTGTGCTTTATGCTATAATTTTTGCCAAATCTGTTATGTTTTTGTTTATTCTGTTCACTGTGACACATAAATCATTGTTTTAAATCTGCCACATTAAAGGTACCCTTAGGATGTGCAAAAGGTCAAATTCAAAGTTCAATAACTTTATTTGTAACTAAAGAGTACGACCAAAAGATCAATTTAGAGATTTAAAATAAGAAACTGCTTGAATGAACTAGTTACCATTTGTGTCAGTTGTCCAGTGTCAAAAAATCTTTTGACATTTTTGTTTACAAAAAGGTTTTAAAGGGTATCTTTAACATTTTTGTCTCCTGTGATAAAGTTTTTGGCCTTTTTCAGAGTTCTTCTGTTTTTCATTTATTTTATTTTTTGTCACACTTAAACATCTCAGATCAGCAAACAACTTCCAGTATCAGACAGAGATAATCTGAGGTAATACAAAATGCACCTTTGGGATGATGGTTTATAACCGTTAGCTTTTGTGATAATAACTGGTAACGAGTCTCTCATGTGGAGGATTTCTGTCCCCCTCTTTGCAGAATTATTGGAGGAATGACCTGTTTAAGGCCTGACTTTCTCCTTCAGGGTTTTCTGCCTAAAAACAGAAAACTGGTCAAAATTCACTCCAGATCATCACACCACTACCACCGTGTTTGGCTGTTCTTTTTTATGCTTGTCACTCCAGCTGTACTAGGATACACACCTTCCAAAAACTTTTGTCTCATCGGCCCAAAGAAAATTTCCCCAAAAGTTTTGATGAAGATATTTTAAGCATGAAACTGGCCTTGCTGTTTTCATTTTAGCCCTGGAGGTCCTTTTCTTTATGTGGAACCACAAAAAGGCTAGCCTGAATCAGGTGCTGGGTTTTTTTGTTCATTATTTTTTTAAGAACACGGTGTGTTCTGTTGCTTTTTGAGATGATGATTTACTGAAGGGCTCGGGTACTTCCCACATGGGACTAGGTTGGTCTGGAAAGCATTTCTTTCTGTTAAAGGTCAGCTTTCATATTTTAATACATTTGCAGTGGTCTATTAGGAATAAATGCCTTGTTAGTCGTTTTCTGGGGAAACAAAGCTCTGGTGCAACTGTTAAAGGTCGATCGTAGCTTCAGACTTATTTCCTGATTATTTGGACATCTCACCTATAACTGGTTAACAGCAATGCAACTCTACCGCTAACTTCATCTGCTCTGCAACGTTGATGTTTTATCTCCACAAATAACACAAGCCTGAAGGAGTTCTGCTGTGTGGTGGAGTTGCTAATGCTAACAGTTAGCTTCTACCAGTCGAGGCGTTCTTTACTGTTTCCAGATGTTAAAACAACAACAACCTTCTCCATCCCAAGTCAAAATGAGTGAGTCAATGAACGATAAGTGACAGTGTGACGTAGATCTATCAGGCTTTTCAAATCCTTGAGTGTCACCGTCCATTTTCTATCAGAAGCTAATGCAGGAGACAGGTGTAGGAGACTATTTTCATGTTAAGCCTGCATGAAAAACTCAGTGACCAATTATAATCCGGGAAGAAAAACATGGTTTCTCAGTGAACCAGTTCTGCGGTAACAAGTGAATTATTCCACTGTGGGATCAGTAAAGCCTATTTTATTCTGTTGAATAAAAATTATTAGAAATCTGCATTTTAATCTTTATTTAGATTATCTTTGTCTAATATTTTAATTTGTTTGCAGATCTGAAACATTTAAGGAAGACATACAAATAAAAAACAGAAGAATTCTGTTAGGGAGCAAATCCTTATTTTGACTCCATCAGCTCACCGGGTAACGTCCACCTGTCATCAGTGTTCTTAAATAACCATTTAATTTTTCTTTCCTCAGACAAACGGACTGAATGGATTTCAGAAAGAAGCACAACAGAGGCCCGACCCCTTCGACTCTCTCACATCTGAATTCCTTTCCTCCTCATCCTCACGCCACACCACCCAGTCGCTGAACCGAGGATCCTCTCTGCGTCCTCCACCCTCCATGCCTCCATCTGCATTTTCCTCCTGCACCCTCCCTGCATCCATCCCCATCCAGTCCTCTACCTTGTCCGACCTGCAGCTCCTGGATACGTCTTCGCTGTCCTCCCCGTCACCTCTGCTCCTGCCTCCTCCTGCCCCGTCTCGAAGTCGCTCCCAGGAGATGCTGCGCGCTTCCCCCAGCAGCTTCCTGTCTGAGCCGCTCCCTGTGCGACCCAGCAGCACCAACCCCTTCACGGGCTCTCTGGTGCAGCAGCAGCAGCGCCGCTCGCTCACTCCGGACTTCTCCCTCCAGCATCAGACCCCAACAGCTGACCCTCCGAGAACCCAGCTTTCCCTACGTCAGCCACTCACCCCCATCCCTGCTCCAACCCCCCAGCCTAATAAAACCACATTCCCGTTCGAACCCTCTCCCCCTGCCCTTGCTTTCCCCCTCGCTCCACCTTCCTCTCTCCCTCCCACTTTCCCACCTCGCAGCCAGCCACCCCCCTCATCGACGAGGCCGTGGGTCACGTTTGACGACGATTCGAACCTGAAACCTCTGACCAAAACACAACAAAACCCTGTCTTTCCCTCCACTCCCGTCGTGTCCCAAACTCAACCATCCTGCGCCGTGTTCGCCTTGGAGCCCGACTGGTTATTTGCTCCCTCTGCGGTTTTCTCCGCCCTGCCCCCTCCCGTCCCAACCCGAACTGCAACCAGGGACCCAAACCCCACGGAGAGCAATGCTAACGACAACTTCTTTCCCCGGGAGTCGACAGACAGATAATATCACCCCCTCATGCACGAGGGGCATATCCGTATATGTATAGATCTATAATAAATATGTGTGTGTGTGTGTACAAAAGACAGTATTTAAGAAGTATACTCCCTTCCCTTCAAAAACAGGAACGACTAATAAATAAAAACACGATATATTAACATTTGTTGATTTACAGCAGCAAACGTGTTGTTCTATAAAGTATAAATATAAACAATCTATATGTTCACCTGTGCTGTGTTTGCCATTGGAGTAGATCCGTGTGGCTTTGCCGTTACTTCATCCATTTGACCGATCTGGAGTTCTCTCGAGTTTACATTTGAGAGTCACAGCTTCTGTTTGGCCCCTAAATCTGCTGCTTTCTGCAGCATTTGTGCTCTTTTACACGTTGTTTACGTGCTTTTCTTTATGAATGTAGTTTACTTTGCACAGTTTAGCCTCTTTTGGCGTTCTGGTGCGAAACGAAGCGGCGCAAGGCGATGGCACCGCCGCGGGACTGAAACTGTAACACCGCCTTGTTCATTTAATAATAAAATGTTTGTTCTCGGTTTTCAGTCAGCATTATTTGTCTGTGAGCTGGTACTATTACCCCAAAAGCTCTAAATCCAAAATAAAGTGTGTTTTATTTTAAACTTCTTTTTCTTTGAAATTCCAGATGTTTGCACTGAAACACCGTTTGTACTCGAACAAGTGAGTTCTCTTCCTCTCTAGTGTTCCATTCCTGCGTGCTTGTGTGTGTGTGTGTGTGTGTGTGTGTGTGTGTGTGTGTGTGTGTGTGTGTGTGTGTGTGTGTGTGTGTGTGTGTGTGTGTGTGTGTGTGTGTGTGTGTGTGTGTGTGTGTGTGTGTGTGTGTGTGTGTGTGTGTGTGTGTGTGTGTGTGTGTGTGTGCGCGCTCAAAAGTACAGCAGTGATTTGATGGATTTGCAAAAAAGATGGCTCTTTTTATTTATTTTTGAACTTTGACTTTCAAGGAAAACAATACTTTTTTATTTCTAGTAACAGTTAATCTAAATGATCTGTTATTGTTACTGTGGTGAGAAGTGCCGTGCTGTGTTTGAGGTGTGTTCAGCCTGAAGGAAGTCTTCGTTTTATCTTCTCCGAGCTAACAGCAGCCAATCATCACTTCTCCATGAACTTGAGAAGCAAACATCCTTTTTCTCTTTTGACATCCCTTCTGTCTTTTAATGAATTACTCATTTCTATTCATGGAGATGAAATTATCAGATATGGTGCAGACATTTGGTGTTTGTTTCTGAGCTTCAGATTTAAGCTTTAAGGCATATGGAAGGGGATTAGTGCAACTGAAAAAAAAATCTGACTTTATTCTCAGAAGTCAAAAAGTCAAATTTCTGAGATTAAAGTTAGAATTAGTTTTCTTAGGGTTTTTGTATTTTCAGTGGCACCAATTGTCTTCCATAAGGGTGTCAATATTTTGTCCCACTTTTCTTATTAATCCTTTCATGCATAATGGTCACTACAGTTGACAGCTACTCAAATTTGTTGATTTATTTACTTTTGTTTGTTATGTTTGTTTTTTGCTATTAAGCACAGCTGTTGAAGACTTTATTGCATTTGAACCCCCCCCCCCCCCCCCCCCCCCCCCCAATTGGAACACCGTCAAGCCAACATACTTCATGTGCAGAATGCACGCTGTCCACTGAGGTGGACATGTAACAAACTATTTGTAAATTAAATGTTTAAAATACATTTTGTTGAAATTTGTTTCATTCATACCTAAAGGTGAATGAAAGAAATGGTTAAAAAAAATCATGGTTGAAGATTTCATAATTAATGCATGAAAGGGTTAACCACTGCTGGCCAGACGAGAGTAAATGTGACAAATACCCCCAAGTCTCCATTAAAAAGCAAAGATTTCCTGAAAAGTAGCACATTAAATCTAAAAATGCATCTGCTTCTTCCTTCTTTACACATGTGTACAATGATCAAAATGAGCACATCGGACTGCATTTTCTCTCGTCTTCTCTTTAAAATGCAATTGTTGTGTTGTTCTGACGTGTACAGTAGATGCCGTATCAACCGTATGTTCCCAACCAGCGCTTTGTGTCATGTAAGTTTAAATTCAAGTTTGCTTTTTCTCAGGTTTGATTCAGTTTATTATTATTTTTAAATAAATTGCTCCCTTTGTGAGGTCGGTGTCCCTTTCAAGGCTATAATTCATAATCAATAAGAGTCTGTGTTGTGAAACATTCTGTATGTATTAAAGTGAGTACATGATGCTGTAATCTACAATAATTTCTAATGTTCCATAGTTAATGTGCTCAGCAGATGGCACATTTATGTATGAAGTAGTTTGTGTAGTATGTATGCAAAAATAAATATGTTAACATGAGTGTTTGTATTATTTATTTATCCCCGTGTCCTGTCTGGCTGTGAAGCAAAGAGAATTAATATCTGAATGCTGGTAACAAGCCTTACAGATTTACTTTCAGGTGGAGCATCAAAGCGTCTGCTTTTAATATCACGCCTGATTCTTAAAACTTTGTTTTTTGAATGCTTGTAATTCCGACCAGACACGGAGACAGAGGTGAAAGAGAAAGGAAGAGACAAAAGGGGGGAACAGGGATACACAACAATACAACAGGAGCAAGCTATCACTGCGTCAATTTGATGAAGAAATGTAAAATCAACATTGTTTTACTGAACAATCACGATAATAAATCACAGTGCATTAAGTGCCCACCACAGCCTTACGACCTGTGTTGAATGTGCCCAAGTCCATACTTATGAGAGCACCATGTGAGCACCTGTGTGTGTACACGTGCTTGGTCTATTTTTAATCCAAATATTAATTCTTAATTTAAGATAATTAAATTTAATAGCAAAAGATTATTTATTGAACCAGAAGTTAGGAATTTTTGCTTATTCAATAACCAAAAATATACACACCATTCTGTGTTTCATTTCAAAGAAGGGTCAGGTTTTCAAAGTTAAGAATTTATTACTAACACTTTTAAAAATGACAATTTAGAAATGACAAATTTTAACAGCTTTGATATTAAAACTTGTTTTAAAAAGCAAACCTGTGACTGAATGGAAACTAAAATGAAATGCGAGGTTTTGGATGCGTGAATGAATCAGAAGGTTTTTTTTCAGCGAGAGAAGCGTTCTGGGTGAAAAGTTGGTTTTGCAGCTAACTGAGTCGTTTCTTAGAGAGAACAGCATACAGACGCCATTTGTCAAAAGTGTCTACCTCACCCAGTTCAGGAGACCCTCTTCTGGATCCGAGATGTCAGGTGGAGATGATGTCCTCCGGGCACGAGGTTGGTAGAAGGACCTTGGTGCGACCAAATCGGTCCGAGATGTCTCCGTGGGTCAGACGATTGGTGGAACTATTTGCGTCTCAAAATCAATAACTCTGAAGGAGTTTTGCGTCGGCTGGTTACAATTGCGTTTATTAGAAGCAAGACTATCGGCGTGACAGAATGCTTAGTAGAGACTTGGTCGGCCGTCCCTCATCTCCTGGTATGGTTCAAGAACTGAACTTACAGCTGCAGGATTTGGTTTTAACAAAACCCTCAGAACACGCCCTCTCAGCGTCAGAAAGCTTGTTGTCATGTGAGGTGTTTTAACTTTTACCCTGGATACCCTTCTGCATGAGGTGGTTAAACGTGCAAAATGACCTTCTGGTTTACTGAACACACATTACTTGATCGTTATTGTAACCCAAAACATAAGTCATTTCAGTAATTAAAATACATTTATACTGAACCAAGAGGGTTATTATGATGATTGTAATAAACCGTAATAAAGTCAAAGAGTTTATTAAAATTATTATTGTGAAATCTTGAAGTGTCCTTCATCTTGGAATGGAACAGCAGCAGATAAAGATGGTGTTTCAGCAGACATCATGGCTCCTGGCAGGTTAATCTGTGGGGCAAAGTTACAGTTCGACCCAGCTTGACCCAGCTGGGAAACTGTGACCTTTGTCACAAATTAGAGGCCATTCATGACGCTACAGTAGGTTTCCTCAACCGCATCAGATAATCCTGAATAAGTACAGTTTATGCTGGATCTAGACATTTAAACTGACAAAGACTTGTCCTGCAGACAAGCAAAATACCCAAACGTATACAAATTACAAATCAAAAACTTTTTGGGGGGTAGAAACATGTTAGATTTTATATTAAAAGTTATTTTTTTATTTTTCATGAAAAAATTGGTATCCTAAATAAGAGCAACCTAACATGTAAAACAGAATAAAATATGTTCACGGAAATAAGTTAAAATAAAACTACACCAAAATCTAAATTATCCACCAGTCTTTTTGACTAACGGATCAACTTCATTTTGGGGAACAATTTGGTCCCTGAATCTTTTTAAAGCACCATCTAAAATTATCAGAGCAAAAATATTTAATGTTTCAAAAACAATTTTAATATTTTTGTATAATTTTATCGTTCCGTTATTATTTGTTATTACCTTATGTTATAATGTGCCCCAAATAAATGCAAAAAAAAAAATGTATTACGTTAATTTAGGTCTGGACTATAAACAATGTATAACTATTTTTAAATACTTTTGACTGATAAATGAATGGATTTTAAACTCTAAATAAATATTAAATCCCATAAAAAGTCATTTGAGAATAAGCAGGCAAACTTAATGGACGTACTATTGTATTACCGCTCTTCACCTGTAGATGGCAGTGTGGTTTCTAACATATTGAGAGCCGTCACTGAAAATTTTGTAGAAGTAGAAACACTTTTTATATTTTATTTTATTTTTTGTAGAAGAAGTCTCATTTTCCTAGCGGTATAAAACTCGTTTTAAATTAAAACCCGAGTGGCGAAAGGATATTTCTTGTCGTTTCATCGCGTAGGTAATAATCACCTTCACCGTATACAGGCCACTGTATAACAGGAAGCCATTCCTGAAGCTAAAAGCTAACGCTCTCTCTTTACAAGAAGCTTCTGTTGCCATGGTTACTCAGTTTATTCCAGGACTCGGGACTCACTCCACCTCTCAACCGGACGGGTTTGTTTAGAAGCACGTTTCTGTTCCTAAACGTCTCACTTTCAGGAGGTAAATCCGTGGAAAAGATGGTGCAGCTGCACGTGAAGCGCGGAGACGAGAGCCAGTTCCTGTTCGACACTACCGCCGACGAGCTTCTGGAGACGGTGATCCGACAGATCACAGCCATCTATAACGGGAGGCTTCAGGTGGACCGGATCTGTTCAGGTGAAAACTGAACACGTACACTCATAACTTGTTCTGGTATTTCACTCGAAATGTTTCCACGAGCTTAGATAATCTGTTTAATCAGACTTGATCATGTGTGTGTGTGTTTAGAGATCTTGGAGCTGGCCGACCATGGCATCACGCTGCCTCCCAACATGCAGGGGCTGACGGAGGAGCAGATTGTGGAGCTGAAGCTGACGGATGAATGGGAAGAGAGGTGCATCCCTAGTGGAGGGCCTGTGTTTAGGAAGGATGACGTTGGAAAGAGGAATGGACATGGTACATATTACATATTAATCATTTTTTGCTTTAACTATTGTTATTTAGTTGACATTGATGATTTTTTTCTATTTAAAATTTTTCCCTTTTATAAGCCCCTAATGATAAAATGAAAGTGGTGTTGATGAAGACGGTGGAGGAGGCAAAAGCGCTCGTCTCCAAAGTGAGTGTTAGTATGATCACCTCTAATTTTGTCTATCACCGGCGATCAAATGTTTGGTTTTCCTGATCTTGCAGAAACAAGCTCAAGCTAATGTCTGCGTCACCATGGAGATGATAACAGAAGCTCTAGATCAGCTAAGAGGTGCAGTCATGATTGTGTACCCCATGGGACTTCCCCCTCATGACCCTGTAAAGATGGAGTTTGACAACCAGACCGATCTTTCAGGGACACAGGTGAGACAGTAGGTTCTGTTTCAAGAGTTGCTTTAATGACCGAGCTTTCAGCAGTTTTTTTTATGTCGTGGTATTCTTTGAAAGATGATTTTTTAAAAGTTTTCTGCTCTGTCAGTTCTATCACTGACTTCAAATTGCTCTCCAGGCATCCCTCCAGGTTATCCCTGAGCATGAATGCCAGCTGTGGTGGGCTGGTAAAGAGATGCAGAGAGGGAAAAAGCTGCAGGACTACATCGGCAAGAATGAAAAGACAAAACTGGTGGTCAAAATTCAAAAAGTAAGAGCTTACTTACAACTTTAACTATTATTTCTTTTAAAGGGACATTACGGACTTTTGAATTTTTATGCTCGCAATTGCCCCCTCAGGCCAAAAGCGTAACAGCAGCTTCAATAGTAGGCTCGTGCACGAGGCGCGCATGCTGTACGTGCACACTCCTTAACGAAAATAACAGCTGAGACAGTCCCGTGTGTGTGTGTGTGTGTGTGTGTGTGTGTGTGTGTGTGTGTGTGTGTGTGTGTGTGTGTGTGTGTGTGTGTGTGTGTGTGTGTGTGTGTGTGTGTGTGGCACAGAGGACAGGAGAACACGCAGCTAAATAATTAAATAATTTGGTTCTGTACCTTTCTCTTCAGCACAGCCGACAAAGGTTTATGATGGGTCAGTCCTCCTGCATGCTCAGTTCATTCCTTTCCCTTGCTTGAAAAATTGTTCCAAAATGAAAGTTGAACGCACATCTTTTTTATCTGTGAATTCAATGTCGTTCGGCGAGTCTCAAATAAAAATGTGGGCTTCTTACCGTAAAAAAATATACCATTAATGTAAAAAAGAAACTATATAAACTATGTTCACATCCAGAATCGAACCCGGGTCTTCTGCATGTAAGTCCGACGTCTTACTAGGTGAGCTAAAGCGCCAAAGACATCTCTTGTATCTGTAACATTTATGTCCTTGATGACAGCTGAAACAACGTCAAACCAAAGAATTGTTCAATGGCTATTTTGTTGTTAATCTGCAGGAAATATCTAGAAGAAAGTTCTACAGAAAGTAGCTAAGGGTCCTCAAACATGTTGCAAGGTTTGTCACTAGGCGTTAGGAACAGCGACAAAGTGGCACTGCCTCTCTCTCTGCTGCTAAAGCTACTGAGAGCAAATGCTACGGGCTATGCCTGAGCGTGAACGCGCATGAAGCAGCCTGCTCGACCCGAGCAGCTCTCTTTTTCTGTGATTTTACAGAAAAACAGGCAATCACAGTAAAAATGCCAGGGCTCATTCTACAGGACCAGGGCATTGCAGGAGAATGTATGAAGAAGAAATGTATTATTTCTATACATGTTTTGGATGTCAAACCTCCATAATGCCCCTTTAAACTACTTCTCTAATTGTTTTTATTTGTTTCAGAAAGGACAGGGGGCGCCAGCGAGAGAGCCTCTGGTCACCGATGAGCAGCAGAAGCAGATGATGCTGCATTACCACAGAAGACAGGAGGAACTTAAGGTGAGGACAGGTGGTGTGTCCTATGTGACTGCAGCATACAGTCTAACCTTCTTCTCATTTATTTTCAGAAACTAGAGGAGGCTGACGATGACAGCTACCTGGACTCGGACTGGTCAGACAGACAGGCCCTCAAACGGCAGTTTCAGGGACTCACAAATATCAAATGGGGGCCAAGATAACACTCACGACCACTTTCAGTGCCTCCATCCTGCCCAGATGTCTCAACTTTCAGAGAATATAATGAACCCATCTGATACATTCCTGTGTCTTGCCTCTGCTAACCGTTAAAGTGGAAGTTCATCGCTCGCTCCAAAGGAACTTGCATCATTATAAATACAAACGATTTTGATGTGAACTGTGTCCAGTGAAGCCAGAAGAGTAGTGTTGCAACTGAAAAAGAAAATGTTTTACATCCTCTTTGGATGCAGGGGCGAGGATGCTACACCCTTCCTCTCTTTGTCTCTCATTCGTGGCACGCAAGTTTCTCCCAGTCGCTGCAGCTCTGAGGCAGGATGTCGCCACAAACTGGTCACCGCAGCCGCAATCAGGAAGTTATGGAGCTCACATTTTGTGTGTCACACCCTGGAGAAATGTGAACTGGTGTTCAGAACGGAGTTGGAAATTCAAAAAGGCCACTTTTAAAAAGGATAACTGCACAACAGCAGCGGTCCAGATCCATAAAATAAGCTGTTTGATACAAGTTTGAGGGAACGCTTTTGCTTTTGAACGTAAACTTTAAGAAATAAGTTCACTTGTTGTTGATACTGTATCTTTCCCTTTTTCACAACATTAGCGACTAACACATCTTAATATGGAACAATTGGCCCCTGCAGTGATAAACTTTTATAAGGTTTGGAATTCTGAGTTTATTCTCAATAAATAAGCATTTTTATCGTGTTTGCCTGACCTGAAACATGTTTGCTGGAGTTAAATTTAGAATTTTATTCATGTCCTTTTAAAAATGCATGTTTCTGTAAAGAACTTTGATTTACCCAATGAATAAATGGAAGTTATTGTGGTTACACTATTCAATAAACTTCATTTGCCTTTTTTAATATTTAAGTTTCTAAGTTTGACTTTTTGACTATCTTTTCGTAATATTTGTCATTTTTATGATTCTTTACATGGGCAGCATTAGACTATTTTTGGGGGTGCTGAAGCATCACTAAAATGTAGGAATTCAAAAGGTTTATTTTTACTACATGTTTTTTAAAGACGCTTGTAAAATACAAAAAGCATACAGTGCTTGGTTGACACAATATATATATTTCAACAACAAAAATGCAGCAAACCTCCCCCTCCTCCAAAGTGTTTGAATCCTGCTCACCTTTCCCAGATTGGGCTCTGACCACCAAGCAGAAAGAAAAGACAGGGTAACGCTTCCTTGTACAGTCCCCTACTTACTAAGTACTTACATGGTAATTACACAGTAAGTTAAAGTGTATTGTTTCTGAGTTCTTAAACAGTTATTATCATGTAACTCTGGTTCAATTCTTGTTTTTATTTTTATTAATCATTCCCAGTAAATACTGCTTTACACAATAACTACACTTTAATTACACAATAATACACTTTAACTTACTATGTAATTACCATGTAAGTGCTTAGGAATTAGGGGACTGTAAAAGGAAGCATTACCAGACCCAGAGAGCTGAGAAAACTATGTTTCCTAAAGATTGAAGGCTTTTACTCATGGGTTAGAGGTTTTCAGGGGGACTCTGACAGTCTGTGTGATCTTTCTCAGTCCTTGTTCCCAGCTGTCTCACTGTAAAATAAAATGTTGATCCCAGTAATTAGACAGCTCATCATAATAAAGCCCGAAAAAGTTTCTAACAGACAAGGTGCTGGCGTTGTGTTTTTACATACATACAACCCCTTTTAAAGCACATTAAAGAACAGCTATTATTTAACTTAATCCTTGATTGCCTTTTCTTTATAAAATTCTGAGAAAAATGTCAGAATTCCAACTTTAGATCTGATTTTTTTCAGAGATTATAGTCACTGATCTCTTTTTGCCTTCTCTCTTAATATCTATTATATAAGATTTGTTGGCATTTTTGAAAAAAAAAACATTTTGTTTCTATTTGGTTGTAAAGTTAAGAAGAAAAAAGACTTTGCAACAAGAGATGGATGTTTTTTCAATAGGAAGTTGATATTAGCCCTTTGATGCATGAATTATGAAATCTTCAACCATGATTTTTAAACAATTTTTTTCATTCAGTTTTAGGTGCGAATGAAACAAATTTCAACATATATTTTTTGTAATATTTTGTTAATTTACAAATAATTAATTACATGTCCACCTCAGTGGACAGCGTGCATTCTGAACATGAAACATGTTGGCTTGACTTACTGAAGTCCAAATGGAGGGGCTCAAATGCAAAAAAGTCTTCAACAGCTGTGCTTAATAGCAAAAATAAATAAATAACAATTTTGAATACCTGTCCACTGTAGTGATCATTATGCATCAAAGCGTTAGTAGAAAATTAAGTAAAAACAGATAAATAAATCCAAAAGTATTACTGGTTTTAGAGGCAATTCCACCCAGTGTTTCACTCCCTGGACATCTTTAATCTGCTAAACAACCTGGACTCATCAAATCTGGACTAGCTAATTTCCCACCACTGGGAGAGTCCTTGAAACACAGTTCCTGATGTGTGAACCCTTTATCTGATTTGTGAAAGTTAAATCACTGATTTCAGCATTTTATTTATTTATTTGGACCTTTTTTTTCCCATCTGAGCCACATAGGAACACCTAGTATCCCCATCTCCCTTCCCCAGGCGTCAGTATCCAGCATGTTTTAGTTGTTTCCATAATCCAACACACTTGATTCACTTGTTCAGAAACTCATCAGGCTCTTCAGAGGCCTGCTAATCACCTGCTGATTAAAATCAGGTGTGTTGAAGCAGGAAAACAGTAAAACATTCTGGACATTGGCCCTCAGGGGAGGGATGTGGAAATCGCTGACCTAAAGCCTTTGCACCTGGACTAAATTGTTGTAATAGAAGAATTTGTAAAGCATTGTTTGTGATTTGTGAAATCTTTTTTGATATGTGGAATAGAATGTTTTGAAGAGTTATTATTATTTTTTTGTCACAGCTGAAACGATTTCCTGATATTTTTAGAAGTAAAAGTTATTGTTTATATTGGAGGCTGATTGAAAGTGAAATATAGTACAGGATACATAAATGACGCAGCGATGTGAATGCTAGCCAGTGATCTGACCCTTTATCAAAATAATAACCAGCTCTTTGTGTTTTATTGTAAATTTGAGCAAATGACTTAAATTACAATGTCTGACCATTTTTCAGCACCGTCTGAATACATTAGCCGCAAACATGACAAAACTGAATTTTGATTTGTGTCAGAAAGTTTCAAAGGAGGAAGGGAAATGACTAATGCTGGAGTATGTAGCTCAAAATGTTATAGTAAATTTAAAAATGCTTGAATTTCACTATCTGATCCTGTGTCACGATTAATAGGTACACTTTCATAATTCATACGTCCCCTAAGTCCCTCCTCTGGCCTCTACAGCTGAACGAATCATTAACGCGAGCCTAGAATGTTGACCAATAACATTGCACCTCCAGAAGAGGGAGCTGTTCCCAGCATGCACTGCTGGGTGATGCACAGTCAGCTAGCACACCAACCTAGCTAGAATGCTAACTTGACCTCTATGTACAGTCTATGCTTGACCTGCATTGAGTTAATGTAGACTTCAAGCTAACCGTGTAAGTGGAGGGAGGGAAACAAAAGGGATTTATCTTTTATGTGCTGGAGCTAAGAGATTAGCGTAGCATTCAACCAAACCCAAAATCAGACTCTTGTTTTAGCTTCTTGTAGCGTTAGCAGGAATGTGCTAGCACCACAAGTGCTGGATTCATTTAGATTTAGATGTTTCCCTTCTTGAATGCTGCAGACTTTATTAAAAGGAGTGATTAGCAGCTCCCGAAGAACCCGATGAAAGCTGAGGAGCTAATTCAGCAGTTAGAAACAGCAGTGGCGCTGCAAGGTTGACACGGGGACGGGGAACGTTCCGTCAGGGAGTGTGGAAGGGCCAAAAGTGGTGTAAAATAACAGCTTTTCACTGACTCGCTACTGCTGTGTTTCTGACTTGGTTCAGTTTGTCAGCCCTGAAGCCCCAAGCATTTGCCTGCCCTGCCTATCGGAACACAGCGCCTCTGAGAATCAGGTGCGTTTGAGCATATGAACATGCAGCCACAGCGGCCATCCGTTAGCGCTACAGGGCTATTTGTGTGCGCCGTATGAGGCCCCCTTTCCTTGGTGACCTCACACTATGAACCCCAGCTTTAAAGGCGAGGATGTGATTTGTTCAGCAGGAGCTGCCGTTCAGATAAGAGTTCATCCAAATCTCCTGTATGATCATCTCTCTGCGCTCGATCCTCTCAGCCAGGTCGGCTGCCTCGCTCAGATAAGTCACTTCATCCCAACCGTACATCGCCTTCCTCTCTGCAGCTGAGAGTAACGAGCTCTCTGTTTCATCGTCATCTGCTTCTTCCTCTTTATCTTCCTCCTCTTGACAGTGACCCGTCTGCTTGCCTGACTTGGCTGAGGCACTGTGATCTCTCCATCTGCAGGTGACTCGGACAGACAGAGCCAGCAGGGTGAGGAGGAGGCCCACACACACGCTGGAGGTAAACAGCAGCGCCGCCATTTCTGGGTGCTCTGATTATGGAAAAAAATAGGAGATTTAAGGTTTGGCACATAAATATTGATGTCATTTGTTAACTGCACAAGGATGAGGTTTACCTTTGATGTAGACATAAGTCAGGAGGGTGTTGCTCGCCATTGCCCCTGAGTTTAGGCGCCTGCTTGAGTCTTTTAGCAAAGGCTTTTCTAGATCTGTAGGAGAAGCTGTTATTGAGATTACAAGCATGGTAAGAAAAGAACAACCGACAAAAATATTCCACCAAACAGAATGATTTCTGTGCCTTTTCCTGTGGTAGGAATCGAGGAGGAGCTTATGATGTTTGGGTCTGCCTCCTTCAGTAAAGTCTGTGGCACTGTTAATCGAAACACAGAGAAAACATAACTGTAGAAGCAAAGAGAAATCATTCAACACCAGAACCTAAAACAATTCTTTGACATCATTCTCTTTTCTGATGTGCTGCTATGGGCTCGGGAATGAGGAAGCAGAAAAGGATCCTACCACAGGAGAACAGCACAGTGAGGTACTTCCTGGTTCCTGGAAAGCAAGGGTCCCTAAAGGTCTGGTTGCCAACAGCAACGGTGCACTTTTGTTTGCTGTAGCAGGATTTGGACACCAAGTGTATGGCCTCGTGGTTCAGACACTCTGAGGGGAGAAGAATCCGTCACTGAATAAAAACTGTTGATCCATCTTCCTTTTAAATTTCAGTTGAAAGAGATCACAAAAATGATTTTGTCGCATTTTGCTTAAAAAGGATGCTCTTTTTAGTTCTTCCTTCTAAATAATGCACACTTCCTTCTTTTCCTCAAAAGTCTTCAAGTGTTTTAAAGAATCAGCACAAATAGTGATTGCAGAACGAGAGCAAAACACATTGGCACCGTTTGGAAAACTTCATAAAACGTCTCTTAATTATTTTCAGTTATGACCCCCACTTCTAAGTGGAGCTCAGAAATAGTTTCCCCATACTGCTGAAAGTAAACATTCTATGTGCACTCACTGCCTGTTTGGACATTCAGCTTCCGTTGAAGCTCTTTTCTGCTTTTATATTAGCACTATAAGTCATGAGAGTCTTTGTCCCCTTCGCCCTTCGAGAGTCTTCGCCCCTTCGCCCTTTGAAAGTCTTCGTCCCCTTCGCCCTTCGAGAGTCTTCGCCCTTGTAGAGTCTTCGTCCCTTCGCCCTTCGAGAGTCTTCGCCCCTTCGCCCTTTGAGAGTCTTCGTCCCCTTCGCCCTTCGAGAGTCTTCGCCCTTGTAGAGTCTTCGCCCCTTCGCCCTTGTAGAGTCTTCGCCCCTTCGCCCTTTGAGAGTCTTCGCCCCTTCGCCCTTTGAGAGTCTTCGCACAAAAAAAAAACACAAAAATACTGCTTGCTTGCAACGATTTAGGTATCTACCACCCCCTATCGCCAGGAAAAATACACACTGTCCCTTTAAATGATAGTGATTCCAGGATTGACCAACAAAATATTGCCATTTTAATTATTTTCCATAATTCAACAGCCCCAATTAAAACCACTGACACACTTTAATTACAATGTTCATGATTCAACACAAATGGGATTTTATTTTTGACAGTGATCTAGTCAGATACAGCTAATAGTGTAAGTATGTAAATAATATCCATATGAGTGTAAATTCATTGAGACTGTTCTTTCACACTGCCATCTTTGTCTGAAATCCCAAAGTTTTACTTCACATACCGGGAAATGCACAGGTGTACTAAAGCGCTCAAATGGAATGCAGCTGCAGCGGCAGTCATTATGTACACCTGTCTCTACCTGCACTGTTATTGTACTGTTTTCGCTTGTTTTTCTTTAATTAAGTCCGCATTCCTCATAAATCTGCCCTGCTCTTCATTATAAAGTGAATGTGTATTTAGTCAACAGACAACGCTGATTTTTCCATGGAGATTAATGAGTCAAACCCATTCATGCATGTTTTTTATGAACATCAAAAGGGAAAGTACAATCGAAAAGAATAAAGTCAATGTTGGCTGCCTTCCACTAAGCTGAAGGCTATACCAGACTCATGCCTGGCACCAGGCCAAATTGTGCTTCAAATCAAACTAATGATTGTCTGTGGGGGGGTTGTTTTTATTGTGGTTTATTCCAGGGAAATGTTTTCTCTCTGCTTTGTGAAACTTGTGTTAACTCACCGAACGGAGGAGGTCTTGATAGGTATGAGGAGCAGGTGTCAGCCTGACCTAGACGTCGACCGTAGACAGCTGCGTAGATGTTGAGCACCTTGGGGGGCTTACAGCGCAGGACCATGGTCTCGCCATCACATACCACATGTCTTTTGTGTTCAGCTGAGTGAGAGGGATACAGGAAAAGGTGCTGTGTGTAAGAATTGAGTGAAAGCGACACCCTGTCGTCAAATTTAGTTGCTGCAATCATTGTCTCTTTTGTGTTGCCAGTCTCAAAGGTAAGTAAAAACACCAGAGATGAGTGAGATCAGAGCTGGTGGACTCACTTGGTTTGCATTTATAGTCCACATGAAGGTGCTTGGTGGCACCAGGACATGGGTCCTTCCCAAACAGCAGGTGATTGACAGGAAGCTGGCAGTCTCTGTGGCTCTGACACTCTGATAGCAGCTTCTACATAACAAAGAGGACAGTCCAGAACAGTGGGTCTGATGTTTCGATTTGTCTTGTGTCACTTATCAGCAACCAGGTTGCAAGGAAAACAGATCCTCAGTTACGTCTTTCCAGTTTAACTGGAGTTTGACATAATCTCTCCAGAAAGGCTCCGTCCCAAGACCTTCTCTTGGTGGGAAATAGATGAAAATCCAACCCTGTTCAGCATCTAATGGGCCATTCCCATCTGTACCGGGTCGGCCCGGGCCGGGTAGCCCCAGTCGGCCCCAGCCTGGCCCGGTCGATTCCACACATCCTTGCCTTAAGCCCATGTGGGCTGATTCTACCCACCAATCAGAGGCTTGCTCTAATGGAAGGTGTGAATTTGCTGTCAGCAGTGGGTGTGTTGGCCCTGGTCGGCCTGAAGCAGACCCCCTCGAGAAGAGGGCTGAGAATGAGCCTTGGTTGGCCCGGAAAAATACCAGGCCACCCAGATATGTAAACAACCTACGCTACCCGGCCCGGGCCGACCCGGTACAGATGGGAATGGCCCATATAGGGCATCTTTATCAGACACGCAATTCACTCCAAAGCTATGATGCAAATGTGCCAAAACAATCAGGCTTAAAACAGCTAAACAACATTCTAACATAGTATAGTATAAATATACTGAGGATATTTTAAACAACGAAGGAGGTGGTTCTCTCACGTTTGTCTAAAAACAACACGGCTTGGGCCGATACTAACTATAGGACTATCTGATTGTCTGTTTCACCAAACCAACGCATTTCTGCATTTACCTGGGTCTTCCATTCATTATGCACTCATGCATTTTGCAACAAAACACCACTGGTGTGAGAGGTTCTCCACTCAATATTATCAGAGAAAAAGAAACAGCCGGTTGATACCAACTCCAATTGAGGACAAACTACCAGAGTCCCAAAAAGGAAGACACAGTTTGAAGTCACGGACAACAAAAGACGTTTGGCGATATGGTGTTTAGCACCATCTTGCTTACTCTGGCAATATGGGTTCCAGTATCCGGCAGACGTGGCTTAGGGATCATAGCCGACAGGTGTGGTGAGAGTTTTGTGACCATGTTTGTGTTTAAAAGCTAGCTTGTTTTGCAGATTTGCCATTGCAGCTTTAACTGGCTTCGCTGATGATGGTGTAGATGGGTTTGAGTGTCCCAAGGATCCCAGGAAATATCTACCAGTTTGCCCCTGCCTTCCATGGCAAATTGACTAAATCTAAATTCTTGGAGCCGAGCCTGAAGGAGAGACAAATGGACACTCCCCTGGTTGCCAGATATTTGCCAATCTGACTGGCCACAGACTTGGAAATGTCCTGTTCATCCACCTTACCGCCTTTTGGCAGGAAATTCCATAAGAGACTGGTGTTTTGTAGTACACGCAACAGTTGGAAACAGAGATCCCCAGTAGGCGAAACTGGCTTTAGGGATATTTTGCTGTGTCAAACTGCTAAACAAAAGCAACAGTAGCGATGACCAAACCAACTGGTCTGGCTGAGAATGTTAACTTGTGTACACGGAAAATGCACCTGTAGAGCAGTAAAAGCAGAGCAGCTGTGGTTGTAGGGTCTGGGTGGGCGGTCCTTTCTGCAGAGTTGGACCTCGCCGCTCCCATAGAAGGCTGACTGGATGGAAATGGTGGAGTGACGAGGACAGTTGAGTCTCAGAGGCATGCCGTCACAGGCGTGAGCCGAGTGGCTGGTGATGATCCTGGAGAGGTAGTCTGTAATACGCACAGGTTTAAGAATAAAAGTTTAGTTGTTAATAGGGATGTCCGATGATATCGATGTCCAATAGGAAATTATTGTTATCAGTTTTAACTCTTTCAACGACACGATTCCCTGCCACGCACATATTATTCATCAAACTCCACTTCTCCTCTCAGTCAAAATAGATCTGAGGTAAAGTTATTGAGATGTTTTTGTTTGGCACAACTGGCCAACTTTAACTTTAAGTATCTGTTATATTTCGAACATCCATCCATTATCATCCACTTATCCGTTGCCGGGTCACGGGGGCAGCAGCTTAAGCAGAGAGGCCTAGACTTCCCTCTCCCCAGCCACTTGGGCCAGCTCCTCCGGGGGAATCCTAAGGCGTTCCCTGGCCAGCTGAGAGACATAGCTCCTCCAGCGTGTCCTGGGTCTCCCTTTAGGTAATCTCTCAGTTGAAAGTGCCTGGAAAACCTCACCTGGGAGGCGTCCAGGAGGCATCCTAACCAGATGCTCTAGCCCCCTTAACTGGCTCCTCTCAATGTGGAGGAGCAGCAGATCTACTCCGAGACCCTCCCAGATGACCAAGCTTCTCACCCTATCTCTAAAGCCACTTACGCACTAGCATCAGCTCCACTCCGCCCCAGCCTGGCCACATTTGTTCCACACTGCCACCTGATTGAGCACATAGGCGGTCTGCGGCCTGTGATGTCCTGAGCGCATCTCTGAGCACGTGGGCGGGACAAAGAGCGCAGACAAGTCAGCGAGAGTCTCCTTTATTGAACAAAGCGGCCTGAGTAGTAGAGAGTCCATAGCTAGTTAACTCCACAGCATCCAGAATGATACTGAATCACGCATGCGGGAAGCCCCGCGGACTAATTCTATCCGCTAATCGGAGGCTCCCCCTAAAGGTAGGCGTGCTTTTGAGCCAGCCAATCAGTCAGCAGTGGGCATGTTGACCCTGTTCGAATCCAGGCAGACCTCCTCAAGAAGAAGGCTGAAAAGACATTTGGTTGCGTTCAGGAAAATTCAAGGCTACTAAGTAAGAAAACTCCAAAGCTGGTCCAGGCGGAGTGGAGCTGATGCTAGTGTGTAACGGCCATCGGGGTGAGTCCAGACATCCTGCAGAGAAAACTCAATGTGGCCACTTGTATCTACGATCTCTTCCATTTGGTCACACCTCAAAGCTTGTGACCATAGGTGAGGGTAGAAAATAGGACCAACTGATAAATAATGTGAACAGAGAATGATTTGGTGCTCTTGTGGGTCAGATATCTGGAGCTGTTCAGCACACGAATCACAGTCGGTGTGAACGGCAGTCCGTTCGGAAGGTTTACGGAAATCGTAACACATCTGTTCCACGTTTGATGTGAAACAGGCCTCAGATCATATTGGTAAACTGGTAATAAAGACAAGCAGTTATCGAACTATTGTAGAATGAAGTGAGCTAATACGTGCACTAATTAGATCCTTCTCCTTTCCCATTTACAGGTCAGGCACTTCCAGTCTTTTTAAAGGGCCGTGTTGCTTTCCAGACAGTTGCAGAGCAGGGTGGAAAAACATGACGGTTGGCTGACCTTTGTTGCACATTTACAACTTTTCCTTTATCTGTACACATTCTGAATCAGCATGGGAAGCAGAAGTTATTACAACTTCCTTCAAGTTCGCATGGAAAATCTTTACTGCAGGTCTGCTGGCATTACCCTCCCCATCATCATCATCTTACTTGAAAAATCAGAAAGCCCGTGCATGCGCCTGGTCCACAGCAGTAAGGTCAGATAGAAGAGGCTGTGGCTCCAGTCCAGTGCGCTGTAAAGACGCGTCCAGCTCAAGGCTCGCATCTCCTCCCTCTTTAATCATGTTAGAAAGGCTCCGAAGTCACGGCGAGACTTAGAACCCAAACCAGAAGGTGATCGCTGGTGGAGCTGTCCTCCAGCTTCATCAATAAACAAATACACGCTGGTGAGTGAGAGTCGCTGCTGAAGGCGGTGGACCACAAACGGAGGCTGGGAATAGCAGCTGCGCAACAATTGTTGTAAAAGTGACAGACGAGAGGATCGATCCCGGTGGAGGCTCAGCTGGTCGGACGGTTCTTCTATCGGCACGGTCCTGTGAGTGGATCCATGTAGAAAACAGGAGGCGATTTACAGTAACAGCTGAGGAAACCATGAGGTGGGAGTGGCACATCAAACTATTTTAAAGGGAACAGCACAGGCGCGCGGGAGGGGGGGGGGGGGGGGCAACGCACACTGCTGTGACGCATGACGGCAGATTTCTTCTTTCACGTCTCTTTCGTCTCTAAATAGAAATATACCATTATCCGTTATGCACCACTGGGGTGTTTCTTCCTTACATGTGTTATATGTGGCAGGGATCGGGGTGCCCCCAGAAAGTTTTCAAAGGGGGCCTACTGGTATTCCTGGGTGGCACCCCCAAAAAAATACATTTTTTTTTGCAGATAAATCAGGGGTTTGGATATTTTTGCTGTCATTTAAATGCAATTTGGTGAATACATTTTTAATACTATAATATTCCAGACAGCATACTTCAATAACTGCCAAGCCTCCATCTCAAAGGAAAGCCCAAGCCTAAATAATCCAGTGATGCCAAAGTCGTTTCAAACTAGCGCCATTACTAAAGCCACAACCGTTGTTTTTCTCTGTCGCTGCTCTGCTGTCATTGTAAAAGGAAAAAAATCTTTTTTTTTTTTTTTGCCATAATGGTGCTAAGGCCACTACTCATCTCTCTACTCACATAGAGCATTGTGATGGGCCTGGCCTTAACTCAGCTGAGGCTACAATAGAGCTAGGTTGGCTAGACCAACCTGCAGAGCAAATAATTTTTGCCATTGCTGTTTTTCTAGTTTTCGTGGCTGAATTAATTAGGCAACATTTGACAAAACTATTTTTCAGATCAAAAAATATTTTGTAAGGATGCTTTCCCCCAATCGTTTCTTTATTGATACCCTAACCACAAGGCCCCTTTCAATGAAGCTGGGGGCCTACAGGGTAAACTGCTCCCCAGCCCGCATCCGTGACCCACTCCATGGTAACGGGTCAAGACTCTGTCAGACTTCAGATCAGGCCTGCAGCAGTCAGAATGGCAGACACAGTAGAGGTCTCCACACTCCACTCTGTGGGTTAAAATCTGACACGGGACCAGGAGGAGGAGGGGGACTGTGGAGTTGTAATTTACATACAGACGGGACGGATTGGGAGTAGCTCCAAAACGTATTCCATGAGATGTTATTCCTCAAAGCCTAAGGAATTTTGTTGTTGAACTCAAAAGGCTTCCTGTACTTTGTAGTTTAGACCATAATATAGACATGGAGGCCTGACGGTGACGTAATGCTTTAGGAATCAATATAAAATAAATGGAAAAAGGTCCAACTGGATGCCTTAGGGTTATATAATGCTAATAGATTATTAATAGTTATTAGATAATCTAAAACAAGCCTTAAATTAGACTGAAGCAGCACAGTCAAAACACAGATTAGAGTTGCTGATGTTTGAAAAAACAGGAAGGAGAGATGAAGAGTAAAACATAACTATTTTTATGTCTTCATCAAATGAATTTGATAGGAAACATGTAAACCTGCTGAAGAAAAAAATGAAAAGCAGCTTTGTGAGTGAATTTATTTGAATTTCTGCAGGAAAATACAATTAATTATTACAAATTATTGACACAGCAAAAAATCTACAATGCTGTAAAAAGCTAAAAAAAAAATGGCGACATCTTCATTTAAAGTCCAAATTCATCTCCAGTTGGGAATCAAGTGCAGCCTGCAATTGAAGAAAAGAAATGGAGTTACATTTTTAAAATATATACTTTTACAATTATAAAAATATTTGGAGACTCACAAGTTCTCTTTTTGCTTCTTCTATCTTTACTTGAGCAAGAGATGGGCTCTGAGAAAAGTTAGAGGAAAAAACGATAATTAGCCTAACAAAATACAAAAAATTAACTGGTTAAAATTAAAAGATGAGTAAAAAAATGTTTTTGAGGGAAACTGTTAAATGATCTTACAGCACTGAGATCCATATAAGGCTCCAGTTTCTTCTTCAGGGGAATTATTTCTTTTTTCAGAGCATCAACTTCCTGCAGAGAGAAAAATAAATGGCCTGTATTTGATATAGCACCTTCTAGAGTCCTGGAACCCCCCAAGGCACTTTACAACACAATCAGTCATTCACCCATTCACACACACATTCACACACTGGTGGGGATGAGCTACGATGTAGCCACAGCTGCCCTGGGGCGCACTGACAGAGGCGAGGCTGCCGAGCACTGGCGCCACCGGTCCCTCCGACCACCACCAGCAGGCAACGTGGGTTAAGTGTCTTGCCCAAGGACACAACAACAGCGACAGACTGAGCGGGACTCGAACTTGCAACCTTCTGATTACAGGGCGAGCACTTAACTCCTGTGCCACCGTCACCCACAAAAAAAGACGACACATGTCAACCCTAGATACAGGAAGCTTTGATGGTGACAACTGGGGCTGCACAATGCTGGAATACCTCAGAGAGCTGAACTATGGCCTTATGGGTAATGGACTTGTCCATGTTTCTGGACACAAGCTGAGCCTGTAGGATTCAGAGGAGAAAAACAAAGAAAATAGAGTGAAATTCCTTCTGCCGACCACACAATGACATTAGGATTCAGTTAAGCCTGATTTATGCTTCTCCGTCTGCGTCAGTGCGGAGACACGCAACGCCATTATCCGTCCTTGCGTAGGGCTCCGGCAGGCACGCAAGTACGTACGGAGTCGAGCCCACTTTTTTAAACATCCGTCGAAAGAGACGGATTACGCAAGCTTGTGATTGGTCAGGACGCCGCTGTTGTTTACAGCGCTGCCATTGCAAAGAGAGCCGAGGATAACTTGCGGCAGACACGGAGAAGCTTGAAGAATACCTCGCGAAAAAACTCTAAAAACATGAACGTTTAATTCCCCCGTGACTGGAGGAGTGAAAAGATGCGCAGCAGGCGTTTTATTTGTGGACGGAAATAACAGGAAACGTGGGTTTAGAGGTGGGGAGCGCATGAAGCGGTGGGAGAATGAGAGACAAATATGTCCGTGTTAAAAGTCTCTTATATACACAAAAAACACAATATAAACACACGATCTTGGACCGATACATGACAGGATACCACAGAACAGCGCTACGCCCTCTGTTGTCCTGCCGGGCAATTGCTTTGCAACACTCTCCAGGAGACGGAGAAGTATGAGAGCAAAACGCTTCCGTCAATCCGTGCGTGTCTGTCCCTTGCGGAGCTGACGGAGAAGCATAAACCAAGCTTAAGTTGCATTTTTATTAAGTAAACCACAACATACCTCTAATTTCACTCTCCTCGTGCTGAGCTCTCTAGCTTTCATTGTCACAAAATCCAAAGAAAGCAGCCTCTCCTCTGCTTTGGCGCCCTCCACTGCTTGAGATTTAGCGGTTTTCTCGATATCTCTGGCAAAAAAGAACATTCATTTGAGGTCAGATGGAAAAATCCATGTTTGCTGTATCAGGTCAGCGCGGCTTTTACCCCTGTAAGTTTCCTCGCAGCATCAGCATCGCACCAAGGCTCTTTCTGGAGGCCCTCAGTTCTCTCTCAAGTCTTCTGTTTGACTTCTCAGCTTCTAGAAGTTCACTGGTGAGCTTGTTGACTGCTGGAATTAAACTAGAAAGAAATCCAGGCTTTGTGACGCCTCTCGGGCAATTTGTGGAACTTTGTCCAATAAACTAAACAGAGTCAAGACTTGTGTACCTGCAAAGTGACGTGTCTCGCACGCCCAGCACCATGGCGTTGTCCACCAAAGCAGACACATAGTCTGCAGCGGGTTTTGACAAACTTCCACAGGACAGGCCGACTCCTTGGTGAAGGACATCTTGAAGATGTGAAGCTGGATGAATAAAATGCAGATTTGTGACATTTTCTTATAACAGGAAGAAGGAATGATGAACCAACGCTGCAGATTACAAACAAATGTGTATTAAAAACGTTTATAAAAAGAAAAAAGGTGAATCGGAATTGTATTTATAAGAAATTACCAGCCAATGCATAGAAAAATGATAAGCACTTTGATTTCCTGGTGGGGAATTGTAATATAAAAACCTACTTTCTCAGGAGTTTTCAGTGAAATTTTTAGAAGAATGGTCCCAAAGTCAAGAGATGAATTATTGTTGTGCCAACTAGAGGTGCACCAATATTGGTTTTACTTATTCAGGGTATCTGCAGGTTTAAGGGAGCCAAATTTAAGACTTTTTAAGACCTTATTTAAGGCCACTTTGACCAAATTTAAGCTATTTTTAAAATTAAATTTAAGCTACAATTTCCAGCTATTGCCTGGAACCGGTGCTAACCACATCGCGAACATGGGATTAGCCATCCAGTTACCATCATACTTCCCCATGGCGCAAACTCCCACTAGCTTAACCAGCTAATGTGCTCATCTAAAAATAGCCCCCTTTCACAACCAGCTGAATGTGTACAGTTCCGCTTACGCCAACATCGTACACAAAAAATCCTGAACACTAACTAGAAATTCACGAAAATTTTATAGAAATAAAAGAATCTTGTTTAGTAGGCCTTTGGTAATTTAAGACCTTTGGAAACTGTATTTAAGGATTATTTGTCATTTTTAAGTATTTTTAAGGCCTTAAATTTTGAAAAGCAAATTTAAGACTTTTAAAGGCTTTTTAAGGACCCGCGGATACCCTGTTATTCTATTGCCAATACCGATATGTAACTGCCAATTTTCATGGCCAATCTATAGACATTTTCCACCACATGTTCATGCTAATGTCACTAAAAACACCAGTTGAACACACTTGAACTTCTGAATCAGTTTTTGAACTTTGAGTTTAACTAACTCAGGTGTGCCAAAACCTGGTCGAGATCCCCTATCCCGCATGTCTTAGAAGTTTCCCCGTTTCAACACACCCGATTTGAATCAGTGGTGATTAGCGGTGTTCTGCAGAGCCTGAGTAGCTGTTGAACGGGTGATTCAGTCACTGAATCAGCGGGGTGAGATATAAAACAAGCTGGATAGGAGATCTTGAGGGCCAGGGTTGGGCAAACCTGAACTAACTGTTAAATCTACTGCTCAGTGTTAACGTCAAACACCTGGATAAAGTTGGAGTATTTATTATGCAGATGTTATTGGTGAATGTAAAAATACATCCATTCATCCATTTTCATCCGCTCATCCAGAGTCGGGTCGTGGGGGCAGTAGCCCCCGGCAGCTCTTCCGGGGGAATCCCAAGGTGTTCCCTGGCCAGGTGAGAGACATAGTCCCTCCACCGTGTCCTGGGTCTACCTTTAGGTCTCCTCCCGGTTGGACGTGCCCGGAAAACCTCACCAGGGAGGTGTCCAGGAAGCATCCTGACCAGATGCCCGAGCCACCTCAACTGGCTCCTCTCGATGTGGAGGAGCAGCGGACCTACTCCAAGCCCCTCCCGGATGACCGAGCTTCTCACCCTATCTCTAAGGGAGAGCCCAGACACTCTTCGGAGAAAACTCATTTCGGCCGCTTGTATCCGCGATCTCGTTCTTTCTGTCACTACCCAAAGCTCATGACCATAAGTGAGGGTAGGAACGTAGATCGACCGGTAAATCAAGAGCTTCGCCTTCTGACTCAGCTCTCTCTTCACCACGACAGACCGGTACAACGCCCGCATCACTGCAGATGCAGCACCAATCCGCCTATCGATCTCACGCTCCAGTTTTCCCTCACTCGTGAACAAGTCCCCGAGATACTTAAACTCCTCCACTTGGGGCAGGACCTCATCCCTGACCCAGAGAAGGCATTCTATCCTTTTCTACATTTAAATTTAATTCAACAGCAGCACCGGGCAGCCCACGGATGTGCCTGACTTTACTAAGTACAAATATATGTCGATGTATAAAAAAAACAGTAAAATCGGCCCGATCTATCGGTCTACCCCTAGAGCCAAAACATGGGACAAAAACAACTTGTTGTTGACAGTCTGTCACAGAAAGTGATCTGTTTTTCGTATATTTAGTCAAATCAGTGAAAAATAATAAAGATACCAGTCTGACAAACATCTAGAGTTATTAGCTGTCAAAATAACACAACATCAACAGTTAAATGTAAAACATCTTTCTCTCAAGCTCTGCATCATGTCTGCTAGAACTTTCCCTACATCTTATATTTTGAACTGGGCAGAAAATAAATGAAAAACAAGCCAAAGTCAAAAGAAAAGTGCAATAGACTATACAGATCAAGATCCCTCTGCTGTCTGCCTGTCACTCACTCACCATCAGCCTGATACTCGGATGCTTTCTGCTTGAAGTCCTCTATGAGGAGAGCTGTGTCACTGCAGCGGGCCTCGCTGGACTGAGCTAGTTGGTATAGGACATCCACTGTCCTCGTATTGACTTCAAACTGTGGCACCGACCGATCTCCAAACACCGCACTCAGCCAGCAGTTTACCTATTTAAAAGACGAAAAACAATGTGTAAACCGCTGTAGGCGCCAAGCTCATTTGTGTTCGCCGTACAGAACATTTTACCTGCTTTATCTTTTCACACATGATAACAAAAACGAGAGCAAGTCTTAAAATTCGCAACTCAGAAGGTTTTGGGCAACCCGTAGACCCGTACAGACAGTTTTCCCGCCTCCTTGAATGATTTTTTATTATTTCTGGTTTTTGAGCCAATCAGAGGGCAGAGGAACAAAAACGACTACATTCCGCAACAACTATAACTAAATACAAAATAATCAAATTAAAAGTGAATAGCGCTGTTTTGAAAATACGTATGAGCTAATTATTCCAATTATTAAATAAATATAAAAATTAAAACTGTATTTGAACAACATCCGGTTGGCGTTTCTTGAGTGATTACAAAGATGAAAAATCAGTCAAGATAGTTCACATCTAATTCTATGCTAAAGCTTTAACATCAGTAGCAATTATATTAAGTAATTAATTAAGCCGAGTTTGCCTTCAATTAAATATTCCCATATGTCATTTTCATGATAAATGTTTATCTTTTATTTTGTCGTTTAATCCATCTTCGTGATTTATTTTATGCATGTTATATTTTAAATACGTTTATAAACTATAACAAAATTTATTTGCCATGTCAAAACATCTCAGGTTAAGATAAAGAAAACAACAACTTACTTCTAATGTTACAGACATTACATACTTTCCCCAAAAACGTTTAAAACAAACAGAAAGACGAAAGCGGAAATAAACTTAGGTGAACATCTCGCGATATCTGAAAAACCACCAACCGCCTAAGTTTAAAACTCAGACATCTTGTTTGCAAACCTGGAAAAACCTCAGAGAAAAGCAGAAATGGCGACGAGTGGAAAGCTATTCGGAGTTCGACGAGCATTACTCAACAAGACGTACGAAGCAAGCAGCGTCGAAACCACTATGGTTGAAGAAATACTTTTTAGACAACCAGAAGAAGAAGAGAACGACGGACCCGTGGTCTTCATCTGTGGGAAGTGCAGGCTGCCTGTTGGGGATTCGATGTCTTGGGATGGAGTTGATGACGGACAGAATCAAATACGACTGAAGCGTGAGTAAAATAGTGACATTATGCTCAGTGATGGAGTAATAAGTTGTCCACAACGTGTTTTTTTGTGTGTATTTAAGTTAAAGAGAATAGATAAACAGTTAAAGCCACGCTCCCTTAGCATCGAGAGGAGTCAGCTGAGGTGGTTCCCATCCTCTGAAGGTTTGTGGAGCACATCCCACTGGGAGGAGAGTTTAGGGCAGATCCAGAGAACGATGGAGGGCTCACGTTGGAGTGTTGCTGGGAAGAGGAGTGTCCAGGTGGCCCTCCTGGATCTTTCGCCTCTGCAGAATCCACTTGAGCACACACAGTTTGTCAGTTCAAATGTGATGAAAGTCTTATTCAAATCAAGCTCAGTTTAAACTGTTCTTTAAGAAGGGAAAAATGTGATTACTGGTGCAGAGTTTTGCTTTTCAGAGATTTTTTTTTCTTTTATTGATGGTTGTTGTTTTGTGTTTTTCTTCTAGGTGTTACTGACAACGTCCTTGTTGGAAAGGAAAATCGCTTGTTTGAAGTCGGCAAAAGATGTGTTTGGTAAGAAGTTGCAGAGCAGTGATTGATGGAACATCTCATTTCAAATAAGGCAGTTGGAAAGTTTTCTGTTTGCTTTTCAACTGTAAATTAAATTAAAACCAAACTTCTGCAAAAATCCCACGAAATCTGATTAAGTTCTTAATATTGTGCTAATTTATCTATATAATTCTTACTGCTAATAGGATTAGGGTTGTCACGGTATGAAAATTTAACCTCACGGTTATTGTGACCAAAATTATCACGGTTTCCGGTATTATCGCGGTATTTTTTAAACGGTGTTGCATATGTTCAGAAAGCATTGATAGTCCTGTACACAAACTGAAATAGTTCTGAAAAGGTTTAACAGTGTTTATTAAACCTAAAATAACACAAAGCCTTAGCAAAAGTGCAACTTTTCACAAGTAAAGGAACAAATAGCTTCTTTTTCTGGAACGTGTTACAGTAGTCAGTGCAGGTTTAAATGATACAAATCCAAACATCTCGTCTCGTCTTCCTCCGCTTATCCGGGTCCGGGTCGCGGGGGCAGCATCCCAACTAGGGAGCTCCAGGCCGTCCTCTCCCCGGCCTTGTCCACCAGCTCCTCCGGCAGGACCCCAAGGCGTTCCCGGACCAGATTGGAGATGTAACTTCTCCAACGTGTCCTGGGTCGACCCGGGGGCCTTCTGCCGGCAGGACATGCCCGAAACACCTCCCCAGGGAGGCGTCCAGGAGGCATCCTGACCAGATGCCCAAACCACCTCAACTGGCTCCTTTCGATCCGGAGGAGCAGCGGTTCTACTCCGAGTCCCTCCCGAATGTCCGAGCTCCTCACCCTATCTCTAAGGCTGAGCCCGGCCACCCTACGGAGGAAACTCATTTCGGCCGCTTGTATCCGCGATCTCGTTCTTTCGGTCATTACCCAAAGCTCATGACCATAGGTGAGGATTGGGACGTAGATCGACCGGTAAATCGAGAGCCTGGCTTTCTGGCTCAGCTCCCTCTTCCCCACGACAGATCGGCTCAGCGTCCGCATCACTGCAGACGCCGAACCAATCCGCCTGTCGATCCAAATCCAAACATTCAAAACATAAACAATATGTAAACAAATCAAAGAAACACCACTTGTTTTCTTCATTATCAAAATGAAAATCTAAAACTCCAGTCCACACTTGACTTGAGCGCTGTACAAGTCAACCTTAAAAAATATGTATTTAAAATAAATGGCCACTTTAAACAAATGACTAAAATAACTACTACACTATGTAATCAAATCCAAATGTTCAAGTATAAATGGCATTGAATAAGTAAACAAATCAATGACAAGGAACTAATTGTATATTTCTCTTCATCATCAACAAATAAGATGCTTCATCCAGCAACAGGGTGTCCGTGACACGGTTTAAATGCTGGCAGAGGGCGCTGCGGCTGCAGTATATAGTGACTCGTTGCATTCTCCCTCAACCAAAAGTCCTCGCGTCATGCATTTAAGCTAAAATGCTAATGTTAACTTACCTTGCACTGGCTGTAGAGACGTGGGTGATGGTCACTCAGATGTGCCATTAGATTCGAAGTGTTGCTGCCTTTTGCAGACACTTGTTTCCTGCACGTTCTGCAAACGGGATAGCAGTCTTCTATTAACTGTCCCTCAGCATTTTTCAGAAATCGAAAATATGCTCATACTTCCGATTTAGTCTTCTTTGAGGGCTGATGGATGTCCTGGGCGCTGTCGTCTCCTCCTTCGGCCATTATTTCAGCTTCAAAGTTTTGGTGCCGTTGCAAACTAAAAAGTGCGCGCCGCGGGAACTTCAGCTGAAGCGACGGTGGCTGGTAAGGGTCACCGCGCCGAAACCGCGGCCACGGTAAACCCACCGAGATAATTTAGTTTTTTAAAAACTGGACGGTTATTTTTATTGTCAACTTTTTTACCGGGGTTTACCGCTATACCGGTTACCGTGACAACACTAAATAGGATTATGATTCCTAAGCTCATGTAAATAGAGACACTCTGATCCAATCACGTGATCTGAAATCGGGCAGTCGCGATTTTCAAAGGATCTGGAATCGGGTGGAAACAATAAAACATAACCTTATAAAACAACAAGCATGATCTTTTATACTCGTGCTGCGACAAGAGATTTTCAGATTTAGTCACCATTACTTAGTTTAACTTTTAACAAGTTAATCTACATCAATATTCATTTTTTTGTGGATGATAAACTACGTAACATCACACAATTTACAGCAGGGAGGAAATTAAGGCACCGTAACATGTAGCTGTTAGCTAGCTGGCTAATGCAGAGCTAAAATGTTACCTCAGGAGGGCAAAATTGTTTGGGACTAATTTAAAAACCAGACGGCAAAGGCAGTGCCACAGTCACGAAATGGGCATTTAGCGAGGTGGAAAAGACAGAGCTGTGTTCAACACTACAAATTTGAAATGCCCCCTAAACAAAATCACCTGTCTGCACTTAGTTCTGGTATACCACCTTAAACACAAACATCTAGCTCAAAAATCAGTTCACTGCAGCGACTCGGACAAAAACACGGAAAATTGTGTACGGACAGCGAAAAGATCGCAGCTGAGATGGCAGTATTCATCATACTGGATGATTGTCTTTGGTTGCAAATGTCGGGTTTCTTAGCCTCCTGGAACCGTGGTGCGAGTGTCGTTTTTGTCATTATTACACACGCAGCTCTAAAGGTGTGTGGAGAAAAGTGAGCCTGTTGGCTGTGACTTACGTACCCTATTGCAGGAACGTGCATCGCTCAGTACAGCTGCATATCGGGTAAACTGTTAGAAGTTAGAGCGACAAAGCTTTTAAATATAATCATGGTACTAATGCTGTTATTTGGCAGGAAATTACATAAAATGGAAAGATATACATAAATGCTACAAAACCTAAAGAACCACTTGAATGTGCACTCCTTTCTTTTTATTTAATTATTTGCTGAATGATCAGATTGGAACTCTATCGGCTTGGATTGGAGGAAAACGATGCGATTGGAACCTCTCAAGTATTAAATATTCCTCTCGGTACATTTGACCGAGAGTAAACACAATGTCCTGCTGTACTGGTGTCACTTGTAGACGTATAATGTTCAGTGGCTTTATTTATTTGTCCTCTCAACAGTCTGACGGTGGACCTCATGTGTCGAGGATGCCGGGCCGTGATCGGCATGGTTTACACCTCTACCCCTAAATCCATGGACCACAAGCGGTTTACGTTCTGCCTCAGTGTAGCTGACATCGACAGGTACTTTCATTACTGGTTTCAGCTTTCTAAGACTCTTATTATTTTTTTTTAAGGTTTCTGGGTTTTTATATGAAAAAATAACAATCAGACCTTTTCTCTGTAAAACAAAACCGGCCCAATGGTGTTTAATAACATTAAACATTATAATATTTGTAGCTCATTAAATTACCGCATTACATTTGTTGGAGGGGCGTGGGTGATTTTGGCTTAACCTTAATTTGTTTTAGCAGTATTTCATCTATAGGGAGCCTGTCGTCTCCTCTCTTCCTGGTCAGCTAATGGGGCTCCTAAGCAACAAAAAAAAGAAGTATGGATGAACAGGGCTATAAAAGCTATTTTCTGGTCCGTCTTGCCTTACACCTATATATGTTGTAATTGAATTGAAATGATAAATGCGATTGTCTGTTGCGTAATTTGAGATTTATTTGCTTCCTAATTAAATGACTACAAAACAGACGTTGCATGTATGATGTCACAGCAGAATCCCTTCTCACGTCTTTGGGATGTTCTTGCTGTGTCTGGTTTCTAACTGCATTTTTGGTTCTTTTTAAAACACAGAAAAGTCCGCAAACGAAACTGTCAGCAAGGTAAAAACAAACAAAAAAAAACTTTTCTGTGTTTTAAAAAGAACCAAAAATGCTGTTAGAATCTCTCTTCCCCTAGCATAACCGCTACTTACCGCATGACCAGATTCAGAGTGGGTTTCTCCGCCTTCTTTCATCCTGACTGAAGAATGCGAAGCTCGCTAAACTCAAACATTTTCATCTCCTTGTCTGGTCTGATGACCTACATTTGGTGAGACGAGCAGTTGGAGTCCACTACACGTCCTAAAGTAACTTTTGCCCGCCTGTCAAAAAAAGAAAGAGCTTTCTTGGCATCTAAACATGTTTTTAAAATTCCGACACCGTATGTGAAATAAGGTTGGGCAATGGGACGAATGAATCGACCGTCTGCGACGGGCTGAGCCGTTACGGTTGTTTTTTTTTTACAGGAAGCGATGTGTTTATTTATTTGTTTGTTTGTTATTGACAAATATTTTACACGTTACGCACAGAGAACATCGCAGAGGTAACGATCAAGAAAAGATCTCCATCAGCGCATCTGATCCCTTCCCCATCTGGCTGCTGACAGTGCACGCACAAGCGGCTCGCTGAGGAGGGGTTTGGAGAGCGTCTGAGTCTGGAAGACTTCTGGTTATTCCATTTGGAGAAACGTTTCCTGATTTAAAACTTTGGCTGAAGTAGCGCTCGTCGTGTTATTCAGCACTTGCTTTGAGTGCGTCAGCAGAGCACGGATCCATCCAGAACATTATTTAAACAGCCACGAGTCTGTCTGAGGCAAACGTCTAGAAGCTTATAACCTCCTCAGCAAACTCCATAGAGACATTTGATGACACACAAGCTGCAGGTGACCAGTTCAGGTTCACGCGGCGCAGGAGGAACGTGCGTTCAAGCCGCTGCAGTAGCTCAGGTGGTAGAACGGGTTGCCTCATGATCGGAGGGTCATGGGTTCGATTCCAGCTCCCGCCAGGGGTATCCTGCTGCTGTGTCCTTGGGCAAGACACTTCACCCAACTTGCCTGTGTTAGTGGTGGTCAGAGGGGCCGACGGCGCCAAATGGCAGCCTCGCCTCTGTCAGACCTCCCCAGGGCGGCTGTGGCTACAAGTAGCTTACCATCACTAGCAGTGTGTGAATGTGAAAGTGTCTTTGGGTGTCTTGAAAAGCGCTATATAAGTTCAATGCATTATTATTATTATTATTAAATGTTCCTAATTTAAGTGAAATTGTTTAATTGCATTGTTCATGCTGCAGGGGCATTCTGACCAGCTTGGTTGGACTACATATTAATTAAAATGAATGGAAATTTAAAGAATGATTATTCATCATTTAAAAATGAAAGTGACAGGGATAAATGGATCATGTGACCTCTGGCAGCGAGCAAACGCTGCCTCCCCAGAGTGCGTCCAAACGCAGCAGCGAGTCATCCCATCCCCTACTTATAAAAGAAATAACCCCAGAAGTTTTTGTTCAGAAAGAAACATTTTGCTTCAGTAAAAACCACAACAGTGGGCGCCACAGGGAAACGAAGGCGAGGCTTCTTTTTAACATTTTAGTCATGTTTAATACGAGCCGTTTATACGTCACTCTACCAAACTACAAATACAAAATTAAATAAAAATTTCTCTTCCTGCAAACACACGTTTGTGTAAAAGAATCAATGTTTTGGGCTTCTTCTGCGTTCGCAAATTAGTTCGTGCGTCACAACGTCACATGCGCGAATAAATCTTCCATCGTCTTTTTTTTTTTTTTTTTGGACTGACGATTGGCGGTGGGAAAAATTATACAAATCGCCCAACCCTAATGTGAAATTAATGGTACGTTTCTAACGGATATCAGAAACTAACTTTCACAGGTCCACTGACTGCTATTCATATTTTGGCAGTTTGGGACCCGTGGACTGGACATAGACGGGCGTACCTAAAGCCCGGACCACACTGTCCAAGTTATTTTTTGTTGTCGCACAGGACCACTCATGTTACGCTGTGGGGACTCCATGAAGGTGGCACACTCACTCTAGCAGGATGCGCTAACGTCACAAGCAAACCCCCGAAAAGCATACGTCACTAAAAGCCGACATCTAACCAAACAACAATTCTGAAAAGAGAAAAAAGCGCCACCATTAACACGTCTTTTATTAGACTCCAAACTCTAAAAAGGAGTTGTCCACATGTTCCTGCGTGTAGCTTCTCCTGTTGCTAGTGTTGCTAATTCTACTCTTGCATTGTACTCTCGTCGCTAGTTGCTCGTGTCGGTTCCTGAGTGTTTTTTCATCGGTCGATTGCAGGCGGGAGTCGTAGGATTTCGAGCAATGCTTGAAGACCGACTTTTGTTCTGAGGTTGCCCAATAAGCTGTCGCTGAGCCGGTGTTCTGTCCAATCACCGAACATTGTTCGATTGACACATGCGTGTTACAGCTTATGCCTGTCCACGCTGTCAGATCATCATCAGTCACTTTTTAAGCTGCATGATGGGCCAGTCAGAACATCATACACTTAAACAACTGTATGGCACCCTGACTCGTCAACTGAAGACTTTGTAAAGCTTTATTTTCTCAAAATTTTATAGAATGAGAAGGTGGTAAAATAAATAAATAAATAGTGATACACATTCATCAGTTAATCTATGTGGATGGTAAAACATTATGAACACAATCAACAAATGATTTCCTCGTACTTAGCCGTCTGTATGCTGAACTGGTGGCTCCTCAGAATGTGGCGGAGGTTTAAATGAATGCGCGCATAAACTGCATGCATGCTCCTCTGACATGTATGCTGCTCTGATATGTATGCTGCTCTGATATGTATGCTGCTCTGTCGGAACACCTGTCACACTGGACGGCCACAGACTTGCAAATCACCTTCAAGTTCACCGTTATTTGTCACGAGTCTGTGCACGGTAACAGGTCTGTCTAGGACGGCTAAAAACACAGTGTGGTCTGGAGGTTAGGCTTCCTTTAAACCAGCAGTGGTTCATCACATCCAGATGCTTCAGATGCATAAAAAAAGAACAAACTTTAAACAAAACAAACAAAAACTAAATGAAACAGAAAGTAAACGAAGAGAAAATGAATAAACTGCACATTACGAGCCTACTAGGAGCTGTAACTGTTCTGTATCTCTTTTCCAGCTATGTGCTTGGTTCTGCAAGCCAGATGTTGGCAGCAGAGGGCGCCAAAGAGCAGCCAGTCACTCTGGAGTACAGGGGCGTTGTTGAACAGCAGCTGACAGAGGTAAATTACTGCCGCTACTTTCCTTTGTCTCTCAGGTGGTCTTGCCAGGAGGTAAAACGCCAAGTAAAATGAGCAGATTGTCTCTAATTTAAGGCTTTTGTTGACGTTATCTTAATCTTTAGTTTAAATCTTGAACAATTATTCTTATTAAAATGTTTGTTTCTGTGTGAACATTAAAAAGCCTACAGCAAGCCAGAGCTCTGTCTTGTAAGCTAATCCATTTTCGGCAGGCGTAACGGTCCTGAGTTGTGTTGTGTTGATCTCCGAGCTTTCTGAATGCACAGGTTGTACCAGAGTAAGGATGACATCAGCGTGGTTCTGGTAAACCCATCCTTCTGTAGCGGGCAGACACTTTTATCAGACATTACCTCATCGGTCCAGCCATGTCATCTCAGTCTGACCATTTCACATTTTTAAGTAATTTTATATATATATATATATATATATAAACAAAACAAAAAAAATACATCTATACTTACTGACATCCAACATCTTCTTTTTAGTTGTTTCTAATTTTAGCTTCAAAATGAGGCTTTGATTTAGTTTCGTCTGACCTGTGTTTTCCTCAATCCCAACTTCACAGTCATTTAACAGAGGAGCTTAATTACTCTTTGTTTAGGAAATTTCTCTAAACAAACAGGCTGCGAGCTGTCCAGTAGGTGGCGATGGCGAGCAGGAGTTGCTCCAGCTCCAGGGGGAAGACAATAGATGGGGAAGCATGTTGAGGAATCTCAGGGAGGAAAACACGCTCTCATCATGAAGTGTCTCTGTTGCCTTAGCTCCGTGTCTTTCTGTTATCTCACTGTCTCCGTCACATGTAAATTACTACGTGCAGCTCCGACATATTTAGGAATCTTTGCTGGAAGGACATTGTGTTTCTGTCTTCGTGTGGCTTTGTTGCCCAATCTGTCTGGTGTTTTGTTTAATTTGGCTTCTTTTATTTTCTGTCACGTGCAGTTCTTCTAAGCTAACCTCAATACTTTATGTGACAGTTGGCCCAATTTACTGTGAGATTTGTATCAGTGCATCATGTAAATTAAAACAGGTTGTGCGGCTCTCAGATCGAGAGGACAAAAGAATTTCTCTTTGAAAGAGACGTCTCTCTCTCTTTCTGAGATTGAATTTTTAAGACTTGTTAGATACTTTAATTAAATTTTGTGCCAGATTTCTGTCACCCGCGTGAATGATTTCCTTCTTTAATTTGCCGTCACAACAAACAAACTGAAAGGATCGTTTAGTTCAGCCTACATAACGAAGCAGTCGCGTGTAAAACCCTTACTGTACATTGCTGTTGTTAAAAATGAATTCTTCCCCTGAAATTAAGGTTGTAAACCGTTGAGTTAAAACAACGCCAACATTTAAGTTGTATGTCACTCTTTTTAATTGTTACAGTAACACTGGATAGTTTTAAAACTTTAAGCTAGAGCTTTAACATTGATCTCAGTGATTGTTGAGCTAGAAACCAGTTTCATGTTTGACACGTTTGGGATAAAGGTGCCCTATATCCCATTTTAAACATATTGTTAATCTTTTTTATACTTTATTCTTAGATTGTTTTTTGCTTTGTTTTTGTGAAGCACACAAAAACCTCTTGAGAGGTGCTACACAAAAGATCGTTTTCTTTCATTCTTTCTATAGGGGGAGCTCTTTACCTGCTTTACAGCTGTTAGCTATAATGCTAGCGGTTAGCGTTTAGAGTTCACCAGTTGTCAATAAAAAGCACAAAAAAAGAAAGGAAACTTTGTTTTTTCTGTTGGCATCATGGCGGAGCCTGGAAAAGAAAAAGTAAGAGAATAACATCTTTGGAGTTGAAGCAAAGAGCTAACACCAGAGTAAAATTCAGCGCAGCCTACACTAGTTTGAGGGAGCTAAAGGAGGCTACAAAATCAACTTATTGTTACTATTCTTATAAGTAATAATATTTTTTTGTCCCAACAGTGTGGATCATTTTACTTTGTGGTTTATTCTAGTATTAGTTGACTCATGTTAGTGTTAACTCATTGTTAGCGCTAGCTACAGGAGGCTGCATCAGGGTTGTTTATGATAGTTGTAATTCCACTTTCAACCAGTAGGGCGGAGGAGCAGGAAGCTCATCTGTGTTACTTTAAAATGTGCATGTTTAATAGTTACTAGAGCTGCATGAAGTGGTTTTGAAGCTACATAACTGATTGTAGGGTTGATGGCAGAGCTTTAGCCAGTCAAAGGCCTGATGTTAGATGTTGAAGCACAGCAGTGAGGTGATTTGTAACTGAAAAGTTTGACGCAAAACTTGGTAGATTGTGGGAAACGCTAAAGAAGCAGACCTCTCAAGTTGGAGTTGTACTTTTTCCTATCAATCTCACACATCTGTTTGATGGTCTGCCTTGTTCTTCCACAGATGAATATGTTTAGTGCAGAAAATAAACTTCTATTCAAAAAGTTGCACCCCCAACTGTTGGTTAAGACCTTGCTGAAGCAGGAAACTAAAACCAAAAAGTGTGAAGTGACTAACACTATTCACAGATATCACCAGGATCACAAAAATGAGGACATTCTCGCCACCCATGAGGCTAGAGTGTACAGCTTTAGAAGCCTGAACTGAGTAACCTGTCGCAGGTGACCCAAATACTGTCCCAATAGAAGGCAGTTCTCTCCAGCTTGTCCCAACAACTTCAGCTCGTGAACACGGCGAAGCATGTTGAAGCCTGAAGAAAATAATAAAACGCTGCATCAGTAGATACTAGACTAATTTAATAAGTTCAATTAAATGAGCTCAAAACTGGCATCACTGTGCAGACTGGTGATTGTTAGTGACATCTGCCACTGTTGTAAAGTCAACTTTGCGTGAAGTTGTTCTGCAGTTGGAGCAGAAATACGCTGCAGGTATGTTGGCTCAGTTTTTGTTGCTGAGGTAGTTCTCGTCAGCTAAACTCAAAACAAACCACAAAAGCTTTTACTTTCATTCATGTTTCCCAACTCAAAGTGCTGATGTTAGTTCTTGTGAAGACTTAAGTCACTTGTTTGTTTTTTTAAGGCGTTTCACTTCTCATCTGAGGAGCTTTTTCAATTCCGCCTGGAATATGGGAGAATATTAGCCTGGCAAGCCAGACTAAATAATAAATAATAAATGTATTATTTAGTCTGGCCACGCTCCATTGACGGCTCTCGGTTGTGGGGCGGGTTCTACCGTTGTCTTTCAAATGATCTCCGCATTCCACTGGACAGTGAATGTGACATACTCTTGTTTCACTCTGTTGCATCATCCCACCCACCAGGCATATAGAGTGCCCTGATTGGCCCACAAAGCGGATAAAGCTCTGTGATTAGTTCACTAAGCAGATAGAGCACTATGATTGGCCCACCATTATGGACCAATCACAGCTCTTTATGTGTTTGAAACCCCTCTAGAGAGCTATGATTGGCTAGCCAGAGTCCTGGTTGGAGCTACTGAGGTTCCAATGGAGCATGCCTAGACCAAACTTTGCAAAGCAAGAATTTGGTCTAGTTCTAGGAGAATATGCCTTTCCATAGCCTATTTCAAGCACAACAAGTTTTGCCGGCAGAAACATGGCTTCTCTGGTATCACTTATCGTCGCCAACATGGAGGAAGTGGAAACCAGAGCCTTGAGCTCTTACAAAGGGACAACACCAAGCCACTGGTTCGTTTGTGGATGACACATGGGTCAGAATTGTCAAGCAGGAAGTAGAAGGCTTCACGAGGCACATTAGCACCATGTACAAGAACATCAAGTTCACCAGGGAGGATGGTTACAACAACAAACTGCCTTTCTTGGACTGTGCTATGCAAATAGAACAAGATGGAAGTCTCAGCATTTGGAGCACAAAAAGCCAGTCATCAGGACCTTACACCATCGGGCTGAGAATATTCCCACAAAGACTGAAGGAAAGCAAAAGGAAGAGAAATGCCAAGAAAGCTCTCCAAAACTGCAGCTACCCTAAATGGGTATTTGTGAAATCAACAAAGAAGTCTGGAAAAGATTCCCCAGCAGCAACTAGCAAAGAAAAGGACAACAGGTGCAAAGGCACCATCATCCCATACGTGGAAGGAGTGTCAGATAAACTTAAGAATTTTCTCAAAACACAACATTCTGGTAAACTTTTAATGCAACAACACCCGGAGACAGAAATTGGTCCATTCTAAAGACAAAACACCCAAACAGAAGCTTAGTAGTGTCATTTATGCAGCCCGGTGTAGTGAGAGCTGTCCAAACCTTTACATTGGGGAAACTAAACAATTACTGAAGTGCTTGGCACAACACAGGAGAGCACCTCTTCAGTTCAAGACTCTTCAGTCCACTTACACCTGAAGGACAAAGGACACACTCTTCTAGATGGCAAAGTACACATTCTGGACAGAGAAGATAGCTGGTTTGATAGAGGAGTAAAGGAAGCTATCTATGTCAAATAGGGAAAACCTAGATTAAATAGGGAAGGAGGACTCGGGTTTCACCTTTCCACCACCTATAGTGCAGCTCTGAATCTTACTCCTAAGCAGTTTTAGTCTAGGTCACACCCTCCTGCATCTAGTTAATACGATTCCCTAACAAAGACTAACTAATCATCATGGGGTAGGGAGGATGGGTATTCATATGTAGTTTCTGCTCGTTAAGCAACAGTAGACAGCTACAGTTAATAAGCTTGACCCTCCCATATTTCAGTTAGAATTGACAAAGCTCCTTAGATGAGAAGTGAAACGTCTTTAAGAAACCAAAGAAGTCCAGTTGCCTTCATTGAACCCCATTAAATTTTACCCACTATCCTCGTATTACACATCAAATTCTTCAGATACTTCTTCCCCTCACACAAAATGTCAAAATCTGACAGATCCAAGATATTTCAGTTTTTTGGCACAACTTGTGAAGAAGTAGAAATTTGTCCTGTGCAGTGGGCTTTGTCAGTATTGTCACATGGCAAATGTGATCCAGCTGCTGTTGTAGGCAAGATAAAAGTGGCACTTTTTTCATTGTCCAACTTAAATTTAAGTAGTTTCTAAATTGCACAGAAAATGTTTAAAGTATGCATGACAGGATATATGTGGTGTTGGTTACCTACGGAAACAGAGCTGCCGCCCATGCAAAATAAAATCATAGCAATATCATGTTATAATGTGATAATTTTATTATTCAAACAATATAATTTCCACATTGTTGCAATACGTTGTTATGTTCATACATCATCATTTTCACATTTGAACAATATAAGGAGCCTAAATCTCCTCCTGTTCCGGGCGGCTCGTGGGTCCCCGGACAAACAAAAAGTGAAAGCAAGTCAACGGCTAAAAGAGCTATTTTCTAATCCGCTTTTCCTTACGCCCTGGATCGCACATATTTTGTACTTCAGTTTAAATGAAAAGTAATGATGTGTGTTTTTCGACCACGCCAGTCATGTACTTTGAGATTTTTCAGCTAGTAAAAGTTCGTAATTAGCATGACTACACATCAGACATTGGTACATCACATATATGACGTCACCACATAATCTCTTCTCCCCTAGCATAGCTGCTACTTACCAAATGGTCAGATTTATGGTGGTTCTTTCTTTCTGAAGGAAGGATTTCACATTTGCTGAACTTACAGACATGTTCTCTCTGTTTTTCTCTGTGTCTGGTTCAATGACGTCACTTTTGTGAGGCACATTTGTAGTCCTGGACTTATTTTCACACAAAACCTAAAATAGTGTTTCCTCCTGTTTGAAAACAAGCGCTTTAATGGTATCAAAATGTGTCTTTAAAATTCTCGGACACCATATGTGAAATCCATGGAACATAACAAGTGGAATTGGAAAAGAGCCCTTTTTAAAGCCAGCGTTTATGTTTAGACACTTCTACTCACACCATAAATAATGTTGATGTGCCTTTTCACGGACTCTTATTATGAGATGTCCCCCAAACAACATCAGAGATCAAGCTAGTCACAGTTCGCACCATGGTGCCGTTCCACCAGTCATCACGGGGCTATGATGTGTGTGTAGAACCGGAAAACTGCTTGGTCTCCTCTCCTGTTCACGGTGACTCTTCTCTACAACTAATGCTAAGTTTATGAAATTCTCCCATCATTGACTTGGTATACTAGCTAAATAAGGTCACGTGTGTTATAAATGGTAAATAAGTAAATTTTATTTATAAAGTACTTATCACAGACATAGAATCACAAAGTGCTTCACATAGATCATAACAAAATAAAACAAAGTCATAAAATCTAAATGCTCTCAAAACAGAATCAGATTAACATCAGAAAAAATAAAGTAATAAAATTATAAATTTTCATAAACAGATGAAAGATTAAAAATTTGAGTTAAAAATAGGAAAATAAAAGTTTTATGTAAAAACAGCTTTAAATAAAAGGGTCTTTAGCTGTTTTTTAAAAGTGTCCAGATTGTCGATGCTGCGTAAGGATAAAGGAAGATCGTTCCAGAGTCGGGGTGCAACAGTCTGGAAGGAGCGATCACTTCGACTTTTATATCTGGTCTTTTGAACTTCTAGAAGATTCTGGTGGGTGGACCTGAGGGCTCGGGTTGGAGCATAAGGCTTTAACAGTTCAGTAATATAGGGAGGAGCTTGATCATGTAGAGCCCTAAAAGTTATAGTCAGGATTCTAAAATGAACTCTAAAGTTAACGGGTAACCAGTGCAGAGACATCAGACTAGGAGTGATCTCTGTTTGTTCCAGTAAGAAACCTCGCTGCAGAGTTCTGGACCAACTGAAGGCGGTCAATGGCTTTTTTGTAAAACATGTGAAAAGTGTGTTACAGTAATCTAGACGGGAGGAGATGAAGGCATGGAGAACCATTTCAAGTTCATGTTTTGACACCAACCTTCACAGTTTGGAGATATTTCTTAAATAATAAAAACTGTTAGGGACCAACATTTTTGAGTGATCTTCAAGAAACATTGTTTGGTAAAAAAAAAACACCCAAATTCCTCAAGTTTGTCTTGACGGCAGAGGATAGATGACCAAGTTTTAGACTCAGTGAGGTTGGATAAATCACAGCATGAAAATCAAAGCTATCATATTTGAACAAACGCCCTGAACAAATAAAATCATCTTTATTATTCATAAATAATGTTTATTTAACTTGTTCATGTTTTTTTATTTTGGAATTTCTTTTCCCTAACAGGGCCTTTATGGCAAAACCTTCATTTTAGTGTCTGTAAAACCGATTTATCCGTTAAGTTTCATGTATGTGTCTCAGAGCCGCTTTATCTGATGACAGTGATGTATTATTGATGCGATCTTTTTGTGCCAGACTCTTTTTTTTTGGACCTCTACACTCACTGAACTGTCTCCTCTCTCCACCCTACCCCCTCCCTTCTCTATCCACCCATCCCTGGATACCTCCCCTTTTGACTTTTATTCTTCCTCTCTTCTCCAATTATCTTCACACACCACCACCTTCCCTCTACTCTGCCCCTTGTTGCTCTTTTCGTGTCCCACCTGTCCATTTCACTGCTTCATTTATTTCCCACCGTCATCACTTTAATCATTTCCCTTCTTATTGTCTTCCAACCTGAAACGTCTCCATCCTTTCTCCTCCTCTTCCCTGACCCTGACCTTTGCAGATGAAAATGCTGGTCATGTCCATGGCACAGAGACTGGAGAAGATCGAAGTTGGCCTTCAGGAGGACTGTGATGACATGTGACATTGATGGGCATCACGCAGTTGTTGCTATGTGAGGATATAAGAGTCGCCTTTTACCTTAATACCTCCTCTGAAGTTTCACCTCAACCAGACTTTTTTTTTGTACTAAATAGAACATTTTGTCCCAGTTTCACCTTGTGCACACGCACCTCCACTCGCCGCATCCGCCCGGCTTTGTCCTGATTACCAGCGGTGAAACAAAGAGCGGCTGCACTTGTAATCAATCATGTTGCCAGCTCGGCTCTAGCGCCTCGTGGCACCGCCGTCTCGGTAGGTCTCGGATGCAGAATGAATGCGCGCCAAGAGCAGAATGTTAGTGTTCGGATTTCATCAAGCGGCCTGCACACTCAGCACAATGCGGTATTGATCTGCCCAGTGGAGGCCACACACACACACACACTTATTTTCTTTGTTCTTTTTGCTAAGCGTTTAGCCCCTTAGGCTGTCTTTCATCACCTTTCAGTCTCAGCTAGTGATGTTTGAAGAGTTATCTGTTATTACTGAATGCATCTCAGACTGGCACATTTCTGGGTAACCTTTGTTCATCCTTATTTTCTAATTATCTTTTGCTTGTTTACTTTTTGTCTGTTCAGTGGATTTCTGTGTACGAAAATAAACTGTTTCCAAAATTCTTGAGATTTGTATTTATTTATTTGGATTATAATGTTGATATGAGAAATAAAATCTGTATAACCCTTTCAAATGTTTCTTTTGTCCTCACATTTAGGATCAGTGACTCCTCCTGGGAACTTGGGGGTGGGGTTGGGGGGGGGGTTAAGTGCTAAACTGCACATTTTTGTGAAGATGATTAATTATTAATGCCCAAGTGTTTGTTTACTAACTGACCTCTTGTATGCCTAGCAACACTTTCTATCAACGCAGAGATACAGCTCCACGCGGTCGCACCTCCCCTCCCTCATCCACGCGGTTTCATCAGCCTCAGAACAACAACAGTTGGAAACGGCCAACCAGCACGCTGTATCCAAGGCCAGGTTGCGATGACAACTGGGAGCGCGTGCTACGCTGGGTGTCTGTTGCCATCTCGTCATCGTGTTTGCAGCCGGAGGAACAGCCAGCCAGCTTGCTGGCCGGCATGCCTGTCAACAGGCATTATCCCTCCTGCTCCTGTACAAAAACATACCAAGGGGGGGTGGTCCTGAATGAACCTCCCTCCCTCCACCCAGCCCTAATCCTTGTGTGATGTTTTTCTCCATCCCTGACTCCACCCTCGTCTCTTCTCCATCCTTGCTCGCCAATCATCCCCACCCTCGGCTGTTGTGGGGGAAAAACAAATCAAAACAACAACAAACAAACCACATGGCTGCTGCTGTTTCCTGTGTCGGGGTGTAGGAATCCTCGTCTTGACTATTGGGATTTGGTTCTTGTCAACATCGGGGGAGGGGAGCAGCATGATGGCCAGCTGAGAGTCCAGAAGCGCACTTTTCCACCTTGTCTAAAACAACTAGAAGCACATTCATATAAACAGAGATGAAAACCCGAGTTTGCAGTCAGCATCTCTCACTAAATGAGCTCTGAGCTTATGTAGCGGTTTTATATATAGGCATGATGTTGCTGGATGCATTGCACTGTTGGGTGTGATTATTGCAGCGGCTTCACCTCGTTCACCCCGATGTCTCAGCCAATCGTTTTCCACCAAGACCAACATAGAAACGCACATCAGTCCTCGCATCTACCCGGATTCGACGAGCACTCCGGGACAAAGGATGAATAATGCAGAGGTAGTGTCTGAGTGAAAGTCGCCTCCCATGATTCCCTCCTCTTCACCTTCCCTGAGCAATAAGGAAGCAATGTTGCCATGGAGGCAATGAAGCCTCGGCACGCTGGCAGCCAATTACAACCTTTCCTGTGTGAAACGGGGGACCAATGGCTGCTGAGAGTGATGCTGCTGCTGCCACAGACACTCGCACCCTATTGGCCGAGTTCTGCTCTTTGATTGAATTTCTGATCTTTTTTTTTTTTTTGGGGGGGGGGGGGGGGATGGAAAAAAAAATCTCAAGGAGTGCCACCTGTTTGTGCCAAGTTAGGAAATATGTTGTTTTTTCCATAGAGTTAAAAAAAAGCACAGGGTGGGGAGGAAGATGTTTTAGTGGATGCTGGCTTTAGTTAAACGAGTCTGAGCTTTTGTCAACATTAGTTATGATTTAAACCTTTGATTTAGTCCAGATGTTCTGCTTTCTGGTCTCAGGGAGTTTTCTCCCCTCTCCATTAGTAGATTTAGGACCCATCCCTTAATTTTCTGTGCTACTTTTTAAGTAGCACTTTATTGAAATTTAAAAAAAAAAAGCTCCATGCCTTTTATTCCGTATACCTGCAGTTTATTAACAAACACATCAGCACATTTGTTTGCAAATGTTAACAAATGATCTGGCTTAAGTGAGCCCAGCTCAACCTTTTGACTAGATTAGAGCTGAATTTGCACGACTCAGCGTGTGTTTGCGTGTAAAGTCATTAAAACGGTCTGGTGTGATTTTTGTCTGTTAGTCTCAGATTTAATCTGAGGAATCGGTGTAATGTGATCTTAAATCTTCGAGAAACCGAACCGCCAGAGCTGCAGCGTTCACGTTTCATTAATCACCTTCATCATCTGTGATTGATGGAGCGGGAGGCCAAACGGTCAGTCTGACAGAATAACCCTAATCCCTTCTGAGTGCTCGAGCCTCATTAGAAACATCTGCTTGTTTATTTCACCCCGTGTCTTTGTTTACAATAAATCCTGCCAGGTACGCCCGCCCTACACTCACCCCCCCCCCCCCCCCCCCATCCGCTGCCGGTGATGCTGTACGTCCACCGGGTCGGACCCACCTGACGTTTCTGTACGTAAGCATCCCTTCTGTCATCCCCGTGCAGCAGGTTAATCTTCTGTTTTTCTCTGACACAAAGCCTCGCCCTATTGCCAGTGACACCCTGGTGTGAGCTGGTGTGTGTGCCTAAATGTGACATGAGGGCTGAAAACAGGATTAGTGTCATCAGGATCTAAGCCTGAACAGACTGACAGAAATAAAGTCCTGCTGAACAGTAAGTGGTCAGTTGGGCCACACAATAAAAGTGTTTTTTTAAACCAAAAGATCTAACAGTCACTTTTTTTTAGTTTCTATTTAAATGTGACCTTTAATTCTGCCTAAATATGAAGAAGTTGACTTTGATTACAATATACCTGATGTATTTTACAGCATCTTTGATGAGATGATGATGAACATCAGCTTCGTGTTTGTTGTTCTTAGATGGTGGACCCGTATGTGTAGGCTGACCTGAATAATCTGTAAAAGTAAATTATTTCTTCATGATCTCATCAGTGTGGATTTCATACGCTCGTGTTTTCGGACTTGTTATATTAAACTTCTGTTTTAATAAGGCTTCAGGACAACTGGAGCTCTTGTTTTTTTTTACATCTCATTTGAGGAGCTTTCTCATTTCAAACCGAAAAGGGCGAAACCTCGAGCGTTTAGATGGTAGTGAGCTTAAAAAGGAAAAGGCTGGGAGACAGCTCCTCAGATGAGAAGCAAAGTCTCTTCAGAATACAAAGAAAAAAAATTAAGTACCTTTTTTATTTAAAAAAAAGCTACAGGATTTTACTTTTCCTGAATGATAAGTGGATGCCAACCTTGCCCGTGTCCAAGATACGCCAAAGACCCCCGACACAAACTACTACCTGCATATGTATACGTTACATGGGATTCATTAAGATTTTTATACAGACACACAGAGTTTTCACTCTTAGACAAAGATTGGGACTCTTAGAAAAACTACTAGGTGTTATTGGGATTTTAAAAATGCAATTTTTACAAATAAAGTCTGAGTAAACTCTCCGCATCAACACAGACAGAATTGTGGGGACACGGACCCCAGGTTGAGAATCACTGATCTAAATAACCTCCCAATTTCTATTCATTTTGTTTTAGCAACAATTTTTAATCAAACCTTTTGACTTTCTTTACAAAGAATGTGGTAGAGCACATTTTAGTCCCCACATTATGAGAAGTTATTGGACTAAACTAAAATATTTTAAAAAATGGAACAACTAAATGTATTTCTATTGTGTGCGTGTGTGTATGTATGTACATATATATATATATATATATATATATATATATATATATATATATATATATATGTGTGTGTGTGTGTGTGTGTGTGTGTATATATATATATATATGTGTGTGTGTGTGTGTGTGTGTGTGTGTGTGTGTGTAGAGTTAAAAAAAAGTATATACCGGTATATAAATAAAAACAAATATACGTATATATATATATATACGTATATATATATATATACGTATATTTGTTTTTATTTATATACCGGTATATACTTTTTTTTAACTCTACACACACACACACACACACACACACACACACACACACACACACACACATATATATATATATATATATATATATATATATATATATATATATATATATATATATATATATATATACATTTGAATGTAATTCATATTTGCCCAAAATTAATAACAAACTTATTGACAATTGGTTTCATTGCATTTTTCTCTGTGTTTATCTTAAGTGGTGAAAAAAATGTGAGAAGCTTCAGAAGAGACTAAATTCCATTCAGGAAAAAAAAATCTGTGACCAAGGATTTAATTTACAGGTGAAACTGGAAAAATGAGAATCTGGTGCAAAAGTCAATTTATTTCAGTACTTCAGCTTAGACTGAGAGACTATCTAAAGCAGGGGTGCCAAACTCAGTTTTGCTCAGGGGCCACATTGAGAAAAATCTAGTCCCAAGTGGGCCAGACCAGTGAAATTAAAGTATGCATAAATTAAAAACTGCTTCAGGTTGTTTTCTTTGTTTTAATACGATCAACATAAAACAAAGCTGGAGCCTGAGGACAGTGTATCCTAAATAGTTTAAGCACAACACGACTATTAATAATAAAACACCTGAAGTGTATTTGAAAATGTGAAATACAAAACAAAAAACCCAAACTATTCCTCAGTAATTCAAATAACATTCACAGATCACATGACTATACCAGTTTCATGCATGTCTTTGACTCATGATACCTGACATCTTTTAGCTTTCACCAGCAGTTTTTTTTTTTGTTACTTTTTATTTTGATTTTGACATTGTACAACTTGGTTTAACAACCCTGGCGTTGAGCAGGACAATCACAAAAGCAAAAAGAAACAAATAAGTAAATTAATTATTTTTAAACAAATAAATAAATAAAGGAGAAAAAAAATTCTATAAAGAATAGAAATACAATCATTTAGTTTCATCGTTAAGATTAAGTTTTCCACGTTGACATCAGAGTAGACAACAGGCAAAACAACAACCCAATACGTCACATTGCTAAGTATTGCTCGACACACTCCCATCTATCCCGGAACCGATCCACCTTCATTTGCAGTAAAGATGTCATCTTTTCCATTATGTATATTTGTTTAATTCTCTCTTTCCATTCCTTTATAGTTGGGGAGTTCACCTCCTTCCATTTTACTGTTATAATTTTCTTTGCAGCCAATAATAGAATATGGGCGATATAACTTTGGTCTAAGTTTAATATTTTGTTTGATGTAGCCCCCAACAGATAGAACAAAGGATGTGAAGGTAGCTCCTTTCCCAGGATTTTTTCCAACTCTTCCTTT